AATTACTTATTTCTGTATTTTCGCGGCAGAAACTGATGATGCTAGAAACCTTCAAAAAAGGTGTTTTATCCTCAGTAAAATTTAATATTCCTCTAAGTTTGTTTAGAACTGAGTTCAGAAAATGGAAATTAACAAATTCTCATCACGCTCAGAACTCGGTCGCCATTGTATTTGTTTACAATTTTTCGCTAAGCACCTCGTGGTGTGGATACATAAAAATCAAGACCAATGACCAATCAGAAAGTCACTGAAAATTTGTTTTTCCACACCGCTGAAGGGCTTTTAATACTTATTAATGGGTTATTGCTAATAAGAAATTCAGTAAATACTGGAAGGATTGAGCTGACAATTTCTCCGAGTGTTACCTATAAAGGCACCCTAATTCCTTTCGAACTCATTTTGAGCTTCTATATTGTACATAGAGTAATAGTTGTGGCCCTGCGTGCATGCAATCCGGTTCCTAAGCATACGATCGCGGCTTCCCGTCTTGGGTTTGCGCCGTCCGGTTAAGTTCAAGTTTCTCGCTTGAGCTTTTTCGGGAACGACTTTCGACCGAGGCGAGACCGAGGCGACTGAGCAGGTCTCGCAGTCTAATTAGATTATATAACGAACGATTTTCGCAGCTCGGGGCTAGCTCCATACAAACCGAGATGCACGGCTTGAGTACGAGTATCAGCTTACAATTAGGCCAACTTGTATGTGCAACGGCTACGAGCAGGGTAACATTTACCGAGGGGAATTAGGAAAATTAGAGTAACCGCAAGTTCCCGCATCTTTCCTCTTCTTACGTACCACGCGCTCAGCAGAATGGCAATAATTTGCCACCGCAACGAATAAAAAATGTGGAAGAAAAATTTAGTGGTTTCGATCAACTATGAAGAAGGTGCGAACCTACCTTACAATTTTCAAAACCTGCAAATCGTTGGGTTCCTTTGTATTTTTAATTTTTTGTCGCGGTGAATCATTTAAATCCCTTTCACCCAGGGCCTCTACTACTGGGACAACTAGAAAACGCAATTTTGAGTGAAAACATAGGAAATTTGAAGTGTTCTATGGAATTTTTGAATCTTGAAGTGGAAATTTTAGCTTTTGGAACAATGTTAAGCCCATTATTTTTTAGAAGATGATTGAGCGGCAGTGAAGTTAGACAAGAAATTAAAGTGGCAGGGTAGCTTTTTTAAGTCGTCAGCTATCAGAACCTCTGGAGAGTGATTCTGTTCCACCACTGAAGAGCTATTTTATGCAATCAATCAGGGAAAACACTGGGAATCTGGAAGTCGAAATATATAGTAGGAACCCTGTCTACTTTTGAAGTAATGAGGTTGAATTTCACCCGGAGATTTCTTGAAATTGTCATTTTTTATGGTGCTTTGATCACGTTGAACCCCCCTCAATTACTAAGTAAATTATAATAAGGCCCAGGGCCGGATTAAGGGGGTGGCCCCATGGGCCGCGGCCCATGGCGGCAAATCTGCAGGGGGCGGCGAATTTTGCAATTTTTTTAAATGTGGGTATAAAAAAAAATCAGATTTAGAAAAGAAAAATTACCAACGAGAAAAGGCGACCAAATCTCTCATTTCCTGAGAGTATGGTAATTTATAATTTTGTCGTTTTTCAGTGATACAAGAGACAGCACCTTTAATTAGTCGAGTTAAGAGAGAAACCAAACACGCAATTTGGCCCTCGAACGGCGCGACTTAGAGAGAAATGATGACGAGGACTTGAGATGAAAAGGAGAAGCCCTCGGTGCGGCGATCGGCATGTAACACATATTAGCGCCTACAAGACTGCACGAAGACTTTACGCATTGCACCAAACACAGTGTGGTCATTGCGGTCAGCGTGAAAGGATAGCGCCTACAAGAATGCATGAATACCTCACGGATTGCGGTAAACAGTGCGATCAGCGTGAAACGCAGAGCGCCTACAAGACTGCGTGAATACTTCACGCATTGCGTCAAACACAGTGCCGTCTGCGCGGCGCGGCGGCGGAAGTTAAAATCATTAATCCACATTTTATGTTTGTCCTTTCATAATTTTTTCGTCAATTTTTTATGAATGGAAAGCCTTGTCCACACAGAGATAGGTTCACGAAACTTGACTTTCGCGCAAAGTTTCGTGAACTTTTGATAGTAGTGTTGACAGGGCTTTCCCAAAAAATGTGTTCAATACGAGTAAACGCGTCTTATGCACCCCTCTCCCGCTGGCACGTTCATTTGATGGTTTTTATTGATGTTTCAAAACAAATGAGGAGGGGGCGGCAAAATACAGGCGGCCCATGGGCGGCAAGTAGATAAATCCGGCCCTGATAATGCCTTCTCAAGGAAGGAGCGGACAAAGGAACGACTTTTAATACGGTTCTAAAGAATTTTGTTCGTTAGTTTGTTTTTGTTTTAACTACTTGAAGCATTACACAAATGGTACGCCTGCGCTTTCAGTTGGGACCCCACCCCCTCAGTCCTACTATACAACCAGCCCTCGACAACCATTGTTTGAGACCATCAAACTCGGGTCCCCGAATCGGGAATCGAACCCGGGGCCTCCTGGTTTAAAGAGCCAGTGCTACAACCACTACACCACAGGAGACCGACCGAAGAAACGCGTTTAGTATTTTGGAATTTTTTCGCACTCCGCTTCAACTTCTTAAGGGCTGCCAGACGAAGTCTCGTAATATGCAACTTCCTTCCAAGTTTCGCGAAAATAATTTTAGATTACACCCGATGAATGAGAGCAGTTGTTGAGGCGTGGGTTTCTGCGGTTCCGTGTCGCGTCGGCCATCAAACTTTCTAGCAGGTGGAGCAGTTGCGAGGTGCGCGCGGGTTGCTCTCAAGTCAAAGCCCAGCATGGGCATCCTCAGTTGACATTCCTGCGGCTCGATGTTCGAATCGATATCGAATGACCTTGATCGATTAAAAGCATTGCTAAGATAGGAATTTATCGATCAAGATTATTCGATAACGATTCAACCATCGAGCCTGCTTTGTCCGCTTTAAGCGATGTCCCAACGTCCTCTGCAAAGCTCTCTTCTCCAGAGACGATGTCAACGATCTGAGATTGGCGAGCTCAACGTAAGAAACAATTAGAAACCCCTCAGGGCCGTGTTTATAGTCGTTTCTTTGGAGCCCTTATTATAATTCACTTAGTAATTAAGGGAGGTTCAAACAGATCATTAACAAGACACCATGAAAATTACAATTTTAAGAAAGCTCAAGTATGAAAATGGTCCAGAAAAATCATTGCTTGTTCCAATGTCTTCGCATTCTATCATTCGTATCGGCGCGCCACTAGCTGCTTCATGGACACGATCACTAGGGTGACCGGAGCGCCTTCCATTTTTTCATATGCAACACGCGTGTCCATAGAGTACGTATAGTTGTATCAAGGCGTTACTGTCAACAGCATCGAATTCATTGTTTATGTTAGGTGAGTTATCGGTATGAAAAACTCCGTCCTGTCTTACTCTACCTGTTTGTCGGTAAACAAATAAAATTAGAGAATAAAAAAAATCCAATATTTTGACGTTTTTCATTTAAAAACCTACTTTACTCGATCTTTTTCTATTTTAGGCGTCACAATTTCATCAGTTCATGTTACTCTAGGATTAAGCCTGTTTTCGAACTTACGATCTAGCTGTCAATGTGATGCAGCGTTACAAAGTTTATGTGCGCCTATAAGATGCTAATTATAACTTCGGTTTTACTCATACTTTGTTGGCTCCATCATCCTCGACTGCTATTAACGTGGACACAAAATGATCGTAGTTATTTTATATTTAAGCCCAAAACTTGGCTCAATTTATTTCTGCTGTCTTTGTATAAGTACGCTTTCGAATTTTTCGCTACTCTCTCTCCAAAACGAATGCTCACTCAAAATTCACGGAGACCGGTAATTTACCGACAGAATGTGAGTCAAGAAGCTTAACTCCCAAAAAGTTTGATCCTTGAGAGTTTACTCTTCCGATTTTAAATTTTCACTGACCTGGAGAGGATGGGGGGGGGGGGGGGGGTGGTCTTGAATGGTTCTCTCCTAAACCACTCCCCGGTTGTTAAATTCGCAGAAGTCGAGCACCGTCGCAGGAAAGAGAGCTTTTTTGAATTGTGGCGAAGTCATCGGCTGCTTCCCACGGAGCTAGCCTAACTGTCGCGGCGTGGAAAGCACTGTTGCCACGTCGTGGGATTTCTTTCCAGAGATGAGCACCGATCTCAAGTGAATGATTCCGATTTTCCGGCAACTCGTTGAAACGGCGCGGTGAGTGGCCGAGCGGACTGGACGCGGTAGGCGTAATGGTAGTAGAGCGTGGTTGCACTCGCGCACTCGCCATTATCGTTGCCAAACCGTGCAAAGTCTCCGATCGCACCGTCAGAATTAATCGAGAATTAGAAGATCCTTCTCATCGAATTTGGCAACTATGTCGGCCGTTTCAGTCCGGGTTTGCTATACTTCGTGCGAATTATTAATTTCCCGCTACCGTGGTGGTGCTCGTGCTAGCTATTTCTTTCCGCGATCCGCGACCAAAACTTGAGGCATTTAATCTCGCTTTTGTCGAATTCTATGATTTCAATAACGCCCAATGCAGGGTCCCCACAGTCAGGGAAAACCGAGAAATGTCAGGGAATTTTAAAAAGTCAGGGAAAACCAAGAAAATTTAGGGAAAATTTGTTAAATCACCTTCGTTTGCTCTCTAGAATGGGTTTGTGGTTTCGATCGGCAAATTTTGCCTGAAAACTATTTTCAATTATGTCTTCTTTACCATCCGTCACATCTTCAATTGTCAGAGAATTTCACCGTAATGTGTGAGGGAAATGTCAGGGAATTTCATTGTCAAAATTTTGTGGCAACCCTGCTAATGGATTATGTTGAGGAAAAGGAGACGGTCTATCCAGGTATCTGATGCCTCCTATAATCACACAGTTTGGTCATTTTTTATGAATTATGTTCAAAATGTCTAATTATGAATGGTAATCGCTATCAGATACTAATTAAGGTATTTTTTCATTTCAGGTATAGTCCATGTAAGGCTTTCAAGACTGTGATGGGAGAAATAACCGATTTGGCAGGACAACATGAGCTAATAGCTGAAAATTTACAAACGGATGTCATCCGTGAAATTCACATGCTTGTCAAAGATTTCAAAGAAGAACGGAAAAAGGTATGTTAAATGGCCATTCTAATAGCTTGGAAGTCTTGAACTCATCATTTTACCTCTAGCTATACTAATATACTTCCATTTCACAATTCAGAAAACTCAGAACGAATTTTTGTCTACGAATATACATAACATAAAAACACAATATTTGAGGCCCCAATCTTTTTTTTTTCAATTTTACTCTTTTAGCATTCTTTTTTTACCTTTTTTATCATAATTTGGTATTTCAACTTTTCTTTTTTCGATCTAAAATTAATTGCAGGTAATGATTTCATTAAGTATTTTGTCGCAATCGTTTAGAAAATGACAAAAACGTATTATTTCCTGAATTAATTGATTTTAATCTGTGGATCCTTCGCAGCATTTACAAGATGGGGCCCGAATGATGCAATCACTGGCAGGTCAAATTGCATCTTTAGACAGGGCAAAAAAGAACTATGAAAAAGCCTACAAAGATGCGGAGAAGGCATTGGAGAGCTTTCAAAAGGCTGATGCTGACCTCAACCTATCTCGAGCCGAAGTTGAGAAGCAGCGCATGAGCATGATGACGAAGAACCAGCATTGCGAAGTCACCAAAAATGAATACGCCAACCAACTCCAGAGGACTAATGAACTTCAGGTATTAACAAGTTGATATTAACCCCTTCCATCAAAATAATGTTTTACACAAGAATCAGTGAAGGGGATATATCTTAATCCCCATTTCTGCTACCTACGATTGAATATTTTAGACCTCCTAATTTTGTACAATTAATCCCCTCACCAGCTTGGAGTATCCTAAGAGTTTCGCCAATTTTTCCCCAAAATGTGGTAAAGATTTAGAGACTATCATATCTGTCGTTATCCTCACAATGTTTTGAAAAGTTTTTTCCAAAGAGCAACACTCTATTCTATTATTCTTCAATACTTATGTACCCTTTTTAAAAAATTTCCAATCTCTGTCTACAACTTCAAGTCCCGTATATTAGAGTTCGGCCAGTTGGCCCTCTATGCAGGAATTCAGATCAGTCTGTTTTGAATTTCATTTAAATCCAACTCATTGATTGCTCTTTTTTTGATATTCCAGAGTCAGCACTACCGCCATCTCATGCCAGAAGTTTTTAGACAATTACAAGAACTAGATGAAAAGAGAATTAGGAACATTCGAAATTTTATGACGCATTCGGCAGATGTCGAGCGGAAAGTCTTTCCCATTATGGAACAATGTTTGGATGGAATTGTAAAGGCTGCCTCCCAAATTAATGAAAAAGAAGTATATATTATTTTTTTTAACCTTCATCCCATTTTTTTTAATTTTGAGCAGGACCAGTTATGCCATCATTATAAAGTTATAAATAACATCTAATTATATAGTGACGTCTTGAAGTCCTGCATCAAATGTCAATTTATCTTTTATTTAAGTTTAAATGATTTGATGGTAACGTCGTTGTAAGTAATTCAAGGAAATAAATAGCAAGTATGATAAGAAATATAATATGCAGCTTAAATACTCTTTCATCAGATGAAGAGACTCTATAATTGAAGATACAATATAGTTAGAATGAAATCAAAACTCGGAAAACAGGGGTAAGAAGGAATCACACTCAAAATGAAACGTTTACCAACCTTTTCTCAATTTTTGATCAGTAAAAATAAGAACAACCAAAATATGAAATGTAACAATTTCTGAAATCTTAGAGCACTATTTTTTTTTGGTCTTGTTTTGCACCATTGAAACCCAGTCTTTGTATTTCTTTTACTTGTCCATTGCAGTGCCTACATTTACAAATGTTTCAATGCAAATTAAACATATCTCTTGCAATCCATATTGAGAGATGTGCGTTGAAAACCTCCGTATTAACATCTTTGTAACATATGTACCTATTCAACTAAACATGATTGGCTTCTATCTTAATTAAGATGCATATCGTACTTTAAGATTTGCATTGAAAACAACTTATAAACGTCAACACTTGTTTTGATAAAGAATTGAAGTGAAGCCCTTTCCAAACAGTAGTTTTTCATGTACCTAAACCATATGACTCGCTTCCAACCGGGACCTTCAAGCATGTGCACTTTTAAGATCCGAATTTAGCTGCGTTGTAGCAACAAGTTTTGGATTGGGTACCACCTGGGAAGAGGCGACGGGGACGTCCCAAAAAGGGCTGGTAGCAGGGTGTTGACAAAGAGATGTTGCAACGTTAGTTGCCTGATAACCTCTGGGAGGACAGTCATATGTGGCGTTTGGGTATCGCAGAACGTCAGAGTGCGTCGTTGGAGTAACTTGATGTATATTTTTAGCTGCATTGAAGAGATATTGTAAGAATCAGAATTTTGAACGAACTGTCATTTTAAATGCGTGTTGAATTTGTATTCCATATAATAACTGAGAGATGCGCTTTGAAAATACTAGCATAAATTCGCCCACTGACTGACATCGCTTTATTTTTCAGGATACGTTATTAGTCATTGAAAGGTATAAGTCTGGTTTTCCACCTCCGGGTGATATACCATTTGATGACCTGAGTCGGAACGGCGATGCAGTCCACATTACGCAGCCGCTTACTATCCCAGGACTGCACAAAGCAGACACACTCACTATCAAGGGAACCATGGGTGCTGGTCGGCTCAAGAAACGGGGTCTTATTTTTAATATTTTCAATTCAAATAAGGTAATTTTTATTATTGTGACAGTATTGTTTCCTCTTTTTTTTTACCTTGGTCCCTTTTTTTAATAGTTTAGCTCTGTCCTAATTTAGAGGCTCACCGCTTTTTATGGTTGCGGGAGTTTTCTGTTTTGTAGCTGTTGGAATCAGGAATCAAAGGTAGCCGGAAACTTGATATCCAAGTAAGCTGAAACCAAGATAACCTCACCCTCAGGAAAGCTCATTAGTCTGAAATACTTTACCTTAGGAGTATCTCAGAAGAGAATCTTCGACAGTGTCAAAAATTGAAAGCCCTCACTTTCACTGGATCATGATTTTGAATCTTACTCTTTCTCTGATTTAATTTAACATTACTCGCTCTTTTAACATCCTTAATTACGGCTATCTATCTTAGTCTTGTGTAGAAGGAGCTTTTTACAGTTAAAATAGTCATCTCGTAGCCGTTTCTCTCTTAGTTCTCAGTTTTAAATCGGATCAGTTCTCTCCACTTCAGTTCTTTTTTTACCCTGAAAGTTTTTCTTTTATTTGCCAAATTATTTTTCAAGTTGCAAGCCATTCAATGGCCTCTTCAACACATCTTCTCTCTGATCTCCCCGGTTGAGTTTTTGCTCTGACTAAGATTTATAGGAAGACTATAGTCACTACCTTCAACTTATCATAGTTTCGGAACTCTACGACTTAGACACAACAAAAGTTAGTCAATTTTTTTCTTAAGAGGTTGTCCAAATTTTTATAGTAAATCGGTAGAATTTTGAAGGATTTTTTTGTTTATTGAAGGAATGTTTCCTTCTAGCTAGTCTATGAAAAGAAAATAGTAAGATAATTGGACCCCTACCCTAGTCCAGCCCGTGATTTATCATGAAAGTTACAGGTAGTGATATCTTGTAATTGGTTTAAAGTTATGAGAAAAATCAAGGAATGAAAAGAAGTTGTGAAAATTTGAAAGTTCCTAGTTTGAAACTAGACACCCTTAAGATGGATACATAACCGAGAGAAGTAAAAGCGAAAAATGTTATTTTTCACCTGTAGTTTCAAAAATTAACTCCATGTAATGAATGTATTTACCATGACTTAGGAACACAGAAGCTACGGAAAATAACCTATGGTTTCCATTATGATTCACTCAGAAGATGAACTTTTTCAACTTTCAATCCTTTCGCTATGTTGAGAATTAATTTCCAGGAGCCTATCTATTGTATGACGTAAATTAATTCAAATCTCACAATTTTAAAATTGACTGGCAATAAGAGTCAAAGAAGAATAGCCATTCCTCGTTTTTGTTTTGTGAGGATCTTTGAAGCCATAGCCAAAAGCAATGCAAGTTCTTAAATTTTAGGAAAGCTTTATTTTCCTCTCAATTGAGTATGTTAAGGGCTTGATTCGAGGGGAAAAAAACTTTCAATGACAAAAAAAGTTTTAGGAGACAAACAGACTTTTATGACACCTTCTCTCCCGACCATTCTAAAGAAGATACTGACTCCATTTTATTTTTGTTCTATGCGTGTTTGATTTGGTGACTGGTTCAATTTTGATCTGTCCTGCAACATTCTTGAAAGTAAGTATCTATTTCGTTTCGATGCAAGAACAATCAGGGATCTGTGTTTTTGTTGTCTCTGTGTTGCATGATTTTTGGTTTTACCTGGTGCGGGTTTGGTGTGGATTTACGGAAATTAGTGGTCTTCTTTTAGATCTTTCTTACCTCTGCACTTTTTCTCTGTGTTCAGTTTTTCCTCTTTCTTTGTAAAAAAGTACGGAAAAGGATTACTTCCTTGATCTGTGTGTGTTTGCCAAACAATTCTTGGTTACTTTTGATTTCAAGCTTTTGAAATGATTTATGTTTCAAGTTCTGACAGTTATTGTTTTTATAAATCTTTTTGATGTCAATTTACTTGTCTTGCTGTGAAACTAGAAGTGAAATTTTCAGGAATAATAATCAAAAGCAGGTTTTTATGTGTGCCATCTCTTAACTCCATCCCATTTATCTTTGCCCACAGTGTGTGTGTGTGTGTGTGTTTTTTTTTTAATTTTTTTAAAATTTTTTTTATTTTTTTATTTATTCATTTATTTATCTATCTATTTATTTATTTATTTATTCCAGCTTATTCATTCACGTCTTTCAACATCTCTGTACCTAAGCCCTGTTTTCACAAAAATAAACTCAAAGAACGCTCTTACATTCCTAGTGTTAATGGAAACTAAAACTATGAATGCCTCCATGCACTTAAACAAAAATAGATATCAAAATTTGTAGCTTATCTCACCTTAAAATTGTTTTCAATATTGTTGTTCATGAGTTTTGATCAATTTTCACATAGATTTTTGTTTGTTCTCTTTTTGGTTCTATCTAGTAGGTTTTTCATTCTTCAAAAATCAAAAAATCATTTTTTTATCGTGTGAAGTTTCTATTTCAACAATTCACACATGCTAAGTTAACAATCATTTTTATATCTATTGTGTAACAAGAGAAGCCAACACATCAGAAAAAGCTCATAGCTCTGTTAAAGATTCTCGGAGAGGGGTTGCTCTTGGTAGAAAATTTACTCGGAAGTTTTATTTTCAGTTCTTCTATTACTTTAGTGCAGCTTGCATGAAATGAAGAACTCGTACAAGAAGATTAAAAGGTTACCAAGACAAGTATTTTAGCATACACTAGCTGCCACCATCAGATCATCATTTTCTTGTCGGATTTGAATGGTACAAATTTAACATAAAAATGCTGAGGAAAATCTAGAAAGGCGCCCTTTTTTTTAAAGAAAACAATCAGTTTTATAAAAATTCTGTGATGGACAGCAACCGTTTTATGTTCCTTCGATTTGACAAGACACTTTCTTGATTTGGCAATTTTTTCATTATTTGTGTGGTGCTTTCATTTTACAGCTTCCTCAATTTAAGCGCTATAAATGTTTGATCATTTTTAAACCTTTTTTTTAAAAGCCAAAATTCCTTGATCGTTGTCCTTTGGCTATCACTTTTCTTCACTCTGTGAGGAATTGTAGATACACTTCATTTCAATTGGTCAACTAATAAGTACTAATCAAGAGAAACTCAACTTGTTTGCTTTTTTGCTTTTGTAACCGTCTCTGTTGTATTTTCATGCACTCAGAAGCTACTAGAAGCGTGCAATTCCTTTAAGGTATGTCAAGATGTCAAGCCAATTTTTGTGTGTGTTAATATATATAAGTTGTCGCTCATCAAGAGTTCATTTCAACATTTAATTTTCTTTGGTGGGGGATGGGAGACAGGTCTTTAGGCAGATAATCTCAGGAAAGATTCTGATTTTTAAAACAGATCTATCCCTTTGCATTATAAAAAAAATAAACACAGAAATATGGGTTACGAAAGCTGACAAAATGAATGTTTAAAATATTGAGGTGTTTCAAAGTTTTAACAATACCTCTTCCAACTGCTCTAAACTTTTGAACATCTATATTTTTAGCCTTGGTTATTTATGTCTTGGGCTATTCCTTTATTTCATTACCCACTATCTCTTAATACCATTAAAGTATTCTCTTTGTCCCCCTGTACAAGATTGGAATGTTCAATACATTATTAAAATTTTGGGCTACAGTTAAATCCGTAATTGATTTTTTTGAAAGGAAGCAAGTATTTACGAATATTAAAATGCTACTACTGTGCCAGAAAGTCTGAAAATGTATCCGGTTTCTTTTTGTGCCGGTAATAACTATCAATTGAAAAGGAAAATGTTTTGGAATTATCACCTATTTTTCATGCTTCCCTTTTTTGTAATGGCAAAGAGGAAGTTTTGCAATCATAGCAAAAATGTCATTGTGCGTGGTTCCGTTTTGCTGATTTTGGTCCATTTAACATGTTGTGTTCACTTTAACAAAGCGCATGATGAAAAATCTTTTTAAGTTTTTGTGTATTCACCATCTTTCTAGCGAATTAAAATAGTTCTACATATTTATCACCATGATGGTAGGTGATTTAAACAATGGTTTTGGTTGCTGTGATCGGATGATTGCACCATGTAGGTTAACCAAAAATAATAGTATCCGATTTAATGCCTCGCAAATCTTTTTGGAAGTATTGCCTTTTGGAAAACACTATCGATGATGTTATCCTTTTGGGTAATACATCCAAAAGTTTTTTCCTCGATACTTTCATCAGTGACATATGATTAGCAATCACTGTGTTTTCTTTTTTCCTGGGTAATATTTGCATGTGGTATGGATTTAAGTTAAAGAGGATATTTTTTTTCTATTTCTGAAGATGAAGATAGTGAAGTGAGTTTTCTGAGGTGCATTTTCTCAAGATCAAACAAATTGAATAATCTCTTAAAAACTAGGCTAGGAACTGCATCTGCATACTGTTGGACTCTCTTTTCCTGGAACAAATAAGATAATTCCAATTGGAAAGCAAAATCGATTACCACTCTACTCATTTATTTCATTAGTGTTGTGCATAAAGTCACAAGAAGGAATTTCTCATTAAAATACAAGTAAATTTCCACATGTAAATAACGGTACGTGCAAGTCATGCATGACCATAAAATTGGTTGGAAAATGGGAAAAATGTCACCTAGGAATGTTATCTCTAATTTTTTTCTTCGTGCCAATGCTGTGTTACGATAAGAACAGAGAAAAACTAACCTGGTGTTTCAATATTTTGTGTAATATTCCGGGAAGAAAGATTTTGGGCCTCTTTCTCTTGTAAAAAAATGAAAAATAAGGAAGAGAAGGGGCAGGGGTAGTTGGTACAGTGTTACGTCTTTCATGAGTGAAGTCCTGCATTACAATGAAGGAGAGTAAAAAATGGAATTAATGATATGTTTCACTTGAATGCCTCAAAAATTGAATTACTGTACATTTTTATCAACTAATGACCTATTGTTCTTATGATCAACGTAGTTTGGGCAGGCTATGTAAGTGATAAACTGGGTATCCATTTGAGGATTTCTGACGCTTAAGCTGTCTGTATGTGAAGGCTATGCGGAAAATGAGTACGCCTTAACTTAAGCTCAACTCAAGCTCCTTTCCTATAGAAGTGGAACTGCATTGAAAGCTTTCGATGTCATTTAGCACATTTACCTATTTCTGGACAAACGTCACTAATCCTACACAGTTGACTCATCGCAACTGACCAATGTCTCCAGACAAGGGTGGAGTAACACCCAAAGTAAAAATGTGATGCGATAGCAGCCTCAAACAAGCATAAAACGTGCTCTAACTGTGAGTTATATGTAGCTTACACCGTGCATGGGTCAGAAGATCAAGTGGATGCCCAGATAAAGGATACCAAACTTCAGCATGGCTTTTATCTTTATGGTGCCTCCAGTTAAGAGGACTCAAGGGAAGTTTTGATGGGAACTATGAGTAATTTCAATTCAATAAAGCTGTAAGGAAAATGGTGTGCCCAGTTTTGTGCTGTTCAAAAAAAAAAAAAACAAAGAAATAACAGAAGTCTAGAATTAGTGCAGCGGAAAGTTGAGAACATGTAAGGTGTTTTTAAATTGTATTTTAATTGACTCAGAGGCTTTGACTTCACAACTCACAATCATTCAACTAAACACTGAAGCTGCATTCTACCCCCTGGCTTACTCACTTCACCAAAAAATTTGATGGGCTTAGACAGTACTGCGTTTCTTAGTGACTGCAGTTGTGATCTCTTTGGGTTTCATTACTCAGTCATCAGCTTCGAAAGTAAGAAAAATCTGTTGTTGTTTCAGTTGATCAATTAATATTCTAGTGACTAATCATCTCCTTATCTGTTTGCAGAATAATTTATCTTCCTCTGGTGATAACAAGGATGACTTTAGTGATTTGCCTCCAAATCAGAGGAGAAAGAGGCTCCAGCAGAAAATAGATGAAATTCAAAATAAAATTCAACAAGAAACAGCAGCTAGGTAAGAAACTTACTGGTAATTGATCCAAATTCAACTGAATTCAGAGAATTTATTTGCCTGAAGCTCCTTAAGTCGCCAAGCGGATTTTGGAAGGAAAAATGGTTTGAGGTTGAACGTTCTTAACATCTAAACTCATGCTGGGAAGAATAAAAAAATATAATGCTTTTGCATATTAATTCAAAAGTCCTCTGAAAACATGACTGAAACAACTCCCGGAGGATCTTGCAATTTTCAAAAAATTGAAGCAAAAATAAAGAATTTTACTTTATTTTGACTGGAATTTTATTGGTGAATGTTGTTACAATACTCTCATATATTACCATTAGTACCATCTATTTCACTTGCAATATCTTCATGGTGTGTATTGTTTCATCGAAGAAAGATTTTAACAATTATCACTAATGTTACTTTTTCTGGTTCCAGGGATGGTTTAATGAAGATGAAAGGTGTTTATGAGCAAAACCCTGCTCTTGGCGACCCTATGTCGATAGAGGGTCAGCTGAATGAAAGTGGGCACAAACTGGATAAATTACGGTTAGAGTTGCAGAAGTACCAAGGCTTCTTGGAAGATGGAAACATCACCAATGATGGCAACAGCCCGGCCAATCTTAGAAGACAAAATTCAACTGTCAATAATGTTAACGGATTACAAAATAACTATCAGTAAGTTACCGTTTATTGAAGTGCTAGAGCATTGTTGAGTTGACGGATCAAAGATGACAATGGGCCTGTTGCAAACTTTTGCTAGAGCAAAAATAAGAGTTGTTTCTTATAGATAATGCCTCAAAAATCACGATGAGCGCATCGGCTAAGTCTGAAATGCACTCATAACTTCACAATCTGCGTAAGAAATTTGCGTTTTTTTAAGCTTCCCGCTTCAAAAACGATACTACGGCACAGGTGAACATTTTGTTAGAGGAGTCGCTCCGTCGTCGGCGATACTCATCATGGCGGACGCTTGCGTGCAGTTCTGCGCGTAATTCGAGGAGAGTTCAAGGTCAATCAATTCGGGCGTGGAAAATATGAACGTTAACACGCCGATTGTTATCTGGTCTAATTCAGTTCAGGTGTTATCTCGTCCCATCACACGTGTTTTGGCGGATTGACGTCGACCATGATGAGTATTGCCAACGATGGAACGACTCCTCTTACAAAATGTTCACCTGTGCCGTAGTATCGTTTTTGAAGCGGGAAGCTCAAAAAACCGCAAATTTCTTACGCAGACTGTGAAGTTATGAGTGCATTTCAGACTTTGCCGATGGGCTCATCGTAATTTTTGAGGCATTATCTATAAGAAACAACTCTTATTTTTATTCTAGCAAAAGTTTGCAACAGGCCCATTGGTGTTGGACTCGCAGCACCAACATTCATTTCTTAAGTGCCAGGCCTGTTTGATGTCTAAAATGAGCAGCTCCCATTCTGCGCTGCAAGTCCCTCACCACAAGTCTATCAAGATTGGGTTGCATGCTGCCTTCTGTGTCGTAGGCATTGATCATTAGGAAACACATGTCGCATTATTGTTTAGAAAAAGAAGCTGACTTTGCAAGAGGCTGTGCAAAATTTACTTAACTGCTTTTGGAGTCAAAGGGCGAGAATTTTGCAGTTAACCCGGTCACTTATTCACAATGTCAGTTTTTGCAAAGCCCCAACCATGATGTAATGGGTCTGTTGCATGCAAGAGACACAGCCAACTGAATACTCTAAGGTAAATTTGCTCGAAATTCACGTTGGGCACACCAAAAAAGTTTGAAATCCACTCCTCAGAGCGCAATTTCTATAGTTTGTAACTTGCTTTTTCAAATTCACTGCACATGCGGGGTTGCGGACAGTTTTCTTTGGTACCTGGTAGTCAGGTTTGCCTGGAGAGAGACCTAACCTGAATAAATGAACAATCTCGCAAATTGTTATAAACTCTCCTTGTGTAAGCTTTCTTTTCTGCAAAATAAAGGAAGAAAAGGAAACAAATACTTGAAAACCATTGAAATCATAGAAGAGAAAAAGTCAATGAAATCTTTAATTTCTGAGGTTAGTTTTTCTTACTCCTCTGCCTGTGCAAACCTGGTCGGCGGTGACTGAAAAAAACTGCCCACAGATGTGGGAAAGTTGAAGAAGCATGTTACAAACTGCGCAGATTGCGAGCTAAGGAATGGATTTCCCGATTTCAGACTTTTTAACTTGCCCAATGTGATTTTCTTGAGATTTTACCTATGAAGAGTACATTCATTTGGCTGTATCTCTAGACCCACATCTTTAGGAAAGAAATATTAAGTGTCAAAGATGAATTTATCTGTAAAGTTTAAAAGACTTTATCTAGATTTCCAAGCTAATTTCATCGAGTAAATTAATTTAATTTAATTAAATGTGTTTTGCAACATTATCATCATAATCTATGGAACAAATGAATGCAAGTTAAATTTGTTTTAGAATTCAGAAGAATTTATAGAAATACTAATGAGTTTTGATCTGTCTTTCCCCCAGAAATAATGGAGGTGGCTCAGGTGGAGAAGAGGAATCGTTAAGTCGATCAGCGTCTGATTCTAGTGTATCCAATAGTAATCACCAAAATCATAATAAATCACTCAGTCATCTACCTATCCATGGGTCAGTATCCTGCACAATATCTCTCTTAAATTTTTTGTGTAATTCTGTGTGCTTTCAACGTTTTTTTTTTACGACAGCTTGAAAGCTCCTTAAGATTGGTTTTTGTCACTCTTTTAGAGAAACAGTTTTAGAGAAATTGCCACATTTTTCTATCTGGCAAATGGTTGCTGAAATGACACTACAATGTTAATTATGGCTGCGGCTGAAAATAACATTGCAGTAACCTTTTCGGCAACCATTTGCTTGGCAGGTTGCAGCAGATGTAATAAGAAGTTTTTTAAGTTGTGGGCTGTGTGGACTTGTACAGCGTTAAGTACATGAAACCACCAATAGCATGTCCATACAGTTAGCATGACAGTCATTAAGTCATTAAGGTAGATTAATTGAAGAGTAGATTTAAACGAATCCTGCGATAGAACTTTCAAGTAAACCATTCATCATGAATTAAGAGTTCAATGACATCCTCAAAGCAGGAGTTCGAATTAATTTTGGTACCAATGTCTGCATCACTACAGCTTGAGTGAAAACTGTGAAAAGAAACATTCACTCGGACCAATTCACTTGGGTATCGATTTCCTACTTTTGATCGGTACTGCTCAAATCACACATCAAAATAACAATCATCAACAGAACTGCGTTGAGCAAATTCTCATTATTTACAAGTTAATGAGCCTCCAAGCAATGTGAATAATTTGAAAAAATTATTTTCCTCACGTTGTTTCAAGTTGACCTGTGCTTTTGTTTATTTTTTTCATTTTTCTGATTTTTATTCAATTGTGATTTTAATTTTTTTCTTTGTCCTTATTTCCCCCCCCCTCCCCAATCAAAATTGAGAGATTAATTAATTAGAATGCCTGTTTGGCAGGTTCTCCAACAGTCCAGAGTCAGGGCTTGGCACTTCACACACGTCCTTACCAGATTCGGAATACTATGACCTACCACCACTTGGAACGTGTAAAGCTCTGTATCCATTCGAAGGTATTCTTTTCATTTTCATTAATTACACTTTTCCTTCTACTTTACTGAATTCGATTCTAAATATATTCAAAACCACTGCAATAATCTTATCATAAAAGCTCCCACATTGAAAGATCTATTGCTCTGCAGCAAAGCGATGTTAAGAAGTTAATAATTATCCTTTAAATTGGCTGAAAGCCCTTTGCAACGTCTTATTTTACCGATCTGTATTCTAACCAGAAATTCAGAGAGACTTTCCATTGGTATCTTAGCAATGGTGGAGGCTTTAAATTTTGGGACTCCAATATTAAACAGTGATATTAAAATATTGTTGTCCACCTTTTTTATAAATTTTCTCAGAAACTAAAGGAAAAGTGTGCCATCAAACTGAAACTAACATAATTCACAAAACTTTGGTGTGTGAGAGAGCTCTCAACGGTATGCCCACCTTGAAATGTGTGAAACGGTAAACCCCATTTGTGTTCGGAGATTACTTCATCAGTTCAGTGCCGAAGAAGTATTCCTATCAAAATGTTTTACATATTTTATTTATCGAAGGAGTTTCTTTTCTCTCTCTCTCTCTCTCTCTCTCTCTCTCTCTAATCCTCTGTAGCTGAACTCCCTTGCTTTCATACTTGCTTTGATTCAGGAATCTCCTGACTTTCATTTTTAGTATTATCAGATGAACATGCTGATTTATGTTTTTCATGACTAAATTTTATCACCTATGAGAAAAAATTCAATTAATTCTTATAAGTATGTTTCATTTGTTTGAATAGCAACGAGTGAAGGATCGATTCCCATGTATGATGGAGAGGAATTGTACATAATTGAACTTGACCAGGGAGATGGCTGGACCAGAGTGCGCAGATTGAATGATTCAGAAGAAGGATTTGTACCAACGTCATATATTGAATGCTCCGTTTACAATTCTTAACAGTGTAAGTGGGTGTTGAATATCTTTTTATTAAGGCTGTGAGTATGATTAAGCACTGTCAAACCCAATTAAGTTGGAAGCTGCATAAAGCTGAAGGGTGAAAATTAGAAATATAGCAAAAATATCGGGAAAGTGCTGGTTCCATACTATTCTGAGAGGAATTCAGAGCCAGAAAAATCCAATAATTAGAATGGACCATCGGACGAAGTAAGCATTAAAACTTTCTGACAAAGTGTTTCTTTTTCAAAACTCCACACAGAACCTAATTTGCGCAGCAAATATTGCTGAAATTAACTCCTAACCAGGATATTATCATTTTGATGCAGCACTGATGCTCCTAAGATAAATTTAATTATCTAGCTTAAAAGAAAAAATGAAGTCCATGTGAATCAAATCACACATTACAACAGTTTTTGAAGGTTTTTGAAACAATCAGTATTCCCTTTCCATCCTATGTTGTCCTAAGTGTAAACAATGTACAACAGCTGAACTAAAGCACTGAGATTGAGGTTGCCGTTTTTCATTCTGCAAATATTGTTACGGTAGTTTTAAGTGTGCGATTTAACTCTAATAGATTTTGGGTTTTTTATGCCTACCTTTTTATGAGCGGAAAGTTTGAATTTACGCATGGAAAAACGTTAATATTTTGGTTAAGAATTACTTTCAACACTCTTCGTTGCATAAATTGTGTTCTACATGAAATTTTGATGAGATAACATTTATAGTATTGCTTAAATTCGTGCCTTTACTAGTGGCCCATTAGAGTCGCAAAATGAACTCTATCAGGGTTCGGTGCAAGACTGAGTAGAGGGAGACAGAAATCATGGGAATACAATAGAAATATTGTTCCTGATTAAAGTGTTACCAAAGGGTACTGGGACAGCAGTAGAATGAATAATCATTAATCAATCTCATATACTTATTTAAAATTATATTTACAAACTCTGTTTGTGGCCTCAAGCACACTCAGATGGACATCCTAAGTTGATTTATTTCATATATTCTAATTGTTTTTCTCTTGTTGTGAGTATATATATTTGAATCTCCATTCTGATCTGTTGACTTCATGTTTTTTACAGAGGTAGATGTTTTTTACTTCTTATCACCATAGTCAAGGAACATATTCTGGCCTGCTTCAATGCCATCTTACCTCCGCCGGACTAACTTCGCTCATCCGCTTACTCTGATCACTCTCCGCGCCTAATCTCTTTGATGGATGTTTTTGCAATTTTGTTGATACTCTTTTAAATGTTGATTTTGATTTTAATTTTTCTTCTCTAGCCGTGACAGCCAACTTTCAAAGAGCGCAGAGCTGAGACCTCTTATTGCATTTTGAATTTAATAAGTGAACTCACAAATTTCAGTCATCAGTGTCGAAAATCATTTGACCTGAAGGCTATTCGTGGACAAGTACTTAAATGAAATACTCAAGTATTGCGTCATAATTCTGTGCTTCAATTCATTTTTACCGACTTAGGAACACATAAACCTATTTTGAGTTTTTTTTTTAAATTGATATCAAATTGGAAAAAAGCATCAATTTGCAGAACAGCACAATACTTACAATTTTAGGACACAATGTGCTATAAATTATGAAGGTAATAAGGTTGAAAAATCTTTCCGATTGAGTCATTTTTGTTTTGCCATGGTGGGTGCACCTTTTCTTGCTAAGAGCAGAAAATTATCATTGAAGAAGGTTAAGCTCATCTGAGCCATTGAACAATGTAATAGTCTTCACTCGCAAAACTTGTCACTCAGTTAACTTTTCTCTGAAAGTCAATGGTGTAAGGACTTAAATACTTAAAAGAATGAGCCTATTCGGTATTTTGTAATAATTGCTCCTAGTGACTTGAAACAGTGTCGAATTTTTAAAGTATATCTTACTCCCGCCATGTGTATTTATCAAGGCCAATTATCTTGTTGGAAATGTCATCGGGAACAGATCTCCCAGGTCCTTTCTCTAATTACCACTGAACAGATGGAGGAATGTACAAATAAAGGAAATCACACCATAGATGAAACTTTGCCAGTGGACCCATTCAAATGGAGAAAAATTTTCCTTGCAAAGAATTTCCTTAATTTTTGCATGCATTTTTACCTTCAAATAACGAACTCCTCACTCATCAGACACAGGGAGTCACATTAAATTAGTTGTAGATGTTGCCAGGATGAATTTTAAAAAATTCTCTCAGTACTGTCTGTTTTTAATTGGTCTGTTAAAATACTAGTTGAAAACAATGAAAATGGCTTTAAATGTTAAGGCAGTAATTTAAAAAAATTCTTGCAAAGGCAAAATACTCGCAGCCGATTCCCTCAAATAGACGTTTTCTTAGTCTGCTATTTTGATCTGCATTTCCATGACAGTATTGAAAATATTTGAATTTCATGATTTTTGTAACTGAACTTGTGTACATTTACAATCAATGCACAAAGTGTGTATTATGTAAGAGTCTTCCATCTCATTGTTATAGAAAGCGTGTGTATTTACCTATTTTTTCCCTGAAGAATTGATGAAAATGATCCTTTTCAAACCTTATCAATGAGATTATGTGAACTAAGTACTCACCTACTTTTGTAGTTATTGAAACCATTTGATCAAATAAAAAATTCTCTCATTGCGCTCGGAGGTTGGCTGTATCGATTTCCTTCATTGTTACTGTGTATTATTGTAATTTTATGTTATTGTTATTCAAAGAAAAAATGTACGGTACTCATCAGACTCAACAATGCGTACGAAGTCTGGTGCTTTTTTCCAAACCTGTTTTATTGGTTACTTGTATTATTTTCTGTAATTTTACTCCATCAAGGAGTGACATTTTTATTTTATTTATGTTTTTAGAGTCTTCTTGGTTATGAAGCAGAAATACGATATACATAATCAGAAACATCCAGTTTGTCTAAGTAGAATCTAAATATTATCTTAATGGATTAGCTAGAGCTGATGCAAAGCTGAGTTGGCTTACTCTGAATTTTTTATTTTTGAAATGGAAATGAAACATAGCAGTGGAAGTTTAGTATAAAATGAACCTCATCTCAGAGTTTTTTTAACCTGTCTATAATGCCTAGTTTCAAGAAATTTCATTTGTAAAATCTAAGCGTTAAGTATCAAAGGCCCAGGGATGAGCATAACGGATGGAAATAATGAAAGAGGCAATTTTAGTTTGGTTGATTTTACCTTCCCTAGAACAAATAAGCTCCTCTACTTGAAAATATATGGTTATTTTTTTCAGTCAGTAAGTCATTAAAAATCAAGGGAATTTTGAGATTATTTACACCAGGACCATGAAGAAAAGAATGACTTGAAGCTGAAATTGAGCAGTGATAATATCTTTTTACCAAACCGAATGCAAGTTGCATTTTCTGTCTATTTGAGAAAGATTTTGAATGCCAAAAACTCTTGGAACATTGATTCCATTTGTCCATCGTGACTGCCTGTACCCATGAGTTTTTAGTGCTTCAGCCCTTTTGAAAATTAAAGTTTTGTCTAAGGTTGTGTGATGATTTTATTTTTTATTTTTTAACTTCCTTGAATTCAGTTTTAGCTTTTCGAGAACCTCAATTCGCTAGAAAATCTTAGTGGAAATTAGATATTTTTTCAACATAAGAGGCTCAAAACTCTTGTAGCACTAGCCTAGCCTTCCAGAAAACTTGAAATCTCAAGTACTGTTCATAGTCCAACAATATTTTCTCAATTATTTGCATTACTTTTCAACTTATATCCCAGGCATTTTGGTTAATTTTTCCATAAAAATTAGCATTATCAGGTTGTTACTCAAAATTGTATGAGTATTTTATCTTCTAGTTGAAATAGTATTTCAGATTTTTTTCACTTCTGTTGGAGCTACTTAAACGCATGCCAGCAAACATGGTATACGAAATGCGTCTAGTTTAAGATTCTGTGTCGCTATCTTTCTCTCATCGTATCCTATTTGACAATTTTAATTCTGTGTCAATGATAGTTCTAATATTGAGAGAGTGAAGTATCATTATCTGTGGCAAGTTGAAAACTGCAATATATTATTCTGTAATTTACTGAGAAACTGCAGTTTGTTAATAAATTTCAGTGAGCGCATCTCCACTAATAGAATTACTCCATACTAGGAATATTTAGCTTTAGAGGAAAATCGTCACCCTCTTGAACAAAATAAGTTTTCAAATTTAGTATAAGGGAAGCTAGGAGCATTTTTACATTCATTTATGCAGAACAAGAAGCCGATCTTGTTCTATACCTTTTTGTTACCACCTTTCTTTTTTTTTACTTTCTGTAATTTCTGTGGTTCTAGTTTTTTACCGCAAATTAGGCCTTTTATCACGAATCCTGCTGATGTAAAATTTAAGTGTTACTGTCTTAGATTGAAAATCAGAAAGTTAAAAACCTTAAATTTGTAGGTAAATTAGGCTATTTGGTATTCCTATCGTAGAAGATTTCCTCGCTGGTTGTATTCACGAGTTCTCTCAGTTTTGCGTAACTGCAAGGTCTGAAGCTTTGGTCTATTGACAAATAAGTTCTCCAGTGCCAATCGTAGATTGATGAGATATATTTTTGAATATTTTTCTCCTAGTAATCCTTTTATAAGTTAGTTTGTGATGCCCCTTCATATTTTGAGGTTGATTTTATTGACGGTTGTTTCTTTAAACCTCTATTGGATGAAGTATTTTGAACAAATTTCTCTACTTAGTCTCGTGTGCTTTTCTTAAGTAACAGCATACAACATTGCAGAGACTGAAGGACATTTTTAGCTCGATAAACCTAAAATTTTATTACACTAGAAATAACAAGCAACTACTTATTTAGACGAACCTAGACGATGTCCAAAAATCATTTAGGACTGCTACTATTTGTATCTTACATAAAATCTGCCTATCGCAATCAGCTTTTTCCTCTTTTTTTCAATCAGAGTAATACAACTTTTTTGTTTATAGCTGATACTGTTTTGACCAAGATTTTACCTATTTAAAAAAGAGGAGATGGACTAATTTCTTTCAAAGGGAACATTTTAATCGGACTTCAGAGAGTTGAAATTGATATTCATCTAGTGGTCATTTTTGTCTATTGATTATTCAAATTTCTAATTTGTTTTACGATGCAGGTCTTCTGAGAACATTCTTTTTATGTTTCCGTCTCAGCTTTGAAGCCCCTTTTCTTTTCTTATTTCTCAAGAAGAATTCAACAACTTTGTGATTCTTTTTCAGTTGCTATGTTTAGTTTTTGTATCACTTCAGCTATTCACCTAACATATTTTTTATGCACACCACATAAAAAGGAAAGAATACTATGTTCATTTCCAAAGATTACATAATACCCAGTTCAATAGCTAAAACTTGATGTATGATTGTGTGATTTATTTGTTCAGTTTAATCTCATCAATTTTGCTTTTGATATTCTGATTTTATGGAGCTGCTATCCCTATCCTTCATTTTAAAGAGATACTACAAAGTTTGTACTTCTGGGTTTGTTAATGCGGTTGTCTATAAATTATCTGTCCACGACTTTTAATTCACTTCTAAAACTACCCATGGCACAAGTTTCAAAATCGGACATTTATGCCAAGAAACTGCCATAAAGGTGATGGATAAAAATTTGAAACTGGACTGTAATGAAAAAGAACTTTTTTTTCCTCTTCTTTTTTTGGTGTGTGTCATAAGTGACAATATCAACCACTCTTGTTCATTAAAATTTACTTTACCTTCATTTTGTTGTTTTTCCCCCAACATTGATCCCTCAACACAATCCTATCAAATCACTTGACGATGACTGTTTGTAATTGGAAGTTAGTGTCTCGCAATCTTGAACAATTATATGAAATTAATGTGATCGGAGGTTAGAAATACGTACAAATTGTATATATAGGTATAGCTCACACCTATTATGTGTTTATGCTAGTAAATTATTTTATTGATTTCTTGCTCCTTTCTTTTCTTTTTTTTCTGTTTTTTTGTTCAATTTGTTATTTTGAGGTTGCAAAGTGCACAGTTATTGCTTAGTAATTGTATATTGAAGCTTTGACCTACCCCACAAATGTTGTTATGCCATGTTAGATTTTAAGTTTCGTAACTTATTATATACTTTTTTAATAAAGGTATTTTTTGTCATCATATGTAAAGAATACATTTTTTTCTTAATACATTCCAATTTCTTGTTCTTTCTTGTACCCAACCCCCTCAAATTTTTTTCTGATTTTAAGTTCCTTAGTAAAATAACTTAATTTTCCATAGAAGCAAGTCAGTTGCAACATTACCAAGTGTAGATCTAGAAGATTTAAGTGAAAATTTGTCTAAGGGGGATCAGATTATTCTGTGCCAGAGAAAGCTCTCTTATCATGACCACAGCTTATAATCAGCATTTCTTTCAATACAAATTAAGAACGAAAAAGTCTAAAATTCTCCTAAGCTTTCAAATTGTTTGAGGCAGAGGCAGTCGCCATCTTTCCATTTATCTATGGTGTGTCATTGGACTCAAAGTACATTTAAGAACTTTTCGATAGTCAGTCAATCAATTATTGATTTCTGAATTGTGATGAAGTTTTCAAAATGTCCCTAAAAGTCATATTATGTCATTATTGCAAATAGCAAGGTGTAAATCATGAAAATAAAGAAAGTCTCAATGAAGATTTTCTTTATTTTCGTATTATGTTGTGGTGTCAGTAATTATTCTCCATAATTTAATTGAAAATATCCTAGAATTACCCCCTAAATATGTCCTGACTACATAATACAATTCGTTTTGTATTTTGATTTTCCATTTTCACACGGGCGATTGTTCTAGAATTATTTCAACTCCTACGTCCTAATCACATTTTGTATATTGATACTTGACACAATAGTACAGTTTCATTTAAGTTCAGAATATTTTTTCAGGTATTTCTGTTGAAACTTTTTAAGTTCAGAGATTTATAAATGACTCATCGGCTATCATATTGTGTTGAAAACAAGCTTTATCTACAGATTCACCAGAAGTATTTTATTTTTATTTATTATGGTAAAGTACAAGTAAGGTTTGATAAACTAGTAGGCGGAAATAGAGAAGATATATAGTTTAATTCAGAAACTTTGGACAGAAGGAAAATAAAAGGTCTGTTTCAGTAATTATAAGAGGGAATTATTTCAGAAAGGGGTGTGGTTCTTTTATGACTTTTGCATTTTAAAGGATTTGTTCACAGTTGTATGTAATTGATGAATAAAAAATACCAATGACTAAAATAGCAAATGTCTATCTCCATTACAATATTTCCAAATTCTAGATTATAATTATATTCATAATCTGAACAAAATATCTCTTTGAAATTTTCTGCGAACATTGACTAGTGAGAGAAGAAATTTCACAAAAAATTTCAAGGAAAACTGTCGGTCAAATTCCGTTGAAAAAAATTAATAAATGAAAATTAAACAAGAGCAAAGGCTTGCAACGGCCCAGCTTTAGCTATCAGTACCTAATACAACCATGCAACTGCTTTAGAACCCGTTCTGCCTATTTTTTCTACCAAAAGCAACAGCAGTGAAATTGGCTTATTTCGCGGGAAAATTGAATGACCTTTGAATTGACGTATTTGGGGGGTCCGAGCCCCCCCTTAAAATGAAATCGAAGTGATTTCTGCAATTTTTACTTAAAAGCTGACACAATTTGGTAAATTTTCCCGTTTTATTTTTTTCTTTACGATAATTTGAACTGGAGTTACGATTTTTTGAAAATAGGTCAGATTTGACCTTTGACCCATCATAACTCGGTCAAAAATTAAGATATTGATCTGCGGTTTGCGCCAAAATTCTTAGTTTTTTATGCTCTTTTAAATAAGGTCTCACAAGATAGGGGTTGCCATTTGAAAAAAAAAGTTGGGGGACCAAAATTTTGACCCCCCCCCCCAAAGATGGTCCCCTTTGAGATAGGAACATTCCCAAAGTTTCATTACCCTAGCTCAATTCATTCAAAAGTTAGCAGGGGTGGGACGGACTTTTGGTACACCCTGTATAGCCAGTATTTGAACAATCTTGAACCAAGGTATGTATCCATACAAGAATTTCATACAAATTCCTGGTGAAAAATGAATTTGGAAAATGCATTTAAATGCATCTAAATACCTACCTGAAATGGAGAGTGATACAAATATTCAAGCTTCTATGTAATGCATAGTATCCTTCCCATTTGAAGGCGTTTTTGGCGCCTCTCTGCTGTGAGCTTTTTTGCGTGAATATATACGCGTTATTTCGGGGACTTTTTCGGAGATTTTGTGAAGTTTCAACCCCAATTCTCAATTTCTACTAGATATTGTGAACGAGCTTATTAGGTGCATAGTGTAGAGTAAATGGAGACCTACAAAATATATTTTGTATAATTTATTGACAGGGGAAATACCTCGAAGTTTCAGATTTTTCAAACAATATTTTTATCTTTAGATTTGTGCTCTGTGATGAGGCCTTGGCCTAGGGAGTTGCAGATGGTTTCAGGGTTGCCTTTCCCAAAATTTACGGGAATAGGGATCATTTCAGTACTGTTTCAGCTCGCTGGAGGCGTCTTCCGTACCATCATGCAATCTGCCAAAAAGCTGCGCATACTGCAATTCCAAGTGCCGCAACCCGCAATACCGTCAAGGTGGGCCATGTTTGTGTTTTTATACCGGCGCTAGTGAGAAAAAGCTGCGTCTGTACGTCCGTATTTGTCCATCTCAGCAGTTCAGTGAGCAATAAATTATTCTCTTGAAAATTTCTGTGTCAAGGAATGTAAGGTCAGTCACTTTTTATTGCAGTTTAATTTCGTGTCGTGATCTCCTGCACAGGTCTTCCCGAGAGTTGCCAGAGGCTCTTTGTTTTGTTTACTCATAAACCTGAGTCATCTCACCTCGCCTCCTTTTCGACGTCCAATCGAACAGTTGTCCTTGTGGAAAAGCTTGTGATTTAACATAGAGGCGCTATCAACACATTACCTTCGTTAAATGTAGTTTGAAACATCAGGGATTTCTTTTCGTTTGGTATGTTCTCTTGGGAGTTGCTCCCTTATCTCACTGTTGTGGACCGATTGTTTACCTGCCCACTCATTGCATTTATGTTTTTCCACCCAAGTCATCGAAATCTTCCAGTTTCAACTATCGAAGCATGTTTCTTTTCACATAATATATCCTATCTCATGCGAATTCACATGGTATTTAAGTGCCATGACACTTAAGTGTATATATTAGATTGCTCGAATTCGCCTAGCTCTTATCACTAGTTAGCGGATATTTGTTTCAAGTATGCATTATACATTTACAATATCTGATTTGACCAGGATCACATGCAATTTAAACTCTCTAACAAATCCTCTTGCAGTTACTTCTTCTGAAGTTGAGAATCTCGGACATTCTAACTTCTCTGTTTCTTGGCTGACGTGGAGATAAGTAAATGAGCCAAGAGTACGGAAGGTTTCAGCAGTACATGATGATAAGCAAGCTCCTGCTGGCTAACTTTAAAATGTAAATATTCCTACTTATTGCATGTGTGAATGAGACAAGTGGCTCCTATCAGCATTGTTCAACCCTTTAACCAAACACGATGATGAAGATACTGAGAATCGGTGAGGTTAGAGGCCTGGAACCCTTGGATTCTATATCTGTACCAAAAGTTTAGAATTAACTCGCATTAAGCAGGTTCCAGAGCCAGAATTGGTCTCCACCTCTGGTTGAAAATTTATAGCTATATTATTTTGTGTCTCTCATATTTAATTGATGGGCAACTAATTAAAGCTTTTTGTTGATCAACTCGTAACACTTATCGAAAATCTGTTAAGAGAATTATGATCCTCTTCTTTTCAGTATCCTCTAATTAAAAGCTTTGTTTTTGCAGATCCCTCAAACATGGCTTGGCGATTTAAGGCATCAAAGTACAAGAATGCAGCTCCGTTGGTACCCAAACCGGAGAATTGTATCCGAGACATTAGTGTGGGCTCATACCAAACGTATGGAAACAATATCACTGCCTCGGCCATGTTCATGGCCTTTAATGTGGATCATGCTGGTGAGTTAGATATAATTTCAAACAACCAGATATTTTTACTTTCAACATATTTTAATTCATGTCTCTTCGTTGGTCTACATAGTCTTGATATAAGTACAACTCGAAAAGGTAGAACCCTATTTGGAGGGAGAGTAAAATTTTTGAAACTGGAACAACCATCGAAGTACCCACCTCTCTTCTATTTTTGATGGTATGCGGCATTAATGAGCAATATGACTAGAGGACATTCTGATTTTCATCACCTTCCTGGTGATGTATCTATGTATTAAGTATTCCATGTTTTACTGTTCTCCTTTGTGTGCAGTGTGAAGTATTCTCAGAATCAACAAGAGACGAAAGCTTTAATCAAAAACAAATTTTCTTTGCAAATTAGATATCATAGCGATAAAATGAGTAGGTACTGCAAGTTTGTTCAAGCACATATGGTTCGAAATACTGCCTCAAATTAGCTTCCTCTCCTGGTGCTCAAGGCAAGGGCTCTAGATACGTAGCCAATCTTTATACATCTTATCATCTAACTATTTTATTTAATGCCTTAGCCAAATTAGTCTAGAACTCTAAAGGATAATCTAGAATTAGTCTCTCCAAATTTCTTTTCACAAGTTACCTTACCTCCAACCAAGCTTACTCAATGTATTTCCTCTAATTTATCAGGTTCAAATTTGGCAATACTACCAATCAATGACTGTGGGAGAAAACCAAAAAATATGCCTTTACTATATGCACATTCAGACACTGTTACTGACATGGATTTTTCTCCATTCCACGATAATTTACTGGCAACTGGATCTCAAGATTGTATGGTAAGATCTTGAGACATTTCTACCTGATATGGTTCAAAATGACCTAACACTCCTTTTTCCTTGCTCTTTTTTTTAAATAATTGAAAGCGTAATCAAATTCCATACCAATTTTTTGCAAGCTTCATTTATTTCAATCTCAGCAAACCTCTGAATAGAAGAAATACTAGTATTTGTCTTCTCTTGAAGCAGTTTTTTGATTTTTTAAATCTGAAAAAATGAGGTAATTAAAGCACCTAAAAATTGAGCAATTGGGTTTTCAATAATCTAATCCATAGAAATATCTATCATGTTAATTTCTAATTGACATATGCTAAAAAAATGTGAGATCAGTTAGAGCAGGGATATAATTTGAATACTCACAGATAATATATGTAGTTGAGAATGGCAAAGTGGTTGCCCCTTTCATTCAGTTCATCTCTTTGCCCTGCTCCTATCACCCTCTCCACTCGCGCGTACATGCTTAGGCCCTGCTTCTTCCTGTTTTCTCTGCTGCCTTTAACTCTGTCCTGTTGTTCTGTGCTGCCTCTCTAGCAAAGTAGAGCGGATTGCGCAAAGGATGCATATAAATTTTGATGTACCCTTGCAATTCATCAACGCTTTCTCTTGTGATAATAAATATGATTTAGCAAACCAGGCCTCCATACCAAGTCCCCGCCATTCATCTAACAAACAGCCACAAGTTCAGAAGGTAAAGCGCTCCTGACACTTGCGATTAGTGCGAATCAATTTTTTAAGAAATTAACTTTTAACTTTTTAACCTTTTTTCAAGAAATGATACTGGCTCATCTTCAAGTTGAAAAGAGTTAAGTTAGTTTCATTATATTTCAGGTAAAACTGTGGACAATTCCAGATAATGGTTTGACCGAAAACTTGAGCAATGCCCAATGTATGCTCAACCATGGTCACAGACGTGTCGAAAATGTTACATTTCATCCAGTTTGTGACGCATTGCTGACTACAACATCTGTCTCCTCTCTCTTTCTCTGGGACTTAGTAGAGCAGAAGAAAGTATTCAGTAAGTGGTGGATATGTATTATTTTACCTGTGTTTTAAGTATCGATCAAATCATTTTAGTAAGTTAGTTGATTTGTGTCAATCTTGTAAGGTCTTTAAGCACAAGCTAATTTAATCTTATCGGTCAAAATTTCTAGAACAGCAAACCTATTATTCTTTGAACAGATTATGGCTCAACACATGTGCCATCTAGACAGAGAGTTGGCGATTTTGCCAATATGTGTTAAAATTCAGTATAAAACTGAAATTCTTATTACACAGGAAGAAAACACATTCAAGCACACATTTTCCGCTACAGAGATATGCTTTTTGGTGCAACTTTAGTAGGAGCAGTCAGGAAGACAACTGTGGAAGCGTCTCTAGCCGGTCCCATCATCAGCATTGTGCAGCGTGTGTCTATCCGATCACTTTGCATGGATTGACGGGCACACAAAGGCGGCAGGGAGTTCTTATGAATTTCTGTTTTCTTTTCCTATTTTAAATCCATCCTGATTTCCTAAATTGGAAATGTTCTCCCTGTATTATGAAGGATTTATTTTATTATTAATCGTTGAAAGTGAAATTTTGATGTATGGTTATCACTATGACCTCAGATGACTTCATGAACATATTATTGTTCATAGGTTACAATGACCATGGTGATGTGGTTCAAAGCTTGTCATGGAAACAAGATGGGCAGCTCCTGGTGACATCCTGCAAAGACAAACAATTACGAGTAATTGACCCTCGATGTAACTCAGCTAATGGTGCCGTTACACACTCATGCATCAGTCATCATGGAATCAAAGATTCCCGCGTAGTTTGGCTAGGCAACATGAATCGCATACTAACCACTGGATTTAATTCAGTAAGTATTGTTTTGAGGGTATTTTGGCTTATCTCTATCATTCGAGTTAATCCGACTTGCAGAAATCAATATGCACTAAGTTTTGATGTACTCCATTGGATGAGCATCAGTGCAAGTAAGTAGATACAATAAGAGAAGTGCTGAAGGAATTCTTTTAAAATCTTTAAATTTTATTTATTATATTTACTAACATCTCAGTGTTTGGGAAACTTCAAAACAAATTGGATTGAACATTTTGACTACCTTGCCGGTTCCTAGGGTCCGGGACTTACGGAAGCCATTCTCAAGTCATTTCCGTTGAGTAGAAAAGCACCCTATCATTGCATATCTGAACCTTTCGTTACACACGTGTCCAAGAGATGCATAGACTTATACAAGACTAGGCTACCGCTCCCCCAGAGCGATATCTGTAAGAGTTGCAAGTTTTTTGCATCTCTCAACTTACCGCAAATTATGAGGCAAACCGTGGCAGTTAACGTGTTAATTGTCTCGGTTAAATGGATCTTACAGATAATTTAAGTCTTTAAAATTTTCATCATTCAGGGTTTTCTCTTTTTTCATGTCCGTCTCTGTTTTTTTTACAATTTACTTCCAGCTGCTCAAATACACTCATTGTCTTTATATTTTTATAATTTCAGTCAAGGCAACGAGAAATTATTATGCGTGATCTACGTGTCATGAATCAGCCTGAAAAAACTTTGTGTCTAGATAGTTCTACTGGGTGAGTTAATTATTTAATTTGAACAATTTTTGTCAAAATTAATCGTTTAATTGTTTAAAATTGGTTAATTTTAACAAATTTCCCTCAGAAATTTGTCATATTTTCTGTCTGCTCCTTGTGTAAGGAAACCAGTTATCCCCTCTCTAACAAGTCAAGCAACAAACTCAACACAACAGACAATATCACAGGTCTGTTCAGAGAAAACTGCCGAGAGAGACCTTAGTATTTTGTAGTGCGGAGCCTATTCATGACCCTAATTTACCTCTTATATCCACCAATTTTCTGGAAAATTTAGATTATTTTTAAAAAAAGGCGTTTTAGGAGATAGTTCTGCTAATATGTATCTCAATATTCTCCTCTCACTGAAGTAATCAGTTTCATTCTCTTGAAAACGTTTAATGTTGATTCTATTTCGGTTTCAGCATATTGATCCCACTGTTCGATCCAGACACAAATATGTTGTTCCTTGCTGGAAAAGGAGATATCACAATTTTGTACATGGAGGTCACAGACAGGTAAAATGTCTTTAATTTCATATTCTGCGGATCCGAGCGTCCCTCCTCCCCCAATATCCGACTATTGAAAGAATAGTGCAGTTTGTAAGAAGTAGAGATTGTTCAAAATGGTTTTCTGGCATCATCAGAACTGAAATTGGATTTAAATTTTTTGTATCTGACCAGAATTGGGCATCAAATACTTTACGGAAGTATCAGGTAGGAATGTTATACTCCTGAAAATGTATGGTGCTGTATTGTTTGAAAACCATCCACCGAATCCTGCCATCGTTCTGCGCCGCAAAAAAAAAACAAAGGTTGCATTAATGATCACATTCCCATTTAGGTGTAAATGTAATGAAAAGTAATAAATTTTTCTTTTTGTTGCTATCTTAAAGTAAAAAAAGTGAAAATTACTGCGAGCCCAGTTTACTGAATTAACTTTCAAATGATGCAGTCCAAAAATGTATCAAATGTGTGTGTATCATAAAAAAGTGATTTTATCATTATGGAAGCCAGATGCATGGTGAATAATCTATAAAATTTCTTTTTAAAGACTGGTAGTTGGAAATCTCAGTCTTATTCATTGTGTAATTCTGTTCCTCTTTGAATTTAGGGAGCCATTCCTTGTTGAGGGATTGCGACATACAGGAGAGCAGACTAAAGGAGCATGTCTTGTCCCAAAGCGAGCATTGAAGGTCATGGAGGCTGAAGTTAACCGAGTACTTCAACTGACCTCTTCCATGGTTATCCCTATTATGTATCAAGTCCCCAGAAAGGTGAGGTCACCTTCCTCTACTTCTATAAATTACTCAATTATGGTCTGTATAATGGGTCAGTGGCAAGAGATGGAATGTTTACAGTTTTGGTTTAAGTATTAAAACCACCTGTTGAGCTGAGTATGAAAATATCCTTGGTTTTTAAATCGGACAAGTATTTAGAGAGTTATGATCATACATCACTCACTTGAAGTGACTGACTTGAGTGATGAAGAAACTTTGTACACGTTATGCTTTGCTGATGACCAAATACTTATCGCCCAAGATCAGGATGATGCTGAGTACATGACTTGAAAGTTGGTGGCTGAGTATCGGAAATGGGGCCTCAAGGTGAATGTCAGCAAAACCGAGAAGTTGACTGTTGGCGGGAATCAGCAAAGTATAGAATTAGAGGATGGGCGGCAAATTGGAAGCTGCGATATTTACAAATATTTAGGAGTTTTTCTAACCCAGGATGGAAGATTGGACCAGGCCATCAAGAAGAGGAATATGCAGGGTAGGAGGGCAATCGCTATGTTAAATGGAGTCCTTTGGGACCAAAGGATCTCCAAAGAGAACAAAAGAAGGATCTACAACGCGATTGTCAAGAGCATAGTAACCTACGGGTGTGAAGTATGGCCGATGAAACAGCGGACCCGGGAGGTTTTAGAGGCAACAGAGATGGACTTCTGGCGTAGATCCGCTGGTATTTCCAGAAAGGATCGCGTCAGGAATGAGACGGTACACGGGAGATCATGGATGCCAAGCAGACCATCGTGCATGACATTATGACAAAACAACTCATTTGGTATGGTCATGTCCAGAGAATGGCAGGAGACAGGTTGCCGAAGAAGGTCCTTGACTGGGTTCCTCCTGGGAGAAGACGCAGAGGGCGCCCAATGAAAGGTTGGAGGGGAGGGATTGAAGCGGAAATGTTAAGGTGCTCAATCCCCCAAGATTTGTGGTTTGAAAGAGAGCAGTGAAGGTTAGGGGTCGTAGAGCGCGAGGGAGTGCTGTAAAGCGACTTATATGTATGTATGATCATACATGCATGTTTTGAAATACAATGGTTTTAAATAAGAAATACTGCCCAGTGACATTACGGAAGGGTACATTTTGTCAATTTTAAAGCTAATTCCCTCTGTAGCCTTGTATCAGAAAAAAAATTTTGAAAAATGTTTTTATCTCAGCTCATCAGCTACGTTTACATGAGGCAATACAATTTTTTTGTGCCAGTGACCCATTGTTTCTTTAAATTGGACAGTAGAATTGCATGATTTCCAAACAAGAAGAAGAGTTAACACATGTTTTTACATAAGAAATAAAACACTTATTTGAGCAGTATGCTGCTATACTATTTAATGCTCTTTAAAAATTAGAGTTTGAAATTTTACACTGTAGAGTTTTGACTCTGTCAAAAAAGCTAAAGAAGAAGTGGCCTTTTTTCTACACTCTTTTATTAACCACTGCCTTATTTTTAACTCTTGCGTTGTCAAATAGTTTCATTTTGTTTTATTCTTGAAATGTGTCACCAAAAATTTTCAAGCCTCCTGCCAATTGCTCGAGAATGCTAGTTTCTCTTTATAATTTGTAAACTGTAGCCTATTGGAATTTTTTTTACCCAAATTGAGGGTAATGTAATTTTCCTAAGTGGAACCTTATAATTTTTGCTTATCGTGGACATTTATATAATGTGAGTAAATACAGTATAAAATTTCACTTTTAGTTTTAGCGATCTAGGCTTGATGTTAAACCAAGCAAACGTTGTTTTGTGGTTCTTTAGGAGAACTGGGTTTTTATTTTTTTTCTACCATAGAATAATTATTCTTGTATGTTGCAGTCATATAGAGACTTCCATGCTGATCTTTATCCAGAGACAAATGGTGCAGTTTCACCCCTGAAACCCAAAGAGTGGCTCACAGGAGCCAACAATCCTGTACCAAAAATCAGTCTTGACCCAGCAGCTGAGAGAGCAGAATCGGTAAGTTGAACAACAAACGTTGGATTCTACACATCAATGCACTCCATTCTGAGGAGAAAATTGAGAAGTATCAAAGCATTTTTTTCTAAAAAGGGTGATGGACTCGGTTCCAAATTGTTAAGAAAATCATAGTCAATCTTCAATAAGTTGAAAACCCTGCCAACTCTTACTAACTGCATGGTCCTGTTTTTTCACAAATTTATACAACATTAAGAAAGTCCACTTAACTAAAAATTGACTAACTCGAAAAACTCTTCAAGTCTCATAAAAAAATATTTTCCAATTTATTTAAACTGCTCATACAACATTTTGGATAACTTGACAAAGAAACTATCAAAAAAACAGTTTCCAATCAGGAAGAATCTTTCAAATTTGGAATTTCACTATTCATGATTGTTTCAATAACTTCGAGTTCCTAAAGGAATGATCTCAAAATGAAATCACTAGTCATTAGAATCTATCACCCTAAACTTACATACAAGATGCCTACGTTTGTATTTAATCATCTCTAGGTTCTTCTTAGTTCCAGATACCTCAATTTAATTTAATCATGAATTTTTGTTTTTAATAAGGTCCCACACGTATTTTGATATCCTGCAGCCTATAAATTGCATGAAATGCTCGGTTTTTTGGTGTTGGATTTTTTTTAATTCATTGCTTATTTTAACCCTATTCATATGTGCTTGCATTCACTTACTGGCTTTTACACTATTTTGCCTTTTGTATAAATAGTATACATACAATATGTTGTCTTCAACGCAAAAATGAATAAAACTTTCCAACATAGCAAAAAAAGTTTTCAAGAATTCTTTATATTTCTTCTTGCTAAGGCAATTCCTTGAATTTACATCATACCCCCCCCCCCCANTAATTAATGCATTTGTTCAATGGTTTGCATTGAATTATAGTGAAGGTGTTGATTTCTTTTAATCGCTCATTTAGGGATCATAATTTCAACCCCATAAACGATACTTGTAATAATGAACAATATTTATTTTTGCTCGTCTAGCCAACCAGATTAGATTACATATTGTTTCCAATTTTAAAATTTTTTATAATCTGTGAACAGTTTCAATACTGGAAGATGTCCTCAATTCTTTTCACAGAAGTTTCTAAAACTTGTCAACCCCCCCCCCCCCAANAATGCATGAGCATCTGGGATGAAAGAAAGTTCCAATTCTTGCATGAGGACCATCTTCTATAATAAAAGAGTCAATCCTCAAAAATTTTGTCTGACTTAAATTGAAGTAGGGAAGTCAATTATTTGGTGGGAAAAATGAACTTTCTTAGTCCAATCAAGGAATCAACACCCCTGAATTCTGATGTTGAAGAGTCTTTGGTGAGGGTACGTCAACAAATATCAATAAAAGATGTAAACAAGGTAGAGAAATGGTGCTGGGTCCACATCATTTCGCGGGGAAATCAAAGCCAAGAAATTCCAAAAATTACAAATTACAATACTAAAGATATAAATAGTAATCTAAAGCCACTGATGAAATACCTGCTTTCTATAAGATGTAAGAAGTTGTATGTATTTTATGAGTATAAATATGCTTTTAATGTTCTCATATCCTATTGGGTTCAAGAACTAGAACTCAAAAACAGGAACAGAGGTTTTAAGTTCTCTTAAATTTTTGAAGCTTCAGACTTATGCCTCAAAGGATTTTCTGCTTATTTTGCTTCTCACCAATGAACAGGTTTTGTACGCATCGCTAGAGGACCTATGCTCTGCCTTGCAAAATCGTGCAAGTGCTCATCACAAACCAAAGTCAGTAACCGAGGAATCAACCCCTGCGGTGAAATCCATCTCAGAGTCCAGCCGAATATTCCAGAGTCCATTCATCAAGAATGACGATGAAAGAGTAATGAATGGTGCACGCAAACTAAAAGAAAACAATGCTATTAATCTGAGAGACTCGAATATTGAAAAGAGCGTTTCGACTCCTCCGAAGCCACTCCCCCGAGTGTCGCGAGCTCTATCGGAACAAATCGAAGATGTGTACCAGAAACCAGTTGCAAGGCCCAGAACGAATTCCTTAGCGTCCTCTGGGACTCTTAACTCCGGAACTCCAGGGCCTCCAACTGTTTCATCCATTCAAGTCAATATATACAAGGTTAGATTTTTGTATTTTTTGCAGGTGGGGCTTGTGCCAGGATGTAAACTGAATAGGATTATTTTCTTCACCAGAAAATTCTAGGTTAGGCAAGGTCTTTTAAAAATTAAGAAAGGCTGATACTTGTACAAGTGGCTCTGTGCTTATTTATTGTTTATTCTTCAAGTATGGAAAGTTTTGTGTTTCTATGTTATGTACTTGAGTTTCCACCCATGAAAGTGCCTGAAATACGGAGTGATCAAGGGATTTAGAGAAGTTTGTCTATTTTTTAAATATTCAGAGATTGATTATATTTCTTTTCTGTCACACTGAGGGAAACAAGAGTTGCCTAAAATAGTCTCTTAAACCTATTGAGGCTGTCATGAACTTGAAAATTCTGCTCTTTCCAATTTTTAAGATGGAAAGAGAAATTCTAGATGGATTCACTAATTTTATTTGTTGCCTTTCTCATGTCAAACCTTTTGGTACCCTAAATTATTATGTATTTATCAAAAAGTTCGTCTGTTATGCTCCGCATTTTAAAATGTTGAACTCAGTTTAAACTTAGCAGTGCATCCTGGCACCAGCTTTAACTGGTATCACTTTTACATGTCCATCTTATTTATACAAGGAAGGGCAGGAAAATTGAAAATTGAAAACTCTGATTCCTGCTATGAGTTTTTGAATTCCAATGTGAACCGATTTTAAATATTTTTATTGTTGAAAGAAGGGTGGAAAATTTGGAACAATTAATTTCCAGCATTTATATCCTGAAAATGAACAAGATTTTCTATTCTTAGTTAATCAGTGTTTCAAAGGATGTATGAGGGAGATAATTAGCATGAAAACTGAGTTTTTGTGCCAGAATAGTGTTGCAATCCCTGTTCAGTGAATAATTCCTGTTGAATTATTTATTATTTTTGTCTCTGTTTCTTTACCTCTAAACTTCTCTTTGTATATTTCAGGTTTTTTTATTTTGTAAATAATGACAGAGCAACTTTATTACCAACTCTCTAAACAATTTATCTGTCAATACATGTGTATATACACCTGCTGTCTCTGTATGTTTGTTATGCCTTGTCTAACTCAAGAAGAATGCTTTGCACCACTATTTAATTTTATCTAACAGACATGATCAAACTAATGAACTTAGATCTAACCATGATTGACCTTGGCTTTACTACTAACCGCAAGTCTCTTTTAAATAAGAAATTTTGATTTTTACTCTGTGAATATGTTCCTGGAAATAAAAACAAATGCTCCTTTTTGTCCTGAATAAGCAAAAGGAATCCACAAGAGATTTTAAGATGCAGTCACCTCAGCCGTAATATTTCATTCTGAAATGAATGCAAAAAAAGTCATGTTACTCACAGATCTTCTACACAAGTATGAAAAACTGGAGCTCTTTAGAAAGCTAAGAGTATAGTAATAATTATAGCCTTTTTATCAACTTGTTTTAGTTTTTTTAGTTTTGAGGATAACACAAAAAGCTTTCAAGGAATCAAGAGTCACAAAGGACTCTTAAAAAGCTGAGAGTATGCTGATGATAGCCAGCCGTGCTTAGTAGTACGATTATCTTCATCATTTCTGGTGATAATACAATTTCATACTTCCCTTCGAATTAGTTCTTATAATTAAATGTAGATCAGTCCTCAATTCGATTAAATTCTTTTACTGTCAGAAAATCAAGCCAGAAGATCACCTTACCTCACTTTTTGCAAATCAGAAAATGCTCTGTTATTCATATGTATTTCTATCAATTACGTATTTCTGGCATTTCAATTTTTTATTTTATCTCTTTACAGCCTCGATTAGGCCCAAAACCATTTTCAGCCCCTAAGTTAAAAGATCTTGGTGAAACTTCCCCAACATCCGAGTTCGACAAGGTTTTCTCCGTTCCTTCAGCACCCAAAAGTATGTATGGGGCCAACTGCGTTCAAAATGGGCATCATGCATCTAAACCGGATTATCACTCTAACAAAGATGCTGCTAACCATGTAAGTAGTCTTATTATAGCTGGTTGTAGGGTGTCAATTTAAGTCCTGTTTGTTCTGTTCCGTCAGAAATTATTTTCCCTGTCCATGGAAAGTCTTCTTATCATTTCATTGCAATGTTCTGTGGGGTGTTACAAGGCGACAAGTGGAAGTTATTCCTGTGTGTCACAAGTGATGAGGACCAAGGATTACCCTCTGGCTAGCCTTTTAGGACATGAGAAGGGCTCCGGATGACCCGTAAAGCGTAGAATGACTTGTATACTCAAGTATTTCCCAGCTGGGTTACACTTACAATCATTAATAATAGTGTGTTTGGCTTTGGATCATACACTAAAAAATGATAATATCCTAAGCTTAAATTTCTATCATTGGCTTTTTTTCAGAATCATGAAAATGGGTCAGATTCTCTCAACTCCTCCGATGATAGCAGCGCAGAGAAGATAATCTCTCCTGGATTAGAGAAACAGAGCTCCTCTGATTCCGATGGAAAGACCGATTCAGAAACAAAATCAGAAGATATCGATGCCCCAGATTGCTTCAAAAGAGACAGAGTTGACAGGAGTAGTTTTGCTGATCGTCGAAAAATGTACCAAGAAGAACCATCAAACATGGTAAGTAGTCCAAGATACCTGTATGCGTTTCCTTAGTTACCTCTCTCCATTGTATTGTCACCGATCACAGAGAGCGGATCAGCTGATTCTTTTCTGAAACTTTTTCAAAAAATTGACTTGGGATACAGGGAAGTGGAATTTTTTTTTCTTCTCTGCGGAGGATGTTACTAAATCAGTTATCAAACTTCACACTTTCATATCAAACTTATTAGTTTAATTTTGTCCATGGATTGCATTGACTGTTTCATAATCACGTGAAAAATAAAAAACTATATCAACTTTAATTTAGAATTCAGTAATTCCAGATCTCAGAATTGGATGCATGTACTATAAATTAATCAATAATCCACGCTAAAGTTTACCGTACAGTTATGTTTCTTTTTTGCTACAGACGTCTGTCCCTAAAATGGAACCAAAGAAAGAAAATGGCACGAAAATATTGACCCCAGCCACACCAACTCCAAAACGCACGTCAACCGTTTTTGGTAAGTTACATATTTTTTTGTGGAAAGCAATTTAACCTATGGTAGATTTTCTGCCAGCATGATTTTGCATCAGAGGTTTTCAAGGCACAAATATAATTATCCCATTACTCTTTTTATATAGTATTGATGAACTGTTTAGAATTGGAGTAACCCTCTGTTTCTTTTATAATCAGTTTACGTTTTTGAAATATCTCATTAATGATCAGAATGTACTAGATTTTTGTCATCCATCTTCAAAACAGTTTGGAATATTGTATTTTGAATCATATTTAATATTTTTTCTTCGTTATTTTAGTACATAAAGTTTCTGATCTTCATAAATTCTGAATTGTAAAAAATAAAATAAAATAAATTAAATAAATTCTTATTTTTACACACCAATGACCTGTATTTTTGCATGTTATTCTTATTTTTTCAGGTCGTGTCTCCAAATTCCGTCATTTGAAAGGAACCCCAGGACACAAATCCACTCACATCGAGAACATCAGGAACTTAAGTCGCCAAATTAGTGGAGAAAGTGATGGCTTCTATGGTAACATAACTTCATTAAGATAACTTTGTGCAATTGAAGTGTATTAATATTCATTGCAATAAGTCTTGATTTTCTGTCAAAAGAATCCCAAGTTTGAGTCAAGCTATTCGAATTTAAGTTGAAAAATGTATTTCAAAATTAATCAATTTTACTTATAGTTTGGATACCTTTTTTACTTGAATTTTTGAGTAGTATCGATTTGTGAATGCCTCAAAGTATCTCCATATCTCTTAAAAAAAATGTGTGTTGAACTGGTGAAAATTTCACTTTTTTGTCCACATTTATTCAAATTTGTTGTGTCGAAAAATTCAGTTTTTAAGCCCATCATGCTAAAAGGGTCGTAATGAACGTCTTATCAAAAAGTAACCAAATTCAGCCAGTGCTAAAGCTCCTTGTGATTTGCGTAGTATTCTCAAAGTTAGTTCAAGTTTGCTTCTCATGAAGAGTTTTGACTCATTTTAGGTTTCCATCCAAATTACTTCAAGAAACCACAATATTTATGTTATTTTTCTCGTTCCAGCTAACGGAGAGAGAGCAGCAATTGTGCTTGGTGGTCCTGGTGGGAAACTTGCAATATTAGAACTTAATAAGACAGGAAAATTACCAGATGGAGTACTTCCAACCCTAGTCAATGGAACCAATGTCATGGATTTTGCATGGGATCCATTCAATTCTAGTCGCCTCATTGCAGGTTAGTGAAAGTTTCTAGCCCACGAATTCAATAATTCAGAGGAATCACAAGGAAATAAATATTATGTTGCCAGGAGAAAAACTTAGCTATTCAAATTTTGAGTATCATGACGACCAATTATTTAAGTTGGCCGAATCTGATATACACCTGGATATACCACCAATTATTGGTTAAATTCTGCGCTTAAGTATTTCCAAGTTTGACCAAGATTTAGCTGCATTGTTTGTGAGTATTTCGATGGGAAAAATCCCAAATGGCATATCTCAGTTTGCAACGTTGCAGACTTTCTGTCATACTTTATCGTTAAATAGAGTACTAATCAATGTCAGTTCTTTAAAATTTCTGTGATTTTTCTTCCTTGTGGAAAGAAAATTCTGCAAAAACTTTCAGGAATAATGTTGATTAGTTCTCCATCAAATAAAAAAAAAATGAAAGAGGGAGTGAAGATTTTTAAACACCCTAAAAGAGATACCTGGTTTGGGAGTCTCCTTGTCAATTTATAGCAAGCCTGACTTGATAGAAATTGCTGGAAAGGAGTTAAAACTAATACCATCAAAAAGAAGCATTCTTAAAAAGAATCATAAGCTTTCCCAAGAATGCCCTTTTGATTATCTTATTTAAATTTTCTTTCTACAAGTATTAAATTTTTCAACCTGCTGCTTATTTTAGTATAGTCATTTTGAAAAATTCCCTATTTAAAATTTTTCAATTTTCATGTACAGTTTGTGATGAGGGCTCCATCAAGGAATGGATTGTTCCGGAAGGTGGTTTGCAGGAGCCCACCAATTCTCCAAAGCACTCGTTCTCCTGTAACTCTGACAAAATCTTCAGTGTCAAGTTTCATCCACTTGCAGAGAATGTCATGGCAACCGTTTCGCACGATCTGATGATTAGAGTGTGGGACTTGGAATCTTATACTGTGGTGCATACCCTGAAAGGTCACCAAGATCAGGTGTGTGATTACAACTTTTTCAATCCTCTTTTTCGACCTGGCGGGAGATTTTCAAAGAAAAGGTTCTAGAGGATACTCAAATCGCATGTACAACATCAGTATTGTTTCCCAACTCTGTTGCTTGAAATTGCATTCAAAATGCTGTCATATTTGCTAATTGCCTTATTTTTCCTAGTAGTTGATGAGAAGGACTTTTTTTTTTTGGACAAAAATTGACCCCTGAACGTGTCAGTTCTGATTCAAATGAAACAAATTATTCTTCTCTCCTGGTTAGAGCCTAAATTTGTTTGTCCTCCATGTATTGCCAAAAGCTTAAGTTGTCTGTAAAATTGTGGTAAAAGTCTCCGAGTGACTAATTCTGCTGATTGATAGTTTAGCTACAGTTAACATAATTTTTGGACAGCTTCAAGTCTGACAGGGTCTAGGCTTGGGAAACTATTCTAGCAGGATTCAATCTGAATGTTTATTTTTGTTCGCAATATTTTTCATCAATTTACCTCTCAGTTGGACCGCGTTTAACAGAAAGGAACCAAGCCACATAAGCTATTGCCAAATTTAATTGCAAAATTTAATTTTCTACAAGAGAACCTATGTGCGGATTCCTTTGAAAATTTTAAGGAATTTGGTTCGTGCTGTGCAGAAAATTCCTTGAGATCTGCACAAAGATTCCGTTCTTACAACAGTTTTCATGTAAAAAATTAAAGTGCCTAATTAAATTTGGCAGTAGCTGATGTGGCTTGGTTTCTTTCTGCTTAAGGAGGTCCAGTTATTTTGCTCACCTCATCTGAGCAATTTTGAAAATTTCCTCAAAATTTTACAAAAAATCCTTCTCACTCAAGTCGGTCTCTCATGATTGCTTTCAAATTGTTTCCTCTCAGGTCATGAGTTTTGCATGGTCACCGTGCGGGAAGTACATAGCAACTATTTGCAAAGACAACTGTTTACGCATCTACAACCCAAGAGCTTCATCCACTCCTGTGAAACAGGGTAAAGGTGGACCTGGTGGCTCACGAGGGGCCCGTATCACATGGGTCTTGGATGGCACTTGCCTGGTTGTTCTCGGATTTGACAAGTAAGTTATATTTCTTATGGCAACTGTTTTTATATTTTGATTGAATGTTGGACATTCTTGAAACACCAAGAAAACAAAGTACTTAGTTTTTCAGCGTAAATTTGGTCCTAAATTGTTTTCATTTTTTTTGACACATGCCGACAACGATCACGAAAAAACCTTATTACTATCGGACTATATGAGAAGGAGATGTTAGTCAGCTTTCTTCATGTGTTGCACTGCATAGTGCTGGTAGTTGTAGATCAGTCATTTACATAATAATATTGTGCGAGAGGATAATATCAATGGACAAAGTGCGAAACCACATTTCTCCGTTTGCTATGTTGCAAACCTTCTGTCATACTTTCTTTTCACTTCGGCAAACTAGTCAATGCAATCTCTTAAAAACTTCTTTGATTTTTCTTCACAGTAAGAAAAATATTCTGTGTAAATTTCAAGCCAACTTTATGGCTCGTTTCTCTTCAAAACAATTTAATACCAACTCAAATTTTGAAAAACTGCAATGGAGACACATGGTTTCACCTTTCAGCCATTAATATAATCTTAATTTGTGAAAATGGTTGCATAGCAGTGTTTAAAAGTTCTTGACACCATTATAACGCATCAGTTTTTTATTTCATGATTTCAGAGTCTCAGAAAGGAAAATCATTTTATTCAGCAAAGAGAACCTGGACACACCTATCAGTACATTCAGCCTAGATGTGTCCCCCTCAACATTGATTCCATTCTATGATGAGGATGGATCTACATTGTTTTTGACCGGCAGGGTAAGATCAAATCTCATCCTCTTTTCATTCACATCACAACGAAGGTTTAGGCCTAAAAATTCTCTTACAAATTGACTTTTTTAGTTGTACATCATGAAACTCAATGAATGTCGCCGATGCCTTCATTGATGGTTACTCAAGTGACCCTGTTTTTCATCAAAGTACACTCTATTACAGGTTTGGACAAACGGGGTGTCAAAGTAGCAGCGCTGAGAATATAGGCCATCGAGTGATGTCGCAAGTCGTACCGTCTTTGCCGCGCAGTTCAAAGTGAGGTTCCGGCAGATCTGGTAGCTTCAATAAGCTATCAGATGAATTTAAAAAATTGATAAAAGTCAAAATAACGAAAAACTAAACTAAGAACACGAAAAAATAACACAAAATTGACGAGACCCACTCTCAAAATGGAAAGTAAATAAGTTTTCATTATGGCGGCGCCGTCGTACCATTGGATACCGTCAAATCTATGCGTTTCGATGACTTTCTAAAATTCCATTTGTCCATACCTATAGAAGAGTGTACCTTGGTCTTTCATTGGCTGTTTTTGATGTTTATTTATCTTGCTTGCCCTCTTGAGACCGCTATGTGTAGCTATCTCTGGGGGTCTTGTCACCTTGGAGTCTTAAAGTTTGCGGCCAAAATTACATCGGTTCAAATAGGAAGAAATCAAGCCATGCAAAAGGGGCTTGTACTATCGTTTAGTGAAGTCTTACATTTTTCGTGTTTGTTGAAAAATCATACATGAAAAGTATTGGAATTTTTATTGTCATCAGGTTAAAATTGACGCTGTTGGACATGGTGTCATAAAGACAATCTTACCCTTCACCCCACCTCCTATGCTCTGCATAATTAAAAGTTTTTGGTTCCCGTACTCTCCATGTATGCTTTTTAACAAGAAAAATGTAATATTTCTGTACACAACTGCATTTTCCGCATTGATACCAAGCCTCTTCTAAATTACTAGATTTTTTCCCGTTTTCGCCAGCGTAATTTTTGCTGCAATCTTTAATGCTTTATGGGCAAGATCAACTTTTCAAACTTTTTTTCCCAACAGTATTTTTTAACATATCATAAACAAATGCAAAGTGAAGCTAGATCAAGAAAGTCAACTCAAGTTTGCAGGTTTGGATGTGGTTTCTTTTTATTTTAAATTACGCATTGAAAAATTCTTTCATGTTTCTCCTTAATGTTACTCAACAGGGTGACTCGATTATCTTTGCTTTTGAAGTGAGCGATGAATCTCCATACTTGTGTCCGTTGAGCCACCATCGATGCCCATCTCAGAATCAAGGACTTGCATTCCTCCCCAAGATATATTGTGATGTAGGTGCTGTAGAATTTGCAAAAGCGCTTCGGCTCACTAACTCATCAATTGAGCCATTGTCTTTCACTGTTCCACGAATCAAGGTTTGTTCGGTCTTGTTTTCTCTCATATCTTTCAAAAATATTTTCCAAAATTTATTCTCTAGCCTCCAATTCATCATTTTGCAGTGTCAGTTGTGTCTCAGGTATATTTACACAAATTATTTATTCTTTAATGCTGAGAACTTGAACTCTTTTTTATCGTTCATAATGTATGCAAAAAGAAAAAATTTTCAATCCGTATAGGGTGTCTGGGAAACTTTTGAAGTAAGCCCCATGCTTACTCCAAGTATCACTGCAATTGAGCTGTAAAAAAGTTCAAAAATTATTTTTAAAATATTGGGAAATGATCACCAAAATGCTGTTGCCTTCTCTGATGAGACCTGCATTTTTCAGAAGTAAATGAAGATCACATCTAGGGGCAGACTGGCACTAAGAATGTGACCAGGAATTGTAATTTGCCCCTTTATTAGTTTTTTTTTTGCCGTGTGAAGGAGACATACCAGTCCAAAATCACTCTAAACACTGACTTGCCCACAGTGATTTTTCCCGCAGTCCCGCTGCTCCAGTATCTTTCATCATAATTTATGAAATCAATCCAATCCTTAAGGTATGCGGTGAGAAAGGTAAATCTTACTAAGGGGACCTTTGAAGGAGAGATCTCATCTCCATAATTTACGTTTTTCTTTAGACTGAACTATTCCAAGATGATCTATTTCCGCCAACAAGAGTGACATGGAAACCAACTATTACTGCAGCCGAGTGGTTTAGTGGAAGAGACAAGCCCTGTCCAAGGATCAGCTTGAAACCAAGTGAAATGACTTCTTGTAAGTTTTTTTTTTCCTCTTTAGCTACCAAGATCTGGAGTTATCAGTCAATTATTTATTGAATTTAATATCATGTGTAATATTGCTTCAATGATCATGAATTAATCTAGGTTTTCAATATTACTATTGACCTATCTAGTCTCAATGCGTGCTACATTTAAAGTGCATATCAAACCAAGTTTAGATTACTACAATAAAAAATTCAGCAATTTTGCTTCAGTGTTTTAGCTGATTATTGTGAGGTGGTTCACTTTTTTCGATGAATTGGTGTAAAAGAGCTCGACTGCCATCTTCTGGTGAAAAATGATGCAAATTCTCAGCTTGCAGCTTAAGTGTTGCTGAGTTTATTATTGACTGGTGCCAAAAATTTTAAGACTAGACCACTGTTTTAATTTTGCTCCAAAACTGCACCCTATTTTATCGCATTTAAAGCGGTACCTCACTATCAAACCTTCAGCTAAAATTACTTAGAATGACTGTTTCAATAACGTGGCTAGTTTAAAACTATCAGCTTTCTTAGTAAAATTAGTCCAATGGTTAGGATTAAAACAGGGATTTTTCTCACTCAATTCTGTCAGTCTCTCAAAAAGTAACAGTTTTAACAGAAGCTAATAATTTTGGCGTTCCCAAAAATTTCTAGTCTTTGATTTTTACTTGTTCAACTCCGTTTTTGCAATATACCTCCTGGGTACTACATGACTTATTTCTGATTCCTTAGTATCTGAAGTGCAGAATAAATCCAATAACATCAATGAAATGAGCTCAGGATTGGAAAATGTAGAGATTAAACATCCAGTATCAAAAGATATTCCAGTTCACCAATGGAACTCTGAGTCTGCGAAGAATGTTCAAGAGCGGGTAAGCTTTTAATCGATACCTATTTCAACTTAAATCATGACAGTCAACTTCATATTGATGGTGGAACTGCAGAACTATTTATCTTGGTGTGTGGCGTTGCCGACTTCTTTTCTTACTTTATTTTCTACATCGAAAACTACTATACGTCTTTTTTTGAAAACGTCAATGATTTGCCTTCTCTATGTGAAGAATACTCTGAAAAATTTCGAGCCATGGTGTTGGTTTGGTCTCCTTTTAAAAAAAAGAGCAACAATTTTGATATGCTGCAACGATGATACGCATTTTTGCAGTTTCACCGTCCATATATACTCTTATCTCTACGCATTCCAACTTTAAATGAAAGATTTACCATCATTAATACTGTCAAGTATGTTGGATTCTTGATAATCTAAAATTCATGGGTATGAGGCTTCTTTTTTAAAATTATCCACAAATTCACTTAAAATGAAAGGGAGTTCCAACTTTAGAGAGACCAATATAACAACAGAACGGAAAAATGAAGTAACAAAAACAACTCACATTGCACCCAATCAAAATAATCAACTCAATTTTATAAAAAAAAAAAAAGAAATAAAAAATTGCCTTTTTTATTACAAACTTGAAATCAGAGATAATATTTCACGAAACATTAACCAATTGGCACAGGAATGCAAATATAGCACTGAATCAAGATCGCGTTGAGGTTATTCTCACCTGAGTGTAGTGCACGGACTCACAATGCGGAATTACATGTGATAAAACCTAATCGTCAAAATCATAATTGCGTCTTTTTTTTTTCCTTTTTCTTTTTTCAAATGCAACTACAAAGTATGAAGAATTCTTAAAATAGAGCGTACAACTGTATGTACAATAGTTATGTCTAAATCGAGTGGATTTAAACATGCTGATTCAATGCCATGCATTCTGTCTCAGGCGTTTAATTGAATCCGTATCTAATTTGATTGAGTCTGCTCACCATAAATGCAACCTTAGAGATCTGATTGACCAGAAAATACCTTAGGGTCGAGAGGTTTGATTGACTGCACTGCTGATGATCAATTTTTAAAGCATTTTACCTCTTCCCATAGGACTTGTTTCTTCATGACACATCCTTGCCAGGTGTTTCTACTCTGTTATCAGAAAACAGGGAGCTCCACCCCATGACTGCTTTGCGATCTCACCCCCTTCAGACGTTAGGCGTTACGGGCTACTGCAATGAAGTTATATTACAGAGTAAAATATTTAAACTATACAGAAATGTTTTGAAATTATTAGTGACTGCTGCTGAACAAGTCATCCTCAAAAAGCTGCATTTTAGCAAATTTCTGATCAGAAGAGCCCTCTGTAAATTGTAACTTGGTCGCATAGAGTTTTTTTAAGACTTTATGTTAATATCTTTTTTGTATGCATGAAGTAGACTTGTACTAGAGACACTCATCTTTTCGTTATCTTTCTGGAAATCAGATATCAGTCGGCATCATGTATTCCGTCAGTTTTTGTAAGCAAACAGGAAAACCTGTATCAATGATCTAAATTTTGTTTCTTTGTTTCGTGCAATTTGCAGATTCAAAGGTCCATTTTCAGTAGTATTGAAGTTGATACAACTCTAGAACAAGACAAAATGGAAGGTGTAGATGAGTCCGAATGGGTAAATATGTTTTGTATTTAGATTTTATTCCATTTTCCCCTTTTCTAAATTGATTTCACTTAGTTATTCAAAAGAAGCAGTCAAAAATGAGCTTAAACTAGAGCCATCACATTGAAGGGCAAGTGAAGCCGTGCAAAGCACCTGAAAAAAACACCTCTGACCTCATTTTCACCCTGGAACCTTTTATCTCATGACCATAAAACATAAATGCTCTGGAACCTATTTTAATGGTTCTGGCAAACCCAGGCAACTCTTGGCAAAAAGCTTGTGAATAAAAATATGCTAAATTTTGCTCATTCTAGACCCAGAGAGAGTGCAAGTGAAAAGTTACTAATTGAGTAATTGCTTAAAAACTGCGGAATCATTCCTCTTATCTTGTCCTCTGATCGTTGTATTTTTTTCCCCCTAAACTTTCTGTATGGATATGAAAAACGTTTTGGAGGCAAAATACGAAGTATCATTTGATCATATTTCATACTAATTTTCATTGCTTTGTACTGTCTGTTTTGCAGGATGATTAATGTGATCAGTCAAAGGAGTGTATCTTTCACCAGCTATCATCATGTTTTTGATGCACCGTACTTGTTCTTTGTGCATTCCGTTGCTGTATTTACTCATAGTATCTAATCTTTTTTATATATTTACTTTAATTTCCATGTTTTTTGAGTATACTTTTCTCGCTGGTTTTTTTTTTTTTTCTTTGCCAGAGCAGTCATTTAATGGTAAGAGGCTAATTTTGTACCAATTCTCTGCTTATTTTTTGTAATTATTTACCCTTTGCTTACATCCATCGTCATATGTAACAAGTATATCGTATCTTCTTTTTAAATTTATATTTTTTTAACTTGTCGCTAGTCCTAGATTTAAGTTTGCTATGTTTTTTAAAAATATTTGAGGATGGGGAAGTATCATTTAGAGGTTTCAGAAGAACTTTTAATTTCCATCAGATTGCTTAAAGTGGGAGCACTCAGCGAGAGCTAGTTAATGGTATAAACATTTTTGGCATTATCAGAGAGCTCTCTAAGTTACTTTCAACTGACCAATAATACTATTTTTCGTATACCAATAAGCTTTTGTTTTTATTTGATCATTACCATTTTTTGGGGGGTAGGAAATCATGTTTTTTCATGAGCACACAGAACTGCAATAAGGTTAGTACTTAGTAGCACTTAGTACTTTGCTAGATGTGCATACTGGAGTAATAAAATATCACGAGTACTAGATGTTATCCAAAAAATGTTTTCATCAAGTGAATTATGAAGAAAATACATCCTGATCGATGCTTAGATTCTATTGTCTAAAGAGAAATACTGTTGAGGCACAACAAAGAAAGACATCAAAGGTTAAGGAGTGACATTCTTGCCTTACTTTTAATACCAACTGAAAACATTCCAAAAGCAAGTTTAGCACTACAAAGTTTCTTTTATGCTCCAATTTATTTTTCTCCACATCTTAAGAGTCTTACTCTTGAATGTGATGCCCTTGTCTTTTTACTGTAGTCTCTACTTTTCCTCTAATCGTTGTTTGAAATGAGCTTGAGTTGAGAGATTTTCTGTACAGAAGTGTGAAAGACTTACTCCTAAGCCTCATCACATAGGTAGTTTAACCAAGCATCAAAACCCAAAAGAAAATTAATGATAATGTTGTATGTTTAACTCCATTCTTAACTTCACTTCAGTCCATGCATTTAGGTCTCTCAAAGAAGGTTACTTATTAAGGAACCAACTTCATGTAGATGTCTCATAAATCATTTTTTTTGGCAAAAGCTGATTTTGTCAAGCTATACATCCGACAGTAGGTTGTGAGGCTTTTGCACCATCACATAAAGTCTAAAATTTTAAAATTCCATGTTCAAGTGTTTTAAAAGGGAAGTTCTTCTGAAAGTGTGGAGCTTTTACCCATATCAGTGATATTGTAACTGACATGATTTTTTTCATTCAATTGAATTGCTGTATGATTGAATGTCTATGTATTAAGACATGCTTATTTTTTATTTGAAAATAGCGATTTAATTATTTTTATTTTAAATTTCACTCCTTGATTGAGCTATAAATTAAGTGAGCTTAGACTGACTGCTTAGCAAGGCTAATACATTCTCTGTATCAGATTAATAATATTGTTTCTAAGTTCACACCCACGCAAATATTCAAATTTAACAAATCATTTTAGTCTCAAGGCAAATATAACGAAACAAGTGCTCTAAACACTCAAAACGGAATGGGTCAGATACAGTTTAAGCCAGTAAATAATGAGGATGCACCTATGAGCTATGGAGCTTTTGATGGTGAAACTGCTGAAATGGTATCTCGGTTAGGGACGTTGTAGAGTACCTTTATAGCGAGAGTATGGACAGATCGCTTGATGGAGAGCTTAGGGGCCAAAAGTGCAGCCACCCTTCTGAGCAACTTCTAACACACGAAATTTCACTGCCAGCCTACAGATTTCAATTCTAACCAAGATGGCCAAGAATGTACATAAATGAGCGTTCTTTCGCAAAAATAAGTAAAATTCTGCAAAAAGTAAGCCGATCACATGCTTTACAAACGACGGTTCGTAACAATTGTATTTGTAAATCACTCTGGACATTTGAAATTCATAGGTTGGCTGCATTTCTGGGCCCTAACTTTATTCGCGGAGGCATCGGTGAAGGCCTGATGAATTTTCGGAGTTTCACATCTGTCTATACTCTCGCTATACAGGTACTCTAGGACGTTGTAGACTTCCTGTCATTGTTTAGTTTCTACATGGAAATCTACCAAAGTCTTATCTTGAAAACTTCGGTGATTTTTCTTCTCTATGTATAAGAGAGTGTTGGTTCTGTGACAATTTCAAGGTATGATGTTGATTCAATCTCCTTGTAAAAAATAAAATAGAGGCAAAGTTTTTGACACATCGCAACCAATGTACACATTTTTCCAGTTTGATTAAACCTCTTAACTTTTCACGAGTACATTGTCATGATTCAGAGAAACAAAATTTTTTGAAAGGCTCCAATTGCTGTAAAAATGCTTAAAATTCAGTTTTCTTATTCAAAGCAGTCAAAGTTTGTTTTTCCCCCAACATTCAAAATATATAACTCGAGTCTGTAATATTAACCTAACTTAAGTCTCGTGACAGAAAGTGTCTTTCCAATCTTTAATTCATAGAAATAAGTTACTCTTTCCGTTGATAAGTGTCTTTTAGTGGTTTTGCTCAAGCCAAACAATAAAGAGCTGTGGTAACCAAAGGAACCCAAAATGAAGGTTTCCCAAGACTGACTTTTTCTAAATGTCCTTCTCTTTTTTAAGCAAGGGAAGTCTCCGATGATTAATTGGTTTTGCATCTACTTACACAATTAAATCATCGTGAGTTTTCTATTCAAGTTTACTTTTGCGTAAAGTTTTTATTATTTATTTAATTTTTCTTTGATAATTTTCTTAAAATGTGCAATCGCCCATACTCGTAATTTTGCTCAAGTTATTCTTCCTTCTCATGTCTTATGTATTCTCAACATTCTTAAATTACCTTTGCTTTTATGAGTATTTGTCCGGCAAGTAATATTTTTCTGCATTTGAATTTAGAGGTGTGTGGATTTTCTTCTGTGAAAATTGTAAGTCAGTTTCGAATCTCAGAAAATATCTGTTTTTAACCATACTGCAAAACTGTTAGTATTTTCTGATGTTGAAGCCTTAACATAAAGTATTCAACATTTGTTTCAACTTTTCCCATAATTTCTCTTCTGTGCCCAAGAATGGGTTGGAGTCAGGAAGTCCCAATTTTTCTAGTCATTCCAAGTATGATACCTATTAACTTATGGATACTGTTCATCTTAGGTTTTTAGTAGAGGCAAAGTTACTGTTTTTTGCTCTATCTTTTTCTTGTTTCATTTTATTTTTCTTCTTCCTCCTCTCTGTTGAATATTTGTATTTTGTATGAGTTTGTTAGTTTTATAATTAACTGTTCCCAGAAAGGAGAAAAATCATTCATAAGAAACTCATACTCATTTTATTGTATCGTCATTTCTTTCTTCCAGTTTCTTATTTACATAAGTACCTGCTATCTCTAATTTCTGGTCAACTAATGAGATAAATCACTCCAACTTATCCTTCCAAGTTTTTGAGATGAAATTCTCAGTGAACACCTCTTTTTGAAATAGTGTTCAGAAGTTTAAGTCTGTGATGAAACTTAGAGGAATCATAATTTTTTAATCCCATAATCCTCTCAGGTATTCTTTACGTCTCCAAACTTTAATCTGGTTGCAGGACAAAATGATTCAATCCGTTTAAAAAAAAACCAATCGTTTATTTTTATTAACTTTTGAGAAAAAGTTGAACTTTTTCAACGAGGCATTTTTAAGAAAGTCCCAATTCAAAACTTCAAAACATCCCTTCACAATGGGAACTCAGTATCTGAGATTCTAGCTGAAAAACATATGCTTTTTTATTAAGTTGTTTGAAAAAACTATCTGTCTGTCCCTCACTTACGAAAATTGTTGTCTTTCCAATCATTATTTTTCAACGCGCCATTTTATGTATCATGCTTTAAAGGGTTTATTTTACAGTTTGTGATTTCAGTTTTTAGCCTCATGTAAAATACTCATTATTTTTAATTGTACCATTCCATCTACCATGAATATTATGATATATAATTAATATTCAGCGGAAGCTATATTCTGTATGATGTGCGAGAATATAATTTTATATCTTACCGTATTTAAATATATCAGAACATTTTTATTATGTATTTCTTTTTTGTTTTTTCTTCGAACTTTTTCAAGAACCTCCCCTTTTAGCCCCTGACGTTAATCATCATGAGTAAAGCCTATTTCTTGCACATTTTGTTCCTTGAAGAAAATCAAACGTAGATTATCTCCCAATCTGTTTTAAAGAAATTAGCAGGGCTCAGTGCAAGCTAATAAAGGATATAACAAAGCTGGGGTACAATGGGGGGTGGGGGCTGCATTGTGAAGCAAGAATCCAGACTCAAGGCAGTAGTTTATTGAATAAATTCAGTGATTTTTGCAGAGGTGGACTGGGACTGAAAAATTAACCAGGAATATCGGCCCCTCAGTACTTGGACCTACTCATTTTGGTTGTTTTTTGCTGTATGAGAAGACAATCCGATCCAAAAGTAACCTTATTATTGATTGGTCCACTTGGGTTTTTTTTTGTTCCTCCTGCCTGTCTGTTACCTCTGACTTTTTCATCCTTAGCGAAGAAATAATACAATTTTGGGTTGCATTGATTCAATATTTACACCTAATACTTGACATTCATTATTAATTGTACACCTTTTAATAAAAAAGGAGATGAGTAGAGGAAATCCAGACAGAGCAGGAAGAAGCTGGAAAATAATTGCGTCGAACAAAGAAGCTTTCTGGTACAACTTGGAACTAAAAATCAACGAACTACAAGCTCAACCAAACCAAACTCCTCAAACTAACCTCTCCAATAGAGAGAGGCCTTGCCCCTAGTAGATGAAATGGGCTATTATTATTATTAATACTTTCACAACGTTTGCTTCTGAGCTATTCGTTAAAGCTGTCCAAGATCCAAAGCTGTCATAATTGTGGGGCTTAGAGGACAAAGCGCATAAGTGCAGTTTTTGAAAAAATTGAGATATTAATGATTTCAAGTAAAGCTAGTCTTGATGCATGTTCTGTGAAAAATTCGTTCCCAAATTCCGATTTCTACGCATCAAAAAGTTAGTTTGAATTTTCTTTCCGCCATGAGGATCCATGTAATTTTGAAACTTCAAACACATATTTCTGGAAATAGGAAAAACTGCCATTATGCGTGTTGTCCCTCAAGCCCTTCAACTGTCAAATAAAATCAAGATCAAGCAGGACCTTTCAAACGAAACAAATTGAAGCAATAATGAAGCATGAAGCAGACAAGTTAGGTCCGTATAATATGTGGTACTCTTACACCCAGCTGGAAAATAATTTAAATTTCCGCGGCACTCGTAGAGTTATGAAATAATACACTAGGAGCAGCACCATCAAATTCTCAGTGCGCGCGCATTTGCCAATTCGAAATACGTTCGTTGATTGGCTCCGATCCACGGCCGAGGTCGATAATAGTCAAAATTTTCAAAATCCTGCAAACAATCCTCGGCGTTGCACAAATGGTGCAGCTTTCTTTTATATTAATTACCTTAATTAACTCGTTTATTAATGCATATTGTATTCGTGAACATCAAGAAAAAAAATTTGAAAAAATTTGACTCGAAAGTTTTGTGAAAAAAATAGGTTTTATTGTTCGTTAGGCGATGAAGGATTTGCACAATTTTTACAACATCCAATTTCATGTAAGACATTTTTCTTATCAGTGTAGACGGAGAAAACTCGGGACAACAATGTGATAACCTACGAAAATACGAAGTTTCAATCTTGTTTACCAATGTTTGCCATTACCACTGTTATGTTTATTCACCATTTCTCATTCATTCGCTCGCGCGAGAGAACTATTGATAACGTGAATTATGACAACTATTGCATCCGATAATAATTTCCCTCTATAACTTACTCTAGCTTTCAAGTATCACGAATTCACGATGGCTACTAGAGCTGCAGCATGTAAGTTACTAATATATCTTCAAATCAGTAGCTCATTAAGAAGTCAAATTCTTTTTAAGATCATTTTTTCATACTATCCTGCGCTGGTCATGAAACTGCGAAACCACTCATCTCCATCAGCGACGTAGCAAATCTCCTGTCACCATTTACTTATTGAAAAGAGGCTCGACTGTAAATTTTGCGTCCAAATTTTATCTGGTTTTTCTATGTCCTCTCAACTATACTTTCCTAAAATTTCACGTCATAATCCCTAGCAGTGCTCTCTTTAAAGAATGAAGTATGAGCTGAAGTTTCCAAAGACTGCAATTGAGATCCGTGGTTTTGGTAGTTTTACACCATCAATATCTGGCAAAGCTTGTTGATAATCCTTTGGGAGATAATCATCTATGAACTACATCTTCTTGTATGTTACCAAATAGAAATGAACTTCAGTCCAAGGCACGCAGTTTTAAACTGTGATAGGAGATTGTCTGATATCAGTTTTACGTAAATAGTAAATGCAAGAAGCTACACTGTGGATCTTCTTTTGCAGTCTACAAGTGTGTAATATCATCTGGCGTCGACTCTACAGTTCCTCATTTAAGTGAAGCTTGGTTAAAACAGAACCTGCTTGCAATGGAGAACTGCTCTTAACGGAAAGTTTCCAGGTCTCGGAGATTTTCTGCTGAAAGCATTTGTATCATAATTGACATGTTCATATAACGGAATTGGGAAGTAGAAAATATTTCCTGAGTAAGGAGGAAATTCATTTATAGATGGGAAATATATTAAATTGAGAAACCAGATGAAAGCTTGTGTCAAACTGATTCCAGTTTCATCTCAATTTGCTGTGCGGCAATATGATTTTACTGTAGCAATCTGAATGTGAACTAACAGGTGCTCTCTATGGTTTTATCAACATTGTCATACCTCTAACCTGAATTGCAGCCTGTTTGGATTGTATTCTATGGTAACAGTAAGCATTATAGTTGTTATTATTATCACTACGGAGGTAATTAATGCTCAAACTTAGAATTCTTGTCATGTTTTGATTCAAAATCCTCCTTTTCAATATTGTGCTCTTACATCAGTTACAGCTAAAGTACGCAACTTGCATGACCATCAGTTGCGGCTTCTCCACAGCATTGTTCCAGTACCCAGTGGCTGCGATGTGGCTAACACCTTGAAGTACTTTACAACAACTTTATTAAGTGAGTTTTCTCTTTGTCAGCCTCATTAATTTTAAGTCATTGTCTTCAGTACTTAATGGACTACTAGACAAGGTACGAGTTAAAGGATTCTGACACATGTTTCTTAACCAGAATTTCACGTAGAACACGAATCGCCCAAGGAAAATTACTGAAACCAACTCCTAACGAAGATATTAAAGATTTTATTTCACATTGGTTACAAGAAATTTGAACTGCCCGCTCACAAGAAACTCAAAGCTCTACATGAGTCAAATCGCGCACTACAACGGTTTCGGCAATCTTCTCTATCGAGCAGTGTTCATTTCCCACCATGTGTTGTTCAAACTATTGGCAATTTGCTATAGCTGAGGCAAAGCGTCAAGATTGCGGTTGCCAGATTTTTATATCGCAGAGACTGTGATAGTAACGTTTAGCGCGCGATGTGAATCACGTAGAGTATTGAGTTTTCATGAGCGGGTGGTTTGAATTCACGCATCAAGAATCATTAAATACCTTCGTAAGGAGTTGATTTCGGTAATTTTCGCTGTGCGTATCGTGTTTCACGTGAAATTTTGGTTAAGAAACATGTATCAGAATGCTGAAATTCGTACCTTGTCTAGTGGCCCATTGAGTAATTAAGTAATCGAGTTTCTGAAGGTCCTAAGCCTTAAAATTTCATAACTTAATTTTTTTTTCCCTATTAGCAATGGCAGTTAAATTTTGTTTAAAAAAAAAAAAAAAAAAAAAAACTTAAAAAATGGTTAAAATTTACAGAGAAGGGGGAGACCCTTTCTTGAAATTATTTTCTGTAAAATTTATGAGAAGTAGAATTTAAGTGAAAACAGTGGTAAAAAACTCTTTCATAAAACATGAATTCTTAAAATAAGTTTTTAAAGTGGAATGTGTGTCAAAAAAGTGTTTAAAAACTAGTGTATTATTCTTAAGAGTTTTTCAAGAGTGAGAGTTTTTTAAAACAATTATTGTACTTAAATTTGACCTCTCGTAGATTTTATTTAAAATAAATCCTAAACAGGGTCTCCTTCTTCGTGAATTTCAGCAGTTTTATAAGAGTTCTTTTAATCAAAATGTACAAGTTTTTAAGAGATCTTCTACAGTCCCTGCTACTATATTTATATTTTTGCCTTATGTAAAAAGTACCGTGATCCTGTAATGTTGAAAAATAGGAAAGCATTTTTAACTGCTCCAAAATATTCTCTGTATTATCCAAAATCTCTCATTTTTACCATTAATCATTTACAGAATGAGCCGGAATACTATGGTTGCTAGCCAATCATGTCATCTGAAAAATTAGTGCAGCCCTGATTCCCATTATGTCTTTTGCTTTTTACATGTTTTCATGATCCATGGCAAGCTTATCAAAAAGCTTTATGACTGCAGAATGACTGTGAATGGCCTCTAAAACTTTGAATTTTCAGCCAAGATTCCTCGCGAGATTTTAGGACTTTTCTCACTCAGTAAAAAGAATATCATTCAATTCGTTATCACAAAACTGAAAGTAAAAAAATTCTTGTCTTGCAATACTTAATCGCCAGCCAATTCAAGCTAACTGCTCTCTTTGTGTCTTTTTTCAGCTGTGATGAAAGATGTTCCCAAGTCTCCTCTTGTGATGTTGAAGCATCCAGAAGAAGATGCTGCAAGAATGGCACTGTTTCCGAGTTTAGATTATAAAGGCCTTTATAATGCTGTTGTGCAGCTCATAGATGTCGCTCCCCTCGTTCAGTTTGGTTTACAAGGTTTGTTTGAAAATTTATGTTGATTATACACTGAAAATTTATCTTGTCATGACTGTGTTGGTTTGTACATGACTGTGTTGGTCTGTACATGACTGTGATGGTCAGTTGTGCCATCACAGAATTGCACAGCCATTGTTTGATCTCTGGCATCTAGAAAAAAATATGAGGGTTGTCCAGAAAGTAAGTTTACCTATTTAATATCTCCTAAATTAAGATAGATGCAGAAAATATGTAAAAAGCGTTAAAAAGCCACTACTCTCAGCTTTCTAATGTGCTGTAGATTTTTAAATTTGGTACAATAGAACTCTAGGAAAGTGGATTTTTCTGAACCCACCTCCTCTCCATACGGGTTCAAAATATCACGGAGCGCTATCAGCGAGTGAGTCGCTGTGAGTTCTGTATCTATCGCTTATCGCAAAAAAAGTCATTTTTCTATTATCCTTATAGTCGAAATACCTCACAATGAAGCAATTTTTTTTTTATATTACATTTTCATATTTGACTCAAGTTTTTACCTGAGTTATTTACATTTTCACTTTCAAATAAATTTAATTTTTCAATGATTGTTCTTCTTTCAGCCATGGGTGAAGCAACATTACATTGCCTTGGTTGCATCATGCCATTTTTGGAGCGTGATCAAATAGATTCCCTGCCTTATGTGACTAGCTTAACAATGGCCGTTTTTCCGCGAGCCCTCCATCAGAAAATTGTCAACGCTCTTTGTTTCTATGTACTTCCTTTTACCATAGGTAGCTTTATTCCATACTCTACAAAAATTTTAAATGAAATTTATATTTTATCAAAATTAAATATTCTTGATTTTTGAGTTTGAGTTTCTCAATTTTCCAATTTTCTTTATTTCTTTAAGTGTTCTCATTTAAATAACTGTGTCTGGAAAAGGGGGCAAAATATAACTGTTGCTGAAACTTAGCCAAAAAATTTAATCCTGAAGAAAAGGGGTCTTTCATAACTCCAATATTAAGTGATCATAGCAACTTTGGTACTTGAAACTTGAAACAGGAAGGGCAGAAACCCTCAAATCATGTGAATCTTTTGTAATCTTGATTGAAAGAAATTTTGACAGTCAGGAAGTACAGCTCTGAACTCTGTCCAATATTTTTATTTTTTTTCTTTTCATTTAAAAATCATTTTGTTTGAATTATTTTTTAATTTTTTTTTAATATGCTCTTCAGACTTAATATTAATGTTCCTCTTGGAAATTTTTGAAATTCAGGGTGAAATGATATATGTTACATGCAGCAAGGATAGCGGGAGAAGAGAAGGAAGGCTATATAAGTCAGTCGTTAGCGGCTGTCATTATGATGGTTTTCCAGTATTCTGAGGACATGGGTAAGACCTTACACCAGTGCTTCATCAACCTTTCTCCAAAGCAAGTTTAGATTATTAGCAAAATTAGCTCAAAAGGAAGTGAAGCTGCGGTCAACCAACCCCATCACTACATCCAACTCACTTGTGTAATTTTCCATTAAAGAAAGCCAAAATTGCATTATTTAGTCTTTCTAAAATTCCTTAGGGGGTAATTTTTGCAGAGTCTAAATGACTTTAAGCCTAACTCTCTCACTAATACTTATTTTTGAGGGATTAAACTTCGTCAGAAAAAAACTAAATTTAGAATAGAAGTAATACGAAAATCTGTCAACGTAATCCTTCATTTATAGAATTATTATACCATCGTCTTTTTTTCTTTAATTGATCAGAACTTATTACTTTTTTCATTTTAAACCTTATTCCTCACATATTTTTCATTTAACACGTATTTCATTCCTTTTCTATGATATTTTCTTTTATTCTCACAGCTCATCACTGTCAGCTACTAGAGTGCTTAATGGGCATGAAACAACTCTTAGTAAAAGATCTTCTCTGTGTTATGGCATATGGAACATCTAATGCAAGAGCTTCTGCAGCCAAATTACTTTTCTACTATTGGCCTACGTTTAACTCAAGTCTCTTTGAGCGGAAAGGCGCACCTCCGAGAGTCACGAGTATGCAGTTTTTTTCATCTTTAATTTTTAAAGCTTAAAGAAATCCTAAAAATTACTCTGATCAAGAGCTTTTTCTCTCAAAATAAAAATAATTTATTTTATTTTCAATTTTAATGGGTGCCTCAATAACATAACAATAAGAAAAAAGAGGCAATGTAGTCGAGTAACAATGAAAAAAAGCAAACAAAACAATAGATTTCTAAAGATAAAACTTTAGGAAAGCTTAAACATGTGTAACAAATTACAAAAAGTTTGGCGGAGGGTCTGTTATCGAAAACTGCTCCAAGATCTTTAAGATGTACCTTTAGATGGGTCATTTAAGATATTTCTAAAATATACATACATATTCCATTTTTCAGACGAGGATCAGCTCAAAATATCTATGATCCATAGCAGTATGATTGCTGTATCATTCTTTTTCACTTTTTGTATTCATTTAATCTTTTTACAACCATTCTAGATGATTGGACTCCTTTTGCCTGTCAACGAGATCAGTGCCCTAATGTAGGAACAGCAGAAGCAGCGAAAGTCTGTTTTGACCATTGCATATCTATCACTTACTCAAGTGACACTCCACCACCTTTGTATTTGTGCATCGAGTGTGCCAATGAAATCCACCGAGAGCATCCCAATCAAATGTTCTATGATATTCTCCATCCAATGCAGCAGGTGTCTGTCTCGTGTGAAAACAAGGTAAAAGTCTTACCGCAACTCAATTCTTATCCAAATGGTCCGAAATGAGAGCATTTGACAAAAATGCACTCTTTCTCATGATATCTTAGCACATTTTTCATACCAGAATTACCAGATCACTGAACAAGAAGATAGTCAAATCTTTGTAACTCAGCTGATGAAAGAAATCAGATGTTTGCATGCTTTTGATGTTCACCGGTCGTTTGACTTGCATGAAACACATTAATGCTGGCAGGATTAATTGGCATTCCTGTGAGATCATTAATTTTATCAAGATTGAAAAGCTTTCTCTTTTTCCAGGAGAAAATATTTAAATGCGTTTACATTTTTCTACAAGACATCTCATAAGGACTAAACAGAAAAATCAAAAGGCATTCAATTTGCTCCTTACTACTTTTATTCCATTTGTATAATTTATATAGAGGGCTGGCGCAAGTCAATGTATAGGTCACAATTTAAGCTTACAATTACAAAAGAAAAATAACTCATTGAAGTAACAAAGATTAGGTACTACTATCGAGCTCTTTTCATTTGGGTCCATATTCTCAGAAGTGTAGAAAATTTAAGACTGCAATAAAATGGAAAGGCAAATGGTGCTTTGATTATGGTAAGGCTGTCTGGCAACAGCAAAAGAATTGTACGCTATCCACAAAATAGAGATAAAAAAAAAACGAGGGGGCACTAGCGTGAAAAATTTAGGAAAATTAGAAGCTTACGGCTTTTGATTTTTTTATTTTTACTTATCTTCAGTTAAGTAATACCAGTTCCACCAAACATGAAAAGGTACTTGAAGTCTTATACCATAGAATAGTACCTAAGTGATATCAACCATTTAGTAAAGTAATATGTATCAAAGTTCATTCTTTTTTTTGTGTGTAATTTGAGCAGCAAAGATGAATACATTTTATCAATGGAAAATATTCTCATCTTATCTCAGTTATGATGAATTGGTGTACATTTTTATGAATGAAGTTTCAGTGTCATGAAGAAATATTCAATATTAATTTTTCAGAGCTGCCGCTCAGCTGACAAAAGTGTTGTTTCGCTCTGCTTCTCAACAGAATGCGCCAGCTACAATGCAAATCACCCAATTCGCTACTGCCAGCAATGCCACAACTCACGGCATAACAATCGGAGAGGAGGTGACCATATAGTTCATACATGCTTGTCTTCAGCATGGCAGATGGACATGCAAATGAGGAACTACCTCATCGAGGCTATCATCAGGTTAGACTAAAGTTCAAGTAAAAAGACGAAAATAACATGAAGAAGTTTCCATTTGAATGTAGCCAAAAATGATGTGGCCTACCAGTTCAATGTTGTAAAATTGGTTTGGATAGTGCATTTCTGTCCAGAAATTGTCCTGCCGACTCTTGCTCAGTTTTGCCCAGAGACAGTTGTTGAAACTAAACTTGCTGGTTTGCAATCACTTTTGATCAACAAGTCTAGTTTTACCCGGTAAAAGTTCAACTGCTGGTTCCTTGTCAGCAAACAAAGATACGCGGTTTTGCTCTTTAGTCATCAACATTGTAAGATGGATGGTCTTAATCAAAGAATATAATATGCCTATGTGTACCAAGTGTAAAAACTGAAAAAACTTACAAAAAAAGAATCGATATTAGTTACATGTCATTTTAACTAAAGACTCTAACGCATAATCTCTTTTCAGTTTAATGAAAGAGGCAAGACCAACAACGCCAGAAATTCCAAAAGATATGACTGACATTCAAGCCAAAGCAGCATTACTAAATGTCTTGGGGCACTCAAATCAGATCTCTGTTGAAGAGAGGCAGCTGATGGGCCGGTTCGGTGTCCTGCTTCTGGTTGGCCTTTGTGTTCCAGACAAGGAAACACCGGTAGAAGTGCTAGGGCGCTTACTTTCAATGCTTTTCCATTGGTTCCACGTCACGGCATATTCTTTTGATGGTAAATTTGAATTTGACTCTGTATTTTTTATTATTAGCTGTTCTCTAAAGCGTGGCCACAGTTTCACAGGAATGCAACAGGCTCCTAAATTCATTGATTTCTAACGATCATGGTGCTTCTGCCTCACAGCAAAATCGGTGAATTGTCTAACTTCTGAAACTTAAAAACTCTTTCCTTTTGAGTTATTTATTTTTGCCTGAGGTTTATTATTTTCGTTTTTCATCTCAGGATCTGCCTCACATTTACCGCAATCCGCAGATTTTTTGCATCCTGGCCTCCAGTAATGGATGATTTAATTCATTTACAGCTCTGGTAAATATTTTATTTTTTTGAAATCACATTTTATCACTTTGTAAAAAAAAAAAAAACTCTTGGTCAATGAAATTTGTATCTTCTTATAGTTGGCTTTTCATGGTTCTGTGTACAGATCAAGCTGAGTGCACCTTGGAACGCCTGAAAACAGACTATGTTTGCAGTTGGTTGAACACAGTTTGTGAAACACATTTCAAAGTCTTCATATCATGCTTGCTACCTCATCCAGCTGATTATGCTCGTGTTGGAGGCCACTGGTAAGTGATTTTATGCTACTGTCTTTAGCAAAAGAAAAATGCTAGAGTAGTGATGGACAGACAAGAAATGGACATCATTTTGCAAAACAGATTTATCCACAAAGGAAGTTTTGAAGAAACATCTATCTTTCAAAGCACTGTGATGGGCTGTACTTACATTGTTTTTTCAAACATTATCTGTAGATCAATCTCCTTTCTTGAATTGCATCTTAATTAATTATTGCAAAAGGGTTCTTTCTTACATATTTGAAGGTGCTTTTCAGTAATTTCTCATTGAAGTTAGGGGGAAACAGCTGCAAACTTCAAAATATCGTAAGAGGAATGCAAGAGGAATTTATTATTTTTAAACAATGTGCTTGTTTGAATTAACTTTTGACACACATGTACGGCCAAGTTTAGGTTGGTACTTTAATAGAGGTGCATCTCTACTACTTTACTACTTCTGTCCTATACGGTATTCATTCTTATTGTTAGTCGCATCGAAGTTACTGCACAAAATTTTTTGTCATCAATTTTTACATGAGAGATTATGGTGAAACTGGGTGCTTTTTTTAAATTCTCCTTCCTTTCTTTATTTCTTATGGATGAAACTCTGTTCCCTGGCGCAGGGAACGCAGGGTTGTCATAATTTATAAGTTTTCTTTGTTCTTTATGGGAGTATTTTCATAGAATCTAAGAAAATGCTAAGTAAATAAGTTTAAAACTTTTTTTTGAAGGGATATGCACACAACACGGACAGCTCATCTGAAGAATGGCCTAAACCGACTGTTCTGTCTTGTGCCTTATGAAGTTATCTCATCTGAAATTTGGGATGAAGTAATGCCATTCTGGATGGAAGCTATTGTGAAAGATGTTCCAGACAAAGACCTTTGTGAATTGAAAATGCTTCTCAGGTAATGAATGCATTTGGAGCACAACTCACAGCTTTAACATAATTTGAAGTCATTAGTACATTGATTACTGCCAATTTTAGGCGGTTTGCTCACAAGAACAAGGTCCCAAAAAAAATTCTAATGTAAAAATCTAAGTGAAGAGGGTCCCACCTCAACATTTTTGCTTGTATTATAAGTGCCACTTGTAAATTAATGAACTAATCAGTGGCACTATGAGAGTAACTTTTTCTGCTGATAGTACTTCCAGTAAGACACAATATTTTCAGTGTCTGTGTTCATTAGTTTTGACAATTTAAGATTTGTAAGAGTTTAATTTGATCGATGAAACTATTTTTTATTTCTATGAGCAACAGTTCAGCAGATGTTTTTCTCTGTTATCTATGAATGTTTTTGCGCATTCATAAATTTATTCTTGTAAGTCTTATTTTGTTCTCAGCATAATTTATAACAATTTCTCTTGGTTTGCAGTAAAATTTTGGATCCTGACATGAGTCCACTGGGGTTTGATGCCAAAAAGATGTATCATTTTGTAGCTGTTAGATTCAAGAAAACATCACCCAAAGTTCAAGAACAAGCCTTAGCCTGGCTTCAGGTACATTACATGTTATTTTCTCTATATCCTACTGCCCTTAATATTGTGTTTGGATTGGTTGAGTCATGATAGTTGAGAAAAAGCTACTTGACACAAGTTGTAGACTTTAAATATTATTCTGGAGAATACGGTGAGCTCATTCTTATTTAATTTAAGGGTACCAAACTCAGTATACTGTTTTAGTAATGCAATCTCTCAGACCCTCTCTCATGTAGAGTCCTTGCCAAATATTTTTACCCACTTTTAGAATGTGACAGAAGGTCCACTATCTTGATTCTTGCTTTTACTTTCAATACAAAACTGATGTCTTCCGTCGCAGTCTAAAAGTGCGTAAACCTATTCGGCATAGTCTCAATAAATTTGGAGCAGAATGAGCACATATATGCAAGTGAATGGAAGATTGTGTAACTAACAAAGAGAAATGTAACTCCAGAGATGTATCCTTTGCTCAGCCTCTGAAGCTGAAGTAGGGAACAACAGAGAAATAATACATATTTGAAACTTTTTTGTTGAATCAGTTAATATTATTGTGACTGGTTTTTATCAAATCATCTCTGTATATCACAGTGATTTTTACAATAATGATTTATATCTCATAACAGTGGTGTTGTTACAACAGTGATTTTGGTGATCATCGTCTGGTTTGCATTAAACACTAAGAGGACCTCCTTTTTGTTGATTGCAGCAGTCTAAATTATAAATATTAAACGGTTTGAACATAAAACAAAACCACTTTAAGATTAAGATGGAAGTAAAAATCACCTGCATTCAAAGCAGAGATTAAAAGACCTAAAAATTAATATGTGCATTTTTCAGGTTTTAACAGCTCTAGAAATCGTTATTCCTCTTCATCTATTATTTTCATTCTTTGAGGATGGCATAAGCAGTTTGAAGGAACATTCAAATTCTAATGGAGAGCAACTGAAGAAAAGTAAATTAGGTCAGTAACTTTGAGCATGCTTGACAATTTTCAACTGAAACCTTAAATTTCAAGAATCATCTAAATTCTCAAAGACCTGAGTGAACACAACTTCTTGCCAACAGTGGCTCACTTTACTGCCATTGGAGGAGAAAGAGCTTTTCTTTACTATGTATAATATCTTTCTATACTATAATAGCTTTAACTTATTCCTCCTAAGGTACGTAACAAAGAATAAAACTTTCATTCACGAGTTGTAGTTTTCCAATTTTACCAATGATTTTTGTGCTGCTCTTTCTTGCAGGGATGTAGCACAGTTTCCTCTACTTAAAATTTCGTGACAAACCAAAAATTCATTAAAAGTGTCAAAAAGGCATTTCTTAGGGGAGTGGAAGTATATCCAAAGCCAACTGTCAAGTTGACATGCAGTGCAAAACTTGAAGCTGAGTTTCGATACGTCATCACAGCCTGCCAAAAATATCTTTCCAAACAAGTCCCATTTCCTGGCATTTTCAAAATGTCATTATTTTTTTATTATGTCCATGAACTTTTTTACTCATCTTTACTCCAATTTTTTGTAGCACCAGTTTATGGAGAAGGCACTGATCATGTCACACCAGAAAAAGAAACTTTGCCGGGCATTAATAGCCCCAAAACTGACCCTGAACTAACTCTCTCCTGCTCTGTTTTTATGCTTGATATCATTCTCAGACAGGTCAGTATTTAATCATCAACTATTCTTGAGCAAATTTTCTTTTAACCTGAGGAGTATATTTAACTCGGTTACTAGTGAGAATCACAACTTGCAGTTAGGACTTGATATCTCAAACATCAGACATCTATCAATCTCAGATATATTGATTGATCGATGTATCAAACCCTCTGATTGTACTGAAATTGGACCAAATCAACTATTCTGGATACATTTGATTACGTTGACATACATTGTGATAAGTTAGTATGAATCAAATAATTAAAATTAATTTGACTTAATCATTACCTAAGGAATATATTTTTTTCCTTTTTTAGACAAAATGATATGTTTTTATAATTCTAGAAATCATGCCAAACCACCTTCATATAGCCCTATTAAAGATACTTTGTCGCTCAGTTTTCATGACTTTAAATTAGGTATTAGGTTTTAGAAATTATTCTCCAGAAAAAACCTTTAAGAATACTTAGAGATGCAGTAATAATGTCCACAAGAGTAGTCAAAGAAGAAAACCAATTCAAATTTCATTTTGTTTTCCAGATGGAGTTACATGAAGTGGAGAGACATACAGGAATCCATACCGTCGTTGCACAGGATGTTTGCAGACTCCTGCAAGATATGCTCTCGGCCTCCTGGTTGACGTTTCACAAGTGCACTACAACCCCCGATTTTAGCGAATGTTCCCTCTGTGAGATACTCATTACATGGCACCAGCTATGCCTTGAACTGGTTGAATATATAGCCCAAGAGAACTTGGCACACCCTCCTGATGTAAGCCCCTTTTTTTCTCATTTGCACTAAAAAAATGGTTTCTGTGGTGGAAATTAATTTATTTTTCTTGATTTTGGAAGCTAGCTTAGGAAGCATTCTTGCAGCTTTTACTGTCATTCTTGACATACCCCACTGTTCTATGCCTACTGACCCTAATCAATGAATTAAAACTTCTTTCAATGCGTTGACAGCTTTTTGAAGGTCAATAATCATTGATTCATAAAATACGTACTGCTAAAATTGACTGAAATGGGCCTAGTTTGTAATCATCATTTACCAGAGTTCAAACAAAACTGGAAGCTGTAATAATAGTTTTAAATTTAAATATTTCTGTTGAATGACTAATTAAGCTTGGATTTCTCTCATTTTACCAGCCTCCACTGGAAGAAGCAAAAGAAGAAGAAAGTAGTATACAGCGTAAAAGTCCACCTGATACTGACAAGAAGTGTGACTCAAAATCTGAAGTTGCTGGAATGATGCAGTTCATGGATATTCCGGCAGTTGGAGGTGTACTTGTTAACATGCCTCATGTAAGTGAATATTCAGAAATTTTATTGTCAATTAAGGACACTCCTGATAGGAGGGCCTCTCTTGAAGAAACCTTTTATGAAAAATTAACATTTTTTATTCCTTGTTTCCGAAAGCAATAATACCTACCAAGTTTCCCTATGGAGAGTTGACACTCTTACTGTTTTGCGCATACAGAATTTTTTGCTTTGGGACAATTAACGCTACCTCTGTCTTATATTCCTGGCCAGCAATGAAAGAAGAGCCTTCCTCAATCACTTACATTCTCACCAAGTGATTGGTCTAAAAATGCAAAAAAATTCACTTTTAAGCCTTGCTTTTCGAAGAGAAATAAGCCAAATTCATAGCCTGAAATTGATACTGAATATTCTGCTAATAAAAAAGAACAATCAAGGAAATTCTCAAGAAATTATGTTAACTAGTTTTCCCAAGAAAAAACGGAGTATGATAGGAAGTCTGCAATGTAGCAAACAGAGATACGTCGTTCATTGTTTGACCATCGATTTATAAATTATTGTGATTTCTGTAAGTGAAAGAGTAGCCCATCAATCCTATAAAACTTGCTAACTTGGGTCTGTAATAAGTAACCATTTTTTGGAATCAAGAAACATATTTTATATTTTGGCCCATGAAGTTGAGATTGGATAATAGGATTTTATATTGTTTTACCTTACCACAGCTAATTTGAGATAAATGAATCGGTCGTCCTCTCCATGGAACTTCTGTATGTATATTTACGCGATAGTTTTGATCCTTTGTTCATAGATAATGACAGCAACAGTTGAAACAGTGGTTGAACAGCTGGACTTAGCTCCAATTATATTGCCGGAAAGAGTCATCCCTCCAATTGCAAGAGCAGTGACTTTGACGCACTCTGACTCTGGTAATTCCCATTTGAATTATTAACACTTTTAAGGTCCTGCAAAGCTCCCTATTTTTAAAAAAAAGTTAGTAGTCAATAGTGTAAAATAAAAAGATGCATCTACTGTGTCCTATAAAAACCTTAAATTTTCGAGGAATAACTGCTGGAGAAGACCAAAATGTCAGGAAGATTTTAAAATAAGACAAAAGGAAAAACCAAACTAAAAAAAGTAAATGTATTTAAGTAAAACCCAAAATGTTTATGATTTTAAGCATGTGTATTTGTTTTGTATTGGTGATTCGTTCCTTAATTATCTGGATATTTTACAGCAGACAATCCATTTAATCAATTATCAGGACACCATAATCAGCAGGTCACTTCTGCTTGCACTGTTCTTCTGTATGACTTTTCAGTGAAATGAAACTTGTCTCACTTTTTCAGCCACAAACACAGCTAGAGTGCGAAAACCAACTCTTGTCAGTGAGACGGAAGAACAGCTGGAAACAGAGGATATGGAAAACTTTTGGCACACATCAGTCGGGAAGTTTCGCTTTGTTCTGACAGAATTACCGCAGCAATTTCAGTTCATTCATCAGCTGCTAAAGGTTTGTTTGAAGTCTGATTAATAATTGGATGAAACAAATCACCCAAGACATTCAAGGTTTTAATGGTTTAGTTTAATTTTTTGGTTTAAGAAAACGACCCAGTATGAAAAATGGGAGTAACAAGTGACAGAAACTGCTGTACAGCAATCTCCATTGGATGGAGGTCTGAGGAAAATCGGCTTTAGGCTTGACACGCTTTAATATTCATCAGTGAACTGATTATAACAAATTTTTCAGTTAACAGATTTGTGAAAAGAAACAAGATTGACGCAAAACCATTGGGCTGTACTGCTGTGCTAAGGAAAAACGCTGTTATGAGCCCTCAGAAGTTGACAAAGTCTCTCTGATTAAATACAAATTTACAGGGAAATTTATGATTATTTTTGCTCCAATTTTTCAGAGAATTCCATTCGCAATCAGATCAAAACCATCTGAATATCTCAAAAAGAAATATTCATAACTCTCCGTAAAAATAAATACTTCATTGGAGCGAATTTGGCAACTCTCGAAGGCTCTTTCGGCGTTTTCCCCTAGCACATCAGTGTACTCTTTCAGATCAAAAGAGCTCATTTTAATCCAAATCTTAGGTAGGCGGCCAGCTGCTGAAGTTCACTTCAATAACTGATTCAAAGTCTGTGGTAATGAAGATCAGGTGATTGAATTGACCAGCAGTAGCAATTTATGTCAGCTATTATTGTATACAGATATTGTTTTTCTTTTTTGATTGTGAGTATATTTTCATTTTTGTCATCATCAGTTTTTTTCTGTCAAAGGAATTGCCAACGGTTGAATCGCCAGATGTTCTGTACTACATGCTCCAGTGCCTGTACCGGTTTGTTCTTCATGGTGATGCCCTCAACAAGGCATTGAAAGACCACCGTGGATTTATCGTCTGGTGTCAAGAAAATCTTCTAATCCGCAAGTAAAATTCGTTTTGGCTGTGCATAATAAAAACATTATTAAATAATTTCTCAGTTATAAATTGAACATTTTCACTCAAAAGCCTCGTGAACTCATTTGTCATGACAATATTTTTATTTAGCTCCTGATTGGAACCGCATAAGACTTCTTTAAACAGCAGTAATCAACCATCCTCTTTCTATTTGATGTAATGAAACTGTCCTGAACTCTTACAAAAATTGAAAAGAGAGTCAACTTTTTTGTGTAATCTTTTTTTAGTTGAGATGAGTGCATCGTCAATCTCTAAAATTCATTTTTGTGCCACCCAATCATAGCATTTAAAATTACAACACCTAATCACTTAATTACAAATAAAATTACGCTTTGTGCAGGATGTATGCAAATTTTGAAGCTTTCCTCTCAAAGAAGTGTATTGAGGCAAATTTTTGATTTGACTCAGATGAGTCATCCTGATTTAATAACTCTGTACCCACAGAATTCCTGGTGGCTGCTGTCATCGCTTACAGTTCCCTACCTAAAAAGAAAGGGGGAAAAAAACAGGAGAAGAGTAGAAAAAATCTCTTTTCAGATGTGATTTAAAAAGTATGAAAGTATTATATGGGTGTTCAGGTTTACATTTTGCTATTTGTTTACGCGTAATTTTCATGGTCAGTATAGGCTCAGTGCAGAGTTATCAAACTAAGGTGATCCATCTTTATCGAATTATATCCTTCCTGTGTTATCCTTCATGAAAGAAGAAGCTCAAAAAAATGCTAACTGTTTGGTTCAGAATGAATTTTTAACTTTGCCATCGTGCCCCCGTGATTTCAAAGTTATTTTATGCAACACACCTTTTTTGAGTTCTTGTAGAAGTTTGTAGTAGAACGCTTCTTTTGATAATTTTCACGCAGAAGATTTAGTCCACGGAAAAATTGCAAGAAAATGCATTCTGTATGCGGTTGACCATGTTTCATTTTTATATTTTTGGTCTCTAAGTAAAATAATCCCAAGGCCAAAAATTCATCCAAAAGTCTTAAGACTTCAATCCACGAGCGGAAGCAAGCTTTAAAACAAATGAGTCTTTTTTCATAATTCATCATTTAAATAAATTTTTCTTGCTTAAAAACATCTATCTAAAAGATTTATATTATTCATTTATTTAAATGTTGATCTACTTCAAATCCATCTTCACTTTATGCTTTTTCGTAGTTTGTGGGAACTGTGCAATGCTGAGAATTCTCATATTTGTGAAGTCTGCGTTCCAATCTTGCTACACTGTATATCATTGCCTGTAGGATCCGATGTGTTTTGGAAAGTTATCCAAGATGATTTTCACTCATCTGACTGGAAAGTTCGATTCGCTGCTGGTATGTTCATTGATGTAAAAATAAATTATTACTCTATGAATTAAAGAAAAAATGTAAAGAAAATGGAAGTCGCAAAGATGTTATTAAATCTATTCCACATTCAAAAGTCAAGTATTTTTCTCGAGATTTAACAGCTTTACTTTTAATTGTGAGATAGATATTTATTAATCAAACTTACTAACACTACAGAAATCATGGCCTATATTGCTGTTATTAACATCTATTTTATTTAATTCATAATCCTTTTAATTAAAAGCTGCGGTTTCGTATCTGCATCACATAAAATGGTTCAGATCAATATGGCTGGTTTTTTGATCATTTTGAGTCCCTAATATGTACTGATTTTTCAATCGAATGAAGCCCACTATTTAATCTTTATTCTCATGAAGAAAACATAATTTTCGCCAAATTGCTCAGGTCTGTACAGAAAACTAGGTTTTAGCTCCCTTCCCTCCTTGTAATTCTCTTTGATAGAAACTCCTTTCCACCCCCCTCTTCAAGTGCCTTTTTTAACACTTGAGCATACCGTTTGCCTTCTTTTAATGCCTCTTGCCTTTGCATTTTTTCAATTTTGAATTTTCCTCATCTTTTCTCTTTCACAGTGGAAAGGGTCACAGTCATCGCTCGTTTTATGGATTCAACACCGTTGCGCAATAATCTTCAGCTTCAAGCTGCCTTAGCCAATGCTTTTTGTTACCTCATCTGTAGTCTGGATGATATCAACGTCTACACTGCTCAACGTGCCACCTTATTCATGGGTACTATCCATGATTCTGCAATCAAGGTATCTTTCTTTTCATGATAATTTGCAATAAATTTTTGTGTTTTATGCATGGTGTCTAGGACCGGGAAGTGGGAGAAAACTTTGGTTTTCCATCAGGGAATGAACTCCCGGAAATGAGGGAAAATCAGGGAAAAATCAGGGAATAAATCTGGTTAAGATTTTAAGAACTCTAAGACACCATGATTTACGTGAATTATGTAAGTTTATTGCTTACCGGTTTTTAATCAACTAATAATTGCTTTCTTTTTCACAGTCACTAATATTATGCTTTGAAACTCAATTTGACACTCTGATAGTGGACCGTCCAATGGTTTTGCAATCTCTGTACCAACTTCACAATTGTCTAAGCGATCGGCATATTCTGAGCTGGGAATTTTTCTTAAATCGCTTTGACGCACTTTTTATTGAAGCACAAATCAATCTAGAAAAAACTGGTGAAATTTCCTACTTAAGAGGTATGTGCACTTGCTGTAAAGTTATGCATTATTTTCACTGTTGAATGGGTTACTAAATTTTGTGTTTTTTATTTAATATTCTGAAGGTATCAGGTAAGTAAATTATGTTATGATTTATGGCGTATTTTTAGGGACAAAATCCTGGACAAACCTGCTTTAAAAAGTACAAAGACTCGAAGGAGATACCTTGCTTTCTCTTCTCATTTTTCACTGATGTTTGTTTAAATAAAACGTACTTCAATGTGAAATTGTTGCTTGTCAACTACAGATAACATGAATCAGATTAGATTCTTTAATTCTGAATATATAGTTTTGACTTTCTTATTGTTTTCATGTACAAGAAGTAGAAAGACATTTGATGGAAGTTGTAGAACCTTATGTTTGCTTCTGGTTGGTGCCAGGTGACATCATTTGGTTTGGCACAAAACCGCAGCGATTAAAATTTGTGGCAAAGTTGCGCATTTTGAACAGCTTATTTCTCAGTTTCTGTTTTTGCACGATTTCAATGTGCACATCTTGTTCTTTCTTGATTTAGTGACCCATTGCACGGCAATTTGCTGGTAAGATTGCAATGTTAGAAATAGCATAGTATATGGGCTCTGCTCTAAAAGAGAATAAAAACCCAGTAACTTTTATGTCTATTTCTCTGTCTTTATTGCTGCCATCAAGCTGATCAAAGTAACTCACATCTACCAAAAAGTCAGAGATAAAAGATGATTTTTAAGGATAGGATGCTAAATTTTCTTGTTCTGAGTTAATTTATTTATTTGTTTTAAATGCATACCCCAAAATCTTTTTAAATAAAAGCTGAAAAAAATTATATGCACTCGAAAATGTATTTTAAAAATATTTCAGTGTGTTGATGTATTACTAACGTCCCAAGTGTAAAAATTCAGTGTCCTTCCCTTTTTTATGGAAGGTCTATTAGCTCTCTGAGTGTAAAAGGAACATCTGTATGGTTTTTTGCTCTCTGTGAATCTTTGTAAACAGGTGCTGTTGTAAAGCGTTGCCAATCCAATTCAAATTTAGTATTCAGAATAATTGTTTATTCTGTTAAATTTCACAAGTTTATTCAGTAAAATTGATATATTTTATGAAAATAATCATCTCTAATGATCAGAATTGAGTCAAGGACACATTATCTCACCTACAGATCTGCGAAATTCTGACCTGACAAGCGAGGTTTTGATCAAGAAACTGCACCGTGCCCAAGAAGCACTTTTGATTCAATCAGATACAAGTTCAGCAAAAACACTGAGTGCCAGTTTCGGACCCAAATGGCCGTACAAAAGGACCATGTCAGCACCTGCCTCCATGCTGTCTCGTCAAGATTACAAACTAGGTAATGTTGCCCATTTTCCCCTTTTTTTCTATGTTTTGATATTCACAGTAATTTTCTTTTTGGCCTTTGATACCTAGTTCATGATCTCATAAAATTATTTAAAAATAATCAAGCAGGAAAACAGGGAAAACCAGTCGAGTTATTAAATCATATATTTGTCTGCTTATAATGCCAATTTCCTACAGGTAGTAGTGTCAAGCAAGAGTAGATATGTACATTAATTAGCATCTGGGAAGTACAGGAACTTCAGTTTGAGGCTCCACTGTAATTTTTTGTCTTCATCTGCAGACCTTTGTTTGGCCTCTTTGTTGAACTCTGAGTTAAAAGAAAATCCTGGGTTTAGTTAAAAGAAAATCTCAAATCTTTTTTCCCTTGACCAACCAGTCTTGCCAGAGTCGGTTTTTCAAACTGACTGCACTCAGTTTGGCAGGCTACGTTGGCTTGAGTTCAAGGCAAGATTTCAATTTGTAAATAGCTAAAATAGCAGAATAAACAGAGTGCAATATATTGTCAAAATTTTTGGTTATTGGAGATGTGGGAGAGTATTTAATTTATGTATTTTTTTTTTAAAAAATATTCTATAGAAAGTTTCGTGAATCCTGTTTTTTGAGAAGGCAGAAAGAAGGAGAAAGTGAGAAAGCCAGAGGGCTGGGTGTGATTTGAAAGTTATTATTTAATTGAAATCAGCTGTTTCATAAAGTCCTGTTCAAAATGGGAGCCGTACAAAATTTTTTGCCACGATAAGGGAAAAACTGCAATTGTTGAGGAAATATCTTGAATCTATCAAATTCATTTCCTGTTTTCTTGAAACATCATGTTTTAGTGAGGAATCAACCCACACGATTTTTCTCAAGCACTTTTTTCAAGGAAAACTATTTCTTAATTTGTGTCACTTTTCTCCTTCACTTTCTCTCCTGCATTTTATCAGAACTTTTTGTGGGTGAGCCATCTTCTTTCTTCCCGTTATTGCAGATTTGTTCACTATTTTTGTTACCTGAGTTGAAATCTTTGCAAGTCATGTAAAACTCAAGTGATGGTCTTTGAATTTGACGCATGAGTATAAAAATCACTCTCACTGTCAAAAAAGTATTCTCTATCTCTTAACTTTATGTTCACTCTTCTCTTCAGACTATCTCCTTAAATATACTCTGGTCATTTGCTCTTGTCTTAATCAGTACTTGAAAATTTGAATCTTGGAGGTTTGTCTCTCATCTCAAGAAAGTAACAACAGCTTTATTAATTTATTTATTTACATAATATGCAAAGGCATGTCCTTTTTTGCAATATAACATTTAGAAAATTATAAAACTTATAAGCGATGTTGCGATCATTTTGAATCTTTGAGTTAAATAACAGCCATATATGGCAGCTTCAGCTTCACTGCTGTTATTGTACATTTGTAGCACATATTATGTCATTTAAAAGAAAAATAAAGCAGGCCTAACTTCAGTATCAAAGAACGTCAGAAATACCCTATCTTGCATAAAATCTTGGGTGCAAAAAAATTTAGAAAACTGAAGCCTTTCCATAAAAATAGTTCCTTATTAAGTTTAAAACGCTAAAATATGAAATTTTCAGATCCGCAATTCCAGAATTTTCCAAGTGTCTTACAAAAGTCTTAACATCCATCAATGCCCCATCCAACAAATTTCCTCAGTTTCTTAGATAGAAAAAAAAGTTTACTGCAATTGTGATCGATTGGGTTTTTTTTTCTGTATTTTCTCGTGCATGGATATTTAGCAGACAAGGAGAAACAGTACAGTCGGCAATATTCCGCACCTATTCTGAAACGGAAAAGTTCACGATTTGGAATGGGTCAGTGCGTAGCTTCAGTTCCTAATAATCCCCCTAATTTGAGTAGCCAACTTCAACCAGGTAGTCACTCACTTTGTGTACCTTGCACTAACCTCTGTTCAACCCCCCTACCTCCCTCAACAGATTCGTTCCTGCCTTGCAGCCGGGTAGCAGATCAATTTATTACCCCCTCATCTGTTTTCCCTTGTAGGAATTTGAAGTGCTAATTTTAGAAAAGGGGCCCTGCAAATTTCACATGGACTAGAGTGAAGAATATTACACGGATGCAATTAATAGACTCATACTTTGAAGTGTGGAATGAACAATCTTAAAATAGGACTTGTAGACAAGAATTTTGACAAGTTTGAGAATTAGTTTATTTCTCACCAAAAAAATTACTATTACAGAGGGTTTGGGGGATTTCTTTTAAAATGGCTGCATCCACTTCTCTAAGTGTTCGTATTTATGCGTATTCATCAATATTCATGCGTTCAGTGCCATGAAGACATCTAAATTTCATGAGATTTGGTACATAACAAGTTGGCGTAAAAGAATTATTTTCTAAAATTTTGGGAGGCTATAGTCTTCATTTCAGGCCCCATTGAAAAAAATTTCCTCTTACAGTTTTGCAGTGAAGTCCTGAGGCTCTTTGAACTTCTTCAATTTTAATTACTGAGAGGAAAATTTTCTCTTGGTTGCACTTAATTCCGAAGGCAACCATCTTTGAAGTTGAGTTTCTCCGTTTGAATGATTATATTATATTTCTAAACCAATATGTTTCTTTTTTTGAGGGTTCCCTTTTGCTGTCATAAATTTCATATTATTTTCAAATGGAACAGTGATGCACGTTTAGTAGTGGCATGTCTTCTACCAAAACCCTTTAGTCATGCGATGCCTTTAAATTTTTCCTCAACACTCTTTCAATTTTTTTCTCTCCACTTTGTCTCCTATATCACATTTTTGGGTCTGACCTCGATGTAACCCTGCCCTTTGCTTGAAATCAATTTTTGCTTGCCAATTAAGTGATTTTGACAGTAGCACGATTTCTCTTCTCTCATGCACCTGTAATATAATCTCTGTACTGCACATAATCGCTGCCACTAAAGATGAATGTAAAAGGGTATGAAAGTTAAAATATCTACCTGAGTTTTTCTCCAGTAAGAATACTATTGCTTAATTTTTCTTTAGACTAAGTGTCGCATTAATATTTACCAGTTCAGAAGTATAAAAAAATAGCTGATCATTCATCAGATTGAGTATTCACTGAAACCATAATGACCTTGATTTATGGTGAAAGTTCCCACTAATAATTAAAATTTCTTTATAGGTACCTTCTCACCTATAACTTTGATTTTTAAGCCCTTATCGTGTGAACTATAATTTACTCGAAATGTAAGAGTTCAATGCTCATCAACTGTTCATAAACTCTTCCCCTCAGTATTGCACTGAAACTCAGTAGAGTTCATTTTTAACTCTAGTTCTAACTTTTGTTTGTTCCTGGCTTTGATTACCCCGCAAAATTGAGTGGATCCGGTATCATTTCACCGTCCTATTACTTACAGTATTAGGGTCAAATTTTTAGTGTTTTTCCTTCTTTGTACAAACACTTGGGGATCTGTGATTTTCCTGTTCAAGAGCAAACAGTTGTTTCTCGATGCGTTCGCATCTCCAACTGCTTGATAGTAATTTTTTTGAGTGTTTTTCTTGTTTCATTCTAAGAGTCATATTCTGATAGCAACGGCAGATGGCGCAGAGATTGCACTTTAGTGCCACACCTTGCGTCATATTCATGACAGCAATTTATTGCCATCTACGACTTGGAGTGATACTAAGCTGGGTTCACTGACTGAGTGTGGTCTGTTAGCGAGATTAAAAGATTATCTACACAGGTTCAAATCTCTCAACCTGACCCCAGCTTCCCTGACCCAACAGAATTCCAATGCATCTGCCCGATTCTTTTGTTTTTTTCTGGCTATGATTTTCGGGCAGAATAGTTTGAACCTAGAATTTTTCTGCCATCATGGTTTTTAAAATCAAATTTATCTTTATAATTTTTTCCCATTGTTTTATATCTTACCAAGGAAGTTCAAGTGGAGAAAATTGAAAAAATTAATATCAATTTTTTTTTATTTATTAATTTTTTTATCAGGACATCAAACATATTAGAGTTTCCCTTTCTCTCTGTAACTACAATCGTGAATTATCGGATCAGATCATTTGTCTGTTGCAGATTTTTTACTGATGCTTTTTTATTCAAATTTCGATAGTATTAACTCCAGTAAATTTTTGATGTCTAGCTTTACTGGTTTCTTTATTCATCTCCATTTAAAAGGCAATTCGTTTGCAGGTGGAAGAAAGCTACTTCACCTTGAACTAAGTATGCAATATTATTTTATTCTTTCATCTTTTTTTTTAGATGGGCATCTCTACTCTTTGAATCTTAATGAAGAAACAGATTCGACAATAACACTGCACCGAATCATCGAGCTAGAAGAGGCAGACAAAGAGACCATACATCTTTTGATTTTTCTCCTGATGCAGTTCTTGTCTCGATCAGACCAGGCATGTTTTTAGCATCTAATCAAGATGGTCCCTTTTCTTAAGTAAAACATTCCAACATACTGGAATCCACTATTTCTCCAGAAAGCTGATGAAATGTTGATGTTGAGGGAAGATTGAATGCAGTTTTTTCATAGCTTGATTGTAATAAGATGGAGAAAAGAAACCAAATCAAGTGGTCATATTTTCTAACTATTAAAAAGCAGCCTGATAGGAAAGATACCGGTTGAAAAACATGGCAAGAGTTCAGGAATTTTAATGAACTTTAACGTCACCTTGGCTCCAATCGTATAATCACCCATTTGTGTCAATTCAGGAATTTTGCCACCTATTTGTCTCTGCAGTCTAAAGCACTAAATCCTATCATCCGGACAATGGTATTCAAGCTCCAGAAATAGGCAAATTAATCGGAACTTTCGTGTACACACATAGTTAGTCACGGAGATTCCACTTTTCAATTTTTTTGGCAAAAAGGATCATAGCCTTTTGGGCCCATTTTCTGGAAAGATTTTCAAGTGTATCCGGAAACGATTTTATACTACATGAACCCATGGACAGTTGTTAATATTTTGATTAATATAAATGTATGAATTTAAGATAACTTTCTGGGAAGTGCCTCCAAAAATGTTGATCCCATTGTAGTATCCATCTACCCTTAGGCTCTCTCCTCATTGCTTTATTTTTCTTTCCTAGGCATTTCCTAGCGAAGAAAAAGGCCCATCCAGAACTCAGCTCATTTTGTTACGTCATCTTTATTTGCTGCTTGGCTACAATCAGAGTGATAGAATTTTCCACATGTCTGCTGAAAGAATGAGGTGAAGTTTTTATTGATAATGTTACAAACGTTTGACTTATTGCAATCTAGTGCACTTCATCAGACGGACAACTCTTTTGATATCTTTTATGCAGGTTATTTCAAGAGTTCCTTGATTTTTTTTTCTTTGAAATAGTTGTAAGGAGAGAATAGTCATGTTTTCTTGTGGAAGGGGAAGTAGCTTCCTTTTCCATCCATCCGAAGGCTTATTCTGACTAAGAAAAAATTATTCTGTTCCTTTTATAGCTGGTCATAGGGCAACTATTCTTTTTTGTGTGCAAAACTATAAGATGTGGATCAATTTTCATTCAGTAAACAGTATGCATATTCATTGGCTTTTTGAAAACTATTTTAAACTACATAAAGATTCTCTGTTACATGAGATTATTCAATTACAAGCTAATTGCAAATGAATAAAGTTCCTTTTTCTCGAAGGCAGGGCTATTTTCTTAGACTGATCTCTAACTTTTTCTCTTATTTTTAATTCCAAAAGATGCTCCGCCTCAATGAATGCGTTTCTGTCCTGTCTTCCACAAGTGCTTGACCAAAATCACTTAATGGGGAAGATGCTCCTACCAACAAGTCTCCTGCTTCTGCAGCATTTCATCTCTCCAGCTCACACGCTCTGGCTATTGGAACCCTATGCCAGGCGATCGTGGCTAATGACAATGATAGTTCTTTTCTACAAGGTACTATCAGCAACTCCACTTGTGTTCGTCCCATGAAGGGGGCTAAAGCAAGCAAGCAATTTATAAGATAAATAAGAGGTTTATGTATGTACGGATGAAAAATACACACATTGGTCCTGTTGAAACATGGTGACATCAAATTATATGTATGAAAAAAGAAAGAAAATTATAATATCTCATTTGCGCATTGAACTTAAAGGCATCCTGGCCTAGCGCATTGATATACCAGAGGTATATTATTAAAACTTGGACGACTTCAATTTTAGTGTGCAACTAAAAATTGTTTTAAATGTTCTATTAAAATTTAATATATCTGGAGGTATATGCATACAAGGATATGGTTGACTATTTTCTCCGAATTATAATGATCAAACCATCAAATTTTTACTGCACTGAATGAATCTGTTCAATCATATTGCTGTCCTATTAGATAACATGCCATCTTCCTCTCTTCGATGACACTTTTTGTTTCTTATGTTCTGTTTTATTCCAGTATGATTACTCTTCAGAACCCTTGTTCAGCGAGGTTATGTCAATCATAAAAATCGTTATGAATACAATCGAATCCCAGCATCATGTTTGCCGCCACATTCCGCCTACTGTCATCATGCCGGGACCCCCCTCCAGATCTAGAGGTATGCTGTCTACTCAATTTGCAAGAAACAAATTACTCAAGACAAAAATTCAGCTCAAACCTTTGTCAATAAATTAGCACTTAGTTCCTTCCAAACACTGAACCTATTTGCTTACTAGCGTTTCTTTGCACGCTGCACTGAGGGTTGGAAGTCAAGTTTATTAAAATTGAAAAATTTTGATACCTCTCAACGGTCCTAAAACTCATCTAATGATGGAGACTATGTAGATCTTTGGCGTATACCATATGCTTTGTCAGAAACATCTAAGCTTGGCAAAATATTTCTTTGAAATTAAAGGTCGAAACCTGGACTAGCTAATTCTCATGGCTTGCGCCTGTTTATTCTCCTGAGCTTTGAGGTATTGTCCAGGAGTTCAAAAGTTTTTATTTTTGTACATGAAAACCAAATTATTGAATAAGAAAGAAAAATTACCATTGAAAATATGTTAGGTTGGTAATATTCTGATCTCCAAAACAAAACACGTGGTATCATTCATCAGAAAGGTAGGAATACGCAACCAAAATGATCGCCCAGCAATTGAGCAAAGTAACTTGTCTGTCTTCTCCGGGATGGCATCACACAAGATGTAAGATTTTAAGATGTAAGTATAATGTGCCATTGCCTTGCACTTTGAGTTACTCTCAGAATTTTGAATTTGCCACAGTTGCATTAAATAAATTTCGTTCTAAAATTATGTCTCACTGTTTTAGATACAAGTCAACCATTGTTGGGAATCGATAATGATGGAGGACTGAGTGGAGGTACTCCTCCATTTTCACCTGGGTATTCAGCGTCCGATTGCGGGTTACGACCACAAGTTGGAAGCGTGCATGAAAAAGGAGCAGGAAGTATGGAAACTCACTGGGAAGAAGATTTTTCGCATGATCAAGAGAAAGACAAACGACCACCGCATATTCATGATTCAAAGTATGTTTGAATACTCTCTGTTTTTTTGTTTTTTTTTTAAAAAAAATTAGAACCGATTCGGTGTTTAATAATTATAATAGAGGCAAGAAATCTCTGAATTTATTTCATATATGAGTTGTATAAAATGCTGTCATACTTGTTACAACATTGAGATAGTGTTAACAACTTTTGATGCATTTGCAGATTACTTTGGACTGCACTGTAGGACTGTTTGGCATCCAAAATTAAAATTATTGATTTTACCCCTTTACTCTTCTAAAACGGCTTATTTTTCTGTCAATAGCTACTCATCAACGGAAGCTGAAGAAACGGAATCAGAGCTGGCCGTAATTCCTGCAAGCATAAAATCGGACAGCACAGCTCAGGGTAGCTCTCAAGTTAGTATCCGCTGCACCAAGTTGCATTTATTTAAATATTTTTCTCTGGTTTTAGAATAATTTTTCAAAATCAGAACTTTTCTATCAATTATTGACAAACAATGACTCTTCAATTCAAGTATCAAAATCTACGACCCATGATCGATGCTCATTACATGGTCTTTGGTCCAGGTCAGACATCAGGAGAGAAAGCAATAGTGTATCTCTTTCGAAAAGTACACCAAAAGGAGGGATTCTAGGGAGTGTTATTTACTGTCACAGGATGTGAAGTAAGGCTTCAAAAGATTGAAGATGAAAAATGGCATTACCAAAGGACTTTTCATAATTTCATCTTAAAAATACATTATTCTATTTGTTCTATCAAAAACAATCGCCGTCTTAAACTATTGACAGTCAAATTGTCATGCGTACCAAAATTTCCATTAGGTTTTTTGGCAGAACAGAGTGTAAAATTTCTGAGTTTTTGTTTTCTAATGTTTTCTAATCAGGGCTCATTTGAGGAAGTTCCTGATGAGGAAGCCAAGAAAAAAGTAGAAATTAGTGGTAAGACACGGCCAACATGGTTCCTTGGAAGTGAAGATCATTCTGTTCAAGTGAGTCACTTTTTCCATCTTTACGTTTTTTTGGGGGGTTTTGTTTTTTGTTATAACCTTTGCGTTAAAGGATGAGGAGATTTTTCACTTATCCAACTTAAATAACTTTACAGTGAGCTGTTGTGACACCCTGGAAAATGCATCCTCAGACAGAGTTATCAATAATTACCTGTAAAATTAAATGAATCAAGGATGCCATAGCAGTGTCTACTTGAGTTTGAAGTCTCTCATTCTTTCCGTTGATCAAGAATAAATCAAGGAGATATTTCATGATTTTAGCCTGAAAAATTATTCACATCTCTCGAAAACTCTTTAATTTACTTTCAGTCTTGTCTAAGACTGCACTGTTAGACTTAAATTCAAATAACTGATCCAAAATTTGCCTCAAATATCCTAGTGCAAAGTAGAGGCATTGAATTGTGACTCATGAAGATTCACAGTGTTACAATTTTTTTTATTTTTTCCCCCCACTCATTGATGTATCATGGTTTTGTGACATTTTGCACCAGCGGTATTGGAGGTATTGATGGCACACGACACCACCAAAAATCAGCCTTTGATTGTGCAAAATGCTGTGTAACAGCTTGTTTCCACTGAAAGTTTTGTGCAAACTTTGCATTTCAGCAAATCTACTCTTTCTCTCTCTGAATGACATAAAATTTGCTGTGTAAAATCCTCCACAATGTGTAAAAGACAATCATGCAAATTCTTCATGTGTCGCAACCAGGGCGGCAAAAACATGTGTCTACAATTTTTAAGTATCCGTTTTATTCATATTATAATATATTTCCAGCAAATATTTATATCCCAATTGTCAGATTCGTTTTCTGAAAAATAATAATCAAAGCTATTTGCTCTGCATTCAAAATTTGTCATGTGCTCAGCCTTAATTTCTCCTCACTCAAGTTCGAATCTCCAATCTAATTAATAGCATGTGATAATGTTTAATTTCAGTCCCAGCCAAGTAGTGCCAATGGAAAACGAGGGATCCGGGAGGGAATGAAAATGTTAGTCGCTTCCTCACTGTTTGGAGTCGGTCGAACTTCTGAATCCTCACAAGCACCACCTCAACCCCCTCCTAGTGCCCCTATAATGCCGAGAAACACTTCAGCTTCCCCTTCCACCCCTAAGTAAGTGATGTCTATTTCATATGATACATCCTCTCAAAATTAAAGTTTTTCTTCATTTCTAAAAGTTAAAAATACAGTAACATTTTGGTTTTCAAAACCCTCTATACCTCAGATTTCCTATTTTCAAGCCAATAAAGCACTCCCTCCTAAGAGGGAAGATAGTATAAATGCAAGCCTAATGTTGTGAATCTGGAAATGGGTATTCTTTCGACTCATATCAAAATTCAAAATCAAATAATATCATAGTTCATCGAATACGAATTAAAATACACATTGAAAAATCAGGGGGGTAAATATCATTAAAAATTGTTAGTCTTCATTTTCAGAAGTTTTGAAACGGATGTAATTTGAAAGTTGAGTTTCTCCTAAAAATTAAATTTATTTTAGTTTTACTCCCGAGGTGTCGTAGACTATGCATTAATTAACTTGGTGCTAAAAACAAGGACCTGATCGGTACAGAGAGTGGGCTTTTCCATGATATGGTCTGAGATGACCATTATGACCTCAATTTTCAACACCCACATATCGATGCCCAAAGTGCGTAACCACGTACCTCCTCTGCAGTGTTTCAAAATTCTGCTCCTATTTTATTTTTTTGGAAAAAAACAAGCTTACTTTGTAGCTTAAAATTTTTGCAGGATATTCTGCTAACCCGGAAGAAAAATCAAGGAAGTTTTCAAGAAGTTACGATAAATAGTTTTCCAAAGAAAACAATTGAGTATGATAGGAAATCTGCAGCGTTCCGAACGGAGTTATGTGGTATCTCACCTTGGCCATCGATATTATGAGAGGAAGAGTTGATCTGGACAGAGTTTATCAGAGAGGAACCAATTCATATTTTCGAAAAAATTGAGTTGAGAATGTTTTTGAGTTCCACTAGTCGTATATTTTCTCCTGCCAAAAACTTAAAGTCGAAAAACAGAAATTAGTGTGTGAAAAGAAGGGTTAAAGTTTATTTTCTACATTGAGCCTTATGCAGGAATGAAACTTCAAACCTCTTTGTCTCACTTTCAACTTAATGGGGGTCGGTTCCTTTCTGATGAACTCTGTCCATTTTAGACTTCAGTTGTGTAAAACAATTTAATTGTGAAGCAGCAGACCTTGGAGATGCCAGATCTTTATTCTTTGAGATATGTCACTTGCCTTAAGTCTGTTTCTTTTTTCTAACAGGTTCATTGACAAAGAGCCAGTGATGGACTGGACAGATAGCTTTGTCACCAGGCAGATGGCTTTGAAGCCTGCTCACCATCCAAAATGCAACATTGATCATACTGTCATGATCACAACTCCCCCGTGGCAGTTGGAGTCCCTGCATGGAAAAAATAAGTTTCCCCCATCGAGTGAGCTCAAACCCCCACAGATCGTCAGCAGGAATAATAGCATTGGTCAGTCAAACTCCTTAACATGTTATCATTAGTTATGAATAGCATTTAAGATGCTTGATTGGGTATCACCGTCATTGCCATAGGTCTAATTGTGAGTTAAAAATGCATTAACTTTTCTCACTTATCAATTAAAAACTGCGGTTTGAGCGAAAACTGGAGTTAATTCAATGAAAAATGGCTTTAAAATTACGATGAGCATACTGGCAAATTTTGAAACCCACCTCTTACTGTACAATTTTATGCTCATTTTTACAAAAATTGTAATGAGATCTATAAAATTCGAACCTTCGTCTCTCAAACTGCCACCGAAACAAAAGTTGAGATAATTCAAGATGCAATAAGATTGCCAGTGCCATTGAAGAAACCAAGCAATCGATTAAATAAAGTCATTATGTGGTATGTATGATTAAATCATCAGTTCAATCGGCGTCAGCACAAAAACTGATGCTCTTTCACATCAATAAGATGTCTTTTGTTTGCAACAGTTTCTGAAAACTAGTATCCATTGCATTTTGTTCAAAGTTGTTTTCTGTTGTGGATGGTAGGGTTTATTTTTGCACGCATAAGAGAACCCCTGAACTAATGATTATTTTGCAACGAATTGCTCCAGGGGACGTTTTTGTGTTGTTTAACCAAGCCTGTGTTAAAAAACTTTGTCCTATGTTGTTACGTTGTTCGTTGTGCTTTCATTAGTTGTTTAAAACTGAAAAAAACAAGAATAAGACACAGCATAACTTCACTGATTTGAATAAAATACGTCTTTACTTATTTCTGATTTTTTCCATTTTTACAGCCTCTAAGACAGTACCACCGCGATCTCCGATTCCAAAAGAAGAGGTTTACGAGTCTCCAGAATCACCACTGTCTAAGATGGATGTTCACATGGTCGGTAAGTCTACAGTAGAGTGATTTCTTTTGCAAGATGTGCTGAATGCCTCTGAAGTACTTTTAAAAGTGACCAAATCTTAAAAGGAAGTAAGTTAGTAGTGAGTGGGCTGAGTATTTAAAAAATTAATTACTGTTTTACAAAGACTAAGCTGCTAAATTTTCAGTTCTTTTATGTAAAAAAAAAATAAAGTAAATACCTGTAGAGTATTCTATCGTGAAGAGTCAAGTTTATTTATTTTAATATTTTTATCAACTTTAAAATGGACGTATTTCTATCAAACGGAACTAAGCGCCAATTTGAGTTCCTTTTAAGGGGTTTAGAATCCCGGATAGCGCGTTCTGTCAAACGGACCTAAGCGCCATGGAAAAGCATTGCGAGTATAGGACGGAATAAGCCGGACGCCCAATTCCGCCGCCAATCCAAGCCCCCCTCTACCTTCCTCACCCTATGGCGCTTAGGTCCATTTGATAGAAATACGTCCAAATCATCACTAGAACATAATCTTGTCAATCGAAATTAAGGCTCTTCAAACATTTCAGCATCAATCTAATACACCGTATAATGTGGCTATAAATAAAAAATACTTCCGTCATTTCTCACCAGAAAATGAGTTTAAAAGAATTTTTGCCGTATTTTTTGACTAATTTTTTCTTTCAACTTTGCAGGGTGGCCGTCGGACAAAGATCAGGAAACAGGCTCAAAGCAAAGTGTCTCTCCTTTAGAATTACCCGCTCCAGAGCGACTTTTGCCCATCGGTGCTGCGCCAGTGAATAGAGAGGGCATGGTATCTCTTGTGCGCCATGTCAGCAATGTTCTAGGGATATCTAACTCAAACGGTATTGTCAATTTCATTTTTTAGAATTATATTTGCCTGTCCTTTCTTGAATTCACAAATTATGTAAGACTTAGGTTATCAGGATATGAAGAGCCTCTGACTTACTTAATGGGTGTAAAAATTGCAATTTTCACCCTCAATTTTGAATTCCAGGGCTGCAATTCCATAACAGCTTTAGATACTATGAGAGTTTTTTTCAGCCTCATACAGAATGAGTGAGGAGGCATTGAAGTAAAGCTCAGCCACCGGCTGTTATACAGCCTATCCCTCAAAGTATTTTGTACTTTCCATGGCATACTTGGTGGGTCTTTATTGAAGTCTGTCGTATCTTTTTAAATTATTTTTTAAGTAAACATGTAATTATTATATTTTATAGTTTCATATCTATGTCAGGTGTGTACTCCACCTGATAGGTTTGAGATGAGAGACATTTTTGGACCGTGACAAGATAGAGTACCTATTAACATACGGCTGGTATTCTTTGTAATTTAGTTTGATCAGTATTTGAGCAAAATAGTAAACAAACAAAGAAAAGAACTGTAAAAATCAAATATATTTATATCTCTTTTTTTCAGACTCTAAAACATCAGATGCTAGCCTGTCTGGCACTATCAGTGAATCGCTATCTACCTCTCCTCTTCCTAAACAAGATAGTTTAGACAAGCCGATCAGTCAGGTGAGCCAAATTTTTTTTAAAAAGAAATGAGTGATTGCTCTTTCAGCTCTTTGAAAAGTAGGTCCAAAAATTTCAAATTCTCGGAAGTGCTGTGTGCATAGTGAATTTTGAGTTGAAATAAGAATCATTTGAGTACAAAGTGATTACCAAGAGAATCCAAAGCAAATAGTCCAAGTTGTCTCATTTCTGATTACAAGGAGGAATACTTTAAAATTGAGCAAATTCTCGGATATGATGCAATTTTTGGGTGAAGTACTTCTGTAGTTGACTATCAGCCAACTCATAATTATTAACATTTGTCTTTGGATCTTCGATTTTGTGGAGGAAAATTTGCACAACCGCCTCTGCTGCTGAGTTGAGAAAAAAAACGTTATTAGCCAGATAGGTCCCTCATTTTTCGTTTATTTATTTATCTTTGCTACTGCGGAGAAATCATATGAATCTTCAAAACACTTTTTGAGAGCTTCTCTTCAACAGTTTTGTCAGCTTACCTAGATCCAATACTATTTTCCCCTACACCCACCTTTCAATTTTGTAATTCCTTTTTTATGGGAGGAGAAAGGAAGCTTCTTTTTTGTCAGCATTTGTCATTACTGACTTTTTTATCTTCTATGTTTAGAGCAGCACCAGTGTAAGTCCTCGCCGGCTAATCAAACAAGTAGCTTTGGAGTCACCGCCACCCCAACTTCAAGACTCTGTATTTTCTTCTGTGTGTAAGTGCACTGATACAATTTTATTTTTTAGAACAGAAGATGAATAGATATTCTTTCAGTTTTTCAAGTCAGAAAATTAGACATTACCAATTTCTACAGCCGTGCTGTAGCACATCATGAGGCAGATGATCTTTATGTAAGTAATTAACATAAGCCAAGAATTTTACGAAAATCTTGAAGCAAAGCGTAATGAATGAGTCAGTCGCTTTTAAGAGATACAGCCTTATGAATAGACTTTCTCTTCGTGAAATCGCAGCAAAATAACGATAGACACATTAAAAAAGTCTGAAATCTACTCCTAATGGCACAATCTATGTTATAAAGCCTTTAAGTATTAATAATGAATGAAGTTCTTGTTTAGTATTCATACTTATCAGTTTTGTGAATAATTATTCTGATTTCAGTTAGGTCAGAGGATTCCAAAAATTATCGCCAACCATTACGAAAATCAACAAGTCCGCATTCGTTGTCTGCTGAGCATTCCAAACGTCCTGAAGCATGGTAATTGTGTCTAAAATTTTAATAATCTGATGCCTAGTATATTAATATAATAATTTTATACTTCAACCTAAAATTACTTTAAATATTAAGATTGCGGGTCACTCTGGAAAATTGAGAAAATTATGCCAAAATCAAGATATTTAGTTCCAACATAATTTTTCTTATGACGCTTTATATGACTTACTTTTTTGGGAGAATAAGTCAGGATGGTAACAAGAAATTTAAATTTAAAAAAATGAAATGAAATGGAGGAAATTTTTCCAAAATCTCAAGGATACATACGGATATTTTTGTCCTTGCGACCTGTTCCTCCTGAGATAAAATTCCATTTTAATACATTTTGTGAGGGAAAAGATTCCAAAAAAATTATATGTAATCTTTAATATTGGATTTTTTTGTCATTTTCATTTTGAATTTTTCTTATTTCATGATAGGAATCAAAGAAATCACACCCCCCTTGATCCTGCTGTACAATTTGCTTGCCATGCTGCTACAGATTTAAAATTAAGTGCCTCCCGCACTGGTGATGAATGTGTCATCAACAGGTATAATTTTTATCTTACCTTTGTGCAAATGTTAGTTTTATTTTCATAGTTTGTTCGACCCTCTCAACAATCATAGTTATGGTGCAATAATTTTGCTGGGAGCAAAGAAAGTGCCTCCTCCGCTTCAGGTACAATCTTGAAATAGTACTACTGCTATTCCATTTTGGTTGGATGTTAAAAACGAGTATCCCGTTCCACTTTTTGCCACAAGAGAATTTCAACTCTTCAGTCACTATTAGACCTTTGTCACTAGGGTATCAAATTCTTGGGATTGGAATTGGTTCCAAATGATTGTATAACTTCAACTATTTTTGGTTCATACTTATGCAATACAACGATTTTAACTGCAGATTCATACAAGAATCTTAGAGAGTTCAACCACTGTGATAGAACTTTTTCTCATCGTAAACTTTTTTTAGTCTGTAGGAAGTTGGACCTCATTTCCAAAACGTGAGATTTTGTCATTGTTAGGATCCAATTTTTTGTACAAAAAGTTCTAATGACGTGACTAGTAGCATTCTTCGAGAAACCCATGAGTTAGGTTTCCTCAAGTTACTTTTTTATCTGTAAATTGTCATTTTTTTTGCATCATGCTATAATATTCATCCTTGTGTCTTGTAATTCCAGATGCGGAGAATGTGGAACAGCCTTAGAAGAGTATTCAGAAGAAGAATTGGGTTTGTGTATTGTAATTTTAGGAACATTCATCCACCGGGAACCTGCGCTGGCGGCTCCTCTCCTGCCACATATTCTCATCACTGTTGGAAAGTGAGTTTTTCATCATCTTCACTTGATTCACGCTGTTTTATCAGTCTTCAAATTTGATAACAAGTCTAGAAAACGGTAGTAAGCTCAGGAAAAGTAAGAGAGGTCTTCAGATTTTAAGAGATGGAGAAGAATCGACGATACAATTCATATGCAAAAACTCTAACTTTGAAAGTCTGGTAAAAATCAGGGCAGTTGGAAATTTTGGAGTCAGGGATAAGCAGAAAAAATCAAGGAAAGTCAGAAAATTTGAAAATGAAGAAATCATGGAAACCTTGTGACTCGCTGAAATTTTCTATGATGCCTTTGTCCATTTATCGTTACATTCGTTTCGTTGTAAATTAAAATGTCATGCTTTTCCCTAGCATTGATTTAAACCTGTGTTTTTTCTCTTGCATTTTTTTTAGAATGGCCACTTGGCATGGTGAGAGCACTCCGAAAGGAGCAACCAGTGTTGCCCGCCAATTTCTGCGTTGTGTTCTGCATCAATTGGCCCCCAATGGAATTTTTGTACAAATGTTTCATACTCATGTTTCAGGTCAGTTCCTCTCCGTTTGGTACTCTAATATGTCATAAAGTGAATTCTTACCAGCTTAATAAGATTGAATCACGGAAAATACGCAAACATAACACGGGATACTTGCAAAATGGGTAAAGTTTTGCTTGAGGCGGATATGCTGCATTCACTCAATAGTATTTTCCCAAAGTTTCAGAAGTTTGGGAAGACATAGCAGGGGCTCAAATTTATAGTTCATATCATAGGACTTTTCAAAGTTGGGAAAAATTTCTTTGACTTTTCAAGAACTTGTCATCCTGATCAATTGTTAAAGAAAGACCCACAGAATATGTTCCTGCAATCCATCGTTTTGATTCTTGAACATCCTATATAAACTTGCTACACATATTTGACTCTTTGATGTTTGTAAAAATCATAGTATTTTACAGTTTTTCATTATCTTTACTTCCTCTTTACTTTTTCCAGCATCAACCAGACATCATTTCTTCCGCAGCGTAGCACAAGCCCTCCATGATTTCAATGAACTAAATCCCGTAGCCCCTCTTCAACTACTATTTGAGGTAATAACTAAGAATGAAATTTATCTCACCAGGGCTAAGCACCTTTCAGAGGAAAAATTATGCTGGAGCTTCAGAATTGTTCAATTCCAGTATTTTTAATCCCCAAGTCCCTAAAATGTTGATGTGGTCATAGGTTAGAGGAAAATTGAAGGATTTTCCTTTAATCTGTGAGGAATTGTTTTCCTTTTTTTTCTTATGAGTTCCAATTTACTTAATAGATTATATGATTTTAAATCATACTGTCCTTAAATTGGCACAAAGGAATTCACACATGTTTTTAGGCCAAGGTGTTATCAAACCCTCGAACTTCCAGACTTAAGAGACCATTAGGTTGTGAAAAATGGAAATTCATCGAACACACTTAAAAATTTCTGCTCCTATAAAGATATCTTTGCCCCTTGAAGAACCTTTAAAGGAGCGAACCACATAATATTTAGAGAACCGATTTGCTGTATTGTAAGAAAAGTGGCAATTCAACTAACCTCATGCAGTCCTGATGATTTCCTCAAAACTTCTACTTCCGCCCATGTAAAGTCTGTGCTTTTCACTCAGAAAGATTTAATCCCTGCAATAAAAATTATATTGATACTCCAATCTATGAAAATAGCTAATTAATGAATTGGCATTTATTCCATGTCAGAATTATCTAGTCATTTTGTCGAGTAAATTTAAGAAATTGCATAACTCAAAACTCTGATGAACCATAATCTGCTTTTGCCACACAATAGTTGTAATTGATCAATGCATTACAGAGTCTGAATTCTCGTAAGTCACTCGTGAGCACAAATCTGAAGGAGGTCCTCGCCAATGTAGCCTGCTATCTTGACTGTCTCCCACTGGAGATTGGTCTCGGTTGTGCAGCGTGGAGTGGATTCCTCACACAATTAGATCTCCTCCTCCGTAAGTTACCCACAACTCCGGAGGCCTCCTCGCTCCTACGCATAATGAACTCTGTCCTCAAAGTACCAGGCATACCAGCTTCAAAAGTAGGTTATGAAATTTTTTTTTTCTATTCATCATTATTATTTTTCTTCTATAACAGAAATTTGAACCAAGTAAAACGAAGTCAGCCACAGAGGTTGGGAAAAGGTCTGAAATAGAACTTAAAGGGTTGTATGGGTTTCACACAATCACAAATGCAAGAAAGAAAATAGCTCGTGGCTTGTTTTTTACTCAGCAAAATTAAAAGTAAATTTGAAAAAAAATGCAATTTGATTATGACTTCGTCTTTCAATGATACATTCTCTAAACTACGTCACATAAATATATCAACATTGGATTAGTTGCAAACCTTGTAGTATCAAGCTGCTGAATTTTAGAGCAAAGCAAAATGTGTCAGCTTAACTTTAGAAAGACGGCTGCGAACTGGACAAAATTAAGGCTCGGTAATCGAAACACTGTTGTCATAATGATAATGGGGTCACAACATCATCGTTGATGCGGTATCTTTACTCGTGTCTAAGTTGGACTAAAAAGCTTAAAAACGGGAGAGCAAGAAGAATGGAAACATTTGATGGAAATGTTAAAAGAAAGTGAGGGACTGCTTCAAAGCACAAAAGGAGGCTGCACGAGTTTAAAGAGGATGAAATCCAAAACCAAAGAAGGTTTTGACCAAAGTAAATTTGAAGTCTGAGAGATACTTGGCTCACAATAGGGACTATAATTTGATCTTATTGGCTACCGGTTGTCAGGAATATGAATTTTGCCTCGGCCAGCTTTCCAAAGTATTTAAGCTTCTATGACTGTAATAAAGGAGGTATTGAAAATGTGATTAATGATATCCACTAAAATAGTGTATACCTTGGTTTTCTCACCTTACTCTCATCTGTGACAAGGGTGTAACAACTATCGCAAATTTGCCCATTACTGCACACCGCATTGGTCGATAAATCCGAGGTAGAAGAATAATGGTTTAAATGCAAGACTAAGTCAAAGGCAGTATTTTTGAGGGGTGATGTATCTATAAGTATTGGACATCAGAGCAGGGTATTTTTACAAATTTCCTTTCTTTATGCTAATCTACAAGTTTAAACTTAAGTAACGCAATCCTGCGACTAATGGCATTAACCCACTACTGATCAGTGCAAACTTATTTTTCGAACCACTCATGTCAAATCATCAGCAATAAATGGATATTTCAAACTGAAAAACATTTATCTCCACTGTTTTTTCGTTGTTTAGAGCTTGTTGGAACCATTTACTAAGATATTGAGCTACAGCATACAAAATTCATTTCTTAAGTACAACACTTTAGTCGACATCTGCTTTTATTGCTATCGAGGTTACTCCAGGGTAAGTCTTCCTTCATTAAGCTAATTCTCGTCCTTAAATTCTGTGTTCTTTCCACAGCTTCCAAATTTTCTCTCACTCCCTTCATAAAGTTGTATGATATGAACCTTGCTTGATTTTAATTAAATATATTTTTAGCAAGTCTATAAACACTGGACATGAAATATCCAATCCATTTTAATTGCATTAGGATGTCCTTGTGTAAACAGGAGGTATGAATTTCCTAGGGATTTTAAATGACTTATAAATGTCGTAATTTAGGATGAGGAATGAAGTGTCATAAACTGAGAGAATATTTTCCTTCCTTTTGTACATTTGAGGGCTGCGCTTTATTCCTTATTTTATTAAAATTATCAACATGAAAACAAAATGTAATGAAACAGACCACAATGGAATCGAACAGAACAAGTATCAATCACAAGACATTTTTCTTTTTAAACCTCCCTTTGTTCTCTGTTGACATGGTTTATGTGTATATGTGTTTTCTTTCTTTTTTTATTGTTTATTGTTTAAAGTATTTGTGTATAAATGTATAATTTATTTATTTCTGAACATGGGCCAAGTGCTCTACAACTTGTGAATTGATGATATTTTAGTCCTTTTAATTATTACAGGAAAGAGAAAAACTGATGTTGACAAGAACTGTGATTTTTGAGCTGGTCCAGGCATTAAAATTCAAAATCACCATACCAGACTCCAATTTTCTAGTTCTCATCAGTTTCATTTTGCAAGTAAGTGAACAATCATCATCCTTCAACAAAATTTATCATTAGAATTACTTCAAAATCAATCTCTCTACAATCTAAGTTTCATTAAATAGCCTCTTTTTTTGTTCTTTAATTGATTACCAACAACATAGTTATTAGATTTAATCAGTTCTGTATTTTGGATAATTCTTCTGTGAGAATCTATTTAACATTATTTCCTGAAAGTGCTGAGGATTTTCTTCCATGAAAGAATATTTTTTCAAAGTTTCATTTTTTTGTCCTGGAAGGGCACAAACGCAGTTGACCTTATTACCCATCGTCACAATAAAGTTGAACGAACTGAGGCCTTGTCCTCACAAGCACAGTTCGCAGAACTTCGGGCAAACTTGTTCTAGGAGCTTATTATAACTCAGCTATAACTTGTTCCTCAAAATTCCCAGTTCGCGGAACTAATTCGTCCAAACTGTGCTTGTGTGGACAAGACCTAAGTGATTTCAGAAACATTTAAAATTATGATTCAGGAGTTTCATAAACTTGTAAAATTTACAGGATGTAGGTGGTGTCCTTCCACAAGCACATTCAATCGAACAAGGTAAAGTGCAGTTTCATGAACAGAATCCCATCTTGAACACTGGCGCGGCCGAATGTATGCGCCAACATCTGGCTGATGCTTTAGAGTTCCTTGCTGATTTTCATACCCTCTCAAAAATCAAGGTTAGTACTTTGTGCTAATAACCATAGCTTCTCTTTTTCTCATTTCATCCATACAGTTCATAGACTTATAACACAATCTAGACAGCGACTAGACACTAGGCCCGACTTTAGGCAGAAGAAGCGAGACAGCTAGGGGATGAAGACACATCTCCATCTGAATCAATACAGCCTTTTATACATGTAGTACTGCAAGTCGCTCATTGTAGGATGACTTCTGTTTTGCCAGAGGGTGCCTTTGATTCCTCGAATTTTCCAGTACTACATGCAATCTTGGCTACCTACCTATCGTCTCGCCTAAAGATCCTAATGCGCGGTCTAGATTGTATTAAACGATTACGATTCAGTTCTAATCTGACCACTTAGGTTTCTGAGAAGGTTACTTCATGCAATTAAAATGACTATTGAACAGCAACCTGTTTCAAGACGTAGCAGCAGAAATCTTCTGAATACATGAATTTTGTTTTCCTGTGAAAAAAATATCAATCAGATTACTAAGAAAGAGCCGTATGCAAAAACGACATTTTTCGCCCCCCCACTAAAACTTATTCAAACTTCGTCTATCAGTTACTAATACTGGAGCGCTTCTTTCCCCAAATTTTCAGACCCCCAAAAAATTTTGGGGGGCGCTAGGGGGGGCGGAAGTCAAAACCTGTGACCCTCGATATCTTTCGAACGAAACAAGATATTGAGGCCCGGTTTGGACGAAAAATCGTCTAAAATTGCATATTTTAAGATTCTAAAGGTCAAAATCCCAAAATTAAATTTTTAACTTAACTTATGTGCTTTTTTTCAGTTTTTGAGGAAAAACAATTTCCTTTAAACAGATTAAACTGAAATTTCACATTTTTTGATTTGAACCAAAACCAGTTTTTTAAATTGTTCGTCTTTTTCCGCATCCAACGAGTGGTCGTATAAGCTGGGGAACCGAACAGTTCCGGAGTTATGATCGATTGAAGTTTCTGCTCAACGCGCGCCGACCGATTTTCGCGCGCAAAAAAGTCGGATTTGACTGTTATTAAATCAGATTTAATGTTCAAACTGAGCAAAATGCATTATTAGGGACTCTTGAGGGTTGCTGAGTCCAGACATTACAGATACTTCCAAAAAATTCACGTTTTTAAAATTACAGCTCCGTACAGGACCACTGAGCGGCCGGTCGGCGCTCAGTGGGCCTCTAAAAAAGCGCTACGGAGCTGTAATTTTAAAAACGTGAATTTTTTGGAATTATCTGTAATGTCTGGACTCAGCAACCCTCAAGAGTCCCTAATAATGCATTTTGCTCAGTTTGAACATTAAATCTGATTTAATAACAGTCAAATCCGACTTTTTTGCGCGCGAAAATCGGTCGGCGCGCGTTGAGCAGAAACTTCAATCGATCATAACTCCGGAACTGTTCGGTTCCCCAGCTTATACGACCACTCGTTGGATGCGGAAAAAGACGAACAATTTAAAAAACTGGTTTTGGTTCAAATCAAAAAATGTGAAATTTCAGTTTAATCTGTTTAAAAGAAATTGTTTTTCCTCAAAAACTGAAAAAAAGCACATAAGTTAAGTTAAAAATTTAATTTTGGGATTTTGACCTTTAGAATCTTGAAATATGCAATTTTAGACGATTTTTCGTCCAAACCGGGCCTCAATATCTTGTTTCGTTCGAAAGATATCGAGGGTCACAGGTTTTGACTTCCGCCCCCCCTAGCGCCCCCCCAAAATTTTTTGGGGGTCTGAAAATTTGGGGAAAGAAGCGCTCCAGTATTAGTAACTGATAGACGAAGTTTGAATAAGTTTTAGTGGGGGGGCGAAAAATGTCGTTTTTGCATACGGCTCTTTGAGAAAATATGCTCATGCTCAATACTTCAACTTGTGATGACCAGACAGGGTATGATTTAAAATATGACATGTAGTGAATTCTCAAAAAATAAAATTATGCAGAACTTAGAAAGCCCATTGAAAATTTTCGAATAATTCAAAAAGGAGAAATTGCCTTTTAATTTAACATCAAAATCAGTAAATTCAAAAGTCTCCTTCATGGCAAAATCCAAAATCAATGCAGCTCAAATTCTTCTTGAGGAAAGGTCAGTTTCCACTAAACTTTTCTGCAATCGGTAATACTTGGAATTTAAAAATTTGCACACTAAAGAGATTTTTCATTTAGTTGAAATATGCTAAAATGAGTCTAATAATTAGGTTCTTTTGATGTGAGAGACGTTTAAATTGACAGATAACGGAAACATTGATTTCTTACTAATAATTTAATTAAATCTCATGAGAGTTCCTTTCTACACATAGATTTGTTTGCCTCTTGAGACAACTTTCTTAGACAGCTCTTTCAGCAGAAAGAAAATCAATTGTTGAAACTGACAACTTGGAACGTCTTGGAACTAATAACTATGATTCATTTTCAGAGCTATGGAAAAGATTTAAGCGCAGGTTTGAATGAAGACACCTTGGGTGGAACTTTGAAAGCAGGCATTGCACAGTATGTCGCATTAGAAATGACCCGAGGCACTAGTCGAGATAGCCGCGCTGTTGCTCGATATTTACCTTGGTTATATACTGCACCTCCAACTGTTGTCCAGTCTGGGTATGTTTCTGTTTAGAGTATTTTAGAGTCGCATTTTATCATAAAATAATTTTGAAGTCCAATCAACTGTTAAAACCTATAAACCTGTAGTGATTGGTCATGTATCATTAATGGTTAAATACCTAATACTTTTTGGTAAATTTTACATGTCAAGCAAAAAGGTGAAGTTTTTAATGCAAAATTTACAAAATATTAAAATGCATCTGCTGCAGGAATATTACATGAGTTTTTTTTTTTTTTTTTTTTTAAATTCTACAGTTGAGGTATGCTGACTTGCCCATTTTTATTTCAAGACAACTACAAGCAGTTTTTGTTAGACATCTCAACTTTTGATAATGCCAAAAGCAGCTATTGTGGGAACCTTAATTTTTCCCTATCTAACTCATGGAATAATCTGCAAATAGTTCATTTTTGCCTCTGCAAAATGATCCAGAATGGACACAATGTTATTCAATTTAATTTTTGACTAATATCGTTAAATTTTGGTTTATTGTAGACCTCGAGATTTGAACGAATGTATAAATGGAGTCAGACTTGCTTCTTGGCTGCTATTAGGGAGTCTCACGCACTGCGCCCTCCAAATGTCACCTTGCCTACCAATCCCTCAAGAAGCATCATGCCACGTTGCTGATTATATTCAGCAAATTCTTTTGGGGTTCATCGATCAGTCAAAAACTTCTGTCATCCACATGTCTTCCTTATTCCACGCTTTCGTTCTCTGCCAGGTGCATATTTTTTTTGAGCATTCAGCGAATAGTTTACTGTGTATTATTTCTGAATTTATATTTCTAAATAACCATTCATTCTTGTAGCCAGACTTGCACTATCTTGTGGCATCTTAATATTTTTTTGATTTGTGCAAATCTAAGATTATTGGAATCTTTTTACAGACTCATCTAATCGCCCATTGAAATACAGCTCTTTACTTAGGGCTATCCCAATTAATGAGTGAAAAAACCATCATTTTTTGTTTTTATGAGTGAAAAGTAGATCGATGGTAACTCTTCCAACTGTCACTGCAGTGCTATCACATGGAATCCACTTTATAAAAATGTTGTCAGTTTTCTTGCCTAGTTCAAACCAAAGATAGGATCGCCAATGTCAACATATATTTTCAGAAAATCTTCGAGCCCAAAGCATTATTTCTTAAGACCTGGTCGGTTTTTAAAAAGCGCTTTTGCATTTCCTTGCTTTGGGTACACAAGGCAACTTTTTCAAGTTTTCTTTAAACGCTTTCATTAAGAGTGACCAAAAAGAAAGACGGTCTTGGATCTTCGTCAAGATTACCAATAGTGAAAAAAAAACGTATCAGTATAAAGTCATTAATGCATCAGGGAAAAACTGTAAGTCTTTTTCAGTGTATTTAGCGGTGAAGTTCTGACTTTTTACTATTGAATTTATTCGGCAAAGTTGTAATTTATTATTAAGCAGTTGTCTCTTTCATCATCATTTATTGTGTCATAAATTGTTGGATGGTTAATTCAGCTCATTTAATTTCCCTTCATTTAATGCAAATATTGCTGTCCTTATTTCCAGCTGTGGACTGTTTACATGGAGCAGTATGCTGAAATGAATCCCCCAAGGAGTGAAGCTCACTCTGTATCAATGAGTATCCTGTTCGATTTTTGGTCCAAAATCACATCAACTGTTCTTCAGCTCGTCTCCTTTTCTAAAATGGTTAGTTTTCAATTATCTTTTTTCAGGCTTTTAACGGAGGGAAGGAAATTTCTTTCACCGACCATTAAGTTCTAAGAAAATTAAAATTTAACTTCAAGAAAGTGAACTGGAACTACAGTAAATTAAGAAGTTTCTCATCACCACATGACTATTTGTCTTAAGGTCTTGCTTTCCACTAGGCAGTGGTCTGTTGCAAAATCTAGGAAAGCTCTTAGGAAGTCAGAAAGAACAAATTCAGTGCATGTAGGGATGTATGTACTATGTTGTCAGAAGTATCATGTATCCAATGTTTGCAACTCTGACTGTATGCAATCACCTATGTTAAACAACCTCCCAATCTAGCACTTATTCAATTCACCCATTTTTTTACTTTTTTTCAGATGGCAGAGATGATAAATTTACACTTTTTGAGTCTTTTAGAGGCCCTTTTGGAAGTGCACTCATCGGTGCTCAGCAAACTTCTGCCAATTTGGACTCCTATTTTATTTGCGCACCACATCCAGGTAAATGCCCAAAATAGGTATTCTTGTCTGAAGGTCTTGCTCCCCATTAGGCAGTGGTCTGTTACAAAATCTGAGAAAGTTCTTAGAAAGTCAGAAAGAATAAATGCAGTGCATGGAGGAATGTATCTAAGTAGTGGGTAATGTCATCCTCAATGTTTTCTAAAAATATCCTTGTTTAAGTCGGATGCAGAACCCTGACATCTGGACAGATCTTAATATTTTTCTAACTTGATCAGTTTAACAGTACCTTTCTATAGAACGGAATCAAATATTTGAAGAAATTTCGCAATGGCTGTTTCGAGAGTGTTGTTTTTGCTAGATTGGATTCAAAATATTAATCACCATCAGCAAGATTTGCCTTGGTCAACATTTGATAGATTGATTTTTTTGTAGGTACGTCAGCCTTTGCGGTTGTAATCGGTTGATTTTTTTTTTAGGCATCCAAGAGGATTTTGTCGGTGTCAATGATTCCAATTTTTTCCTTCACTGACTTTTCTGTTAACTCGATTACCTATATTTTTAATCCAATTAATTTTTTTCTAATTATTTTCTTTCCAGTTACCTGGTCACCTTCAACTCCGTTTACAAAATTGTTGCAATTTTCCACCCACATCGCCCTCCGTTGCACCCAGTTCTCCTGATACCAGTGAAATTAACCCGGTATCACATAATTTAATTCTTGTGCGTTGGTTAAATCGACTTCAGTTCAAGATGGGTCAAATTGAGCTCCAGTCATCCACAGCAACTCAGTTTTACTCTGTCTGACCCTTCAAATTCTTATGTAAAGTGCATTTAGCAAAGCGTTCACTAATTTTGTTTTCAAATAGTGCTCTGTTTTAAGTGATTCATGTTTTTTAAGGACCCTTTGTAGCAAATTTTTAGTTACTTATTTCCTCTCACTTGGGGCATGGTACCTATTACAAGCGCTTCCATTGAGAGCCATTCACTACAAAACTAATATGAGATGTGGAAAGTGGATAATGGCCTTTTCGTTAAATAAAAGTTGAAATTTGCAATTCATCTTCAAAACTAGCTTTTATCCATTTTTATACTTTGAGTTGAGAAACATCGAATGATTATTAAATTCAATACGAAAGATAACCTGTAAGATTTCATGGCGTTTTTGATGACCACAATTTTTGTTTTTTTCTGCAGTTTTCACACTAATCAAGGAATGCTTCTTGAATCAAAAAGTTTTCTGTATCGACACAAACTGTTTTCAGAGGAGAATAATTTTGATTTCCAATGCATCTTTCTGCCCTCTACTTTATCAACCCATAGATTTTGGTTTTTTGCCTGCTGCAGAATGAAATCTCAGTGTTTGATTGTTGATTCCTAAAATATTCATGGTTGCGAATGTTTTTAGGTAATATCTGTCACAGTGAACCTAGCGAGCATTATCTTATATTGTGTTTGTCCTGTATTATAATGATTTATGGAGCTTACCTCGATAGTGAAGTGTATGCAGTGCCAAATAAGTAAAGGTTTTTTCCATCATAGTCTATTACATGGAATTACAACCTAGTGTTCCAAACGTTTTTCCATGCTCCCAACACAAATTGAATAGAATGGTCACTTTCTCTGTAGCATTAACACATCTCAAGAAAAATGTAAAAAGTGCGCCTTATATTAAAAGCTGACCCTTGAAAGGAAGTGACCATCATTTAAGTTAATTTAATATGAATAAACCATCATCTTTAAAAAATCAAAGATTTAAATGAAGTGTAATAATTGTAATTATCATTTCAGTCTTTTGAAAATGTTTTTGTTAAAATTTTTAATGTTACCGTTTTTCATTTTGTTTTTTCTTTGTGTCTCTCATAGTACAAGTTACTTACCAAACAGTTTTATTCATAACATTTTATAGATTTTATTATCTTGTCAGTCAACCAGACTCTGTAGAAAAATGTAAGTTTTTCCAAATAGAATTCACTAAGTAAAAGTACAATGTATTGTTGATTTTCTAAAAATTATTGGGCATGTGCAAAGAGGAGACCTTCTTCGGCTCAGAAAGCCTCATAGACCCTCTGACCTAATTGCAATCGCTTCTACACCTTAATTACGCAGTGGTAATATTGATCATCTCAAAATTTTTCTCCCCGAGTGCGCTGGAATCTGTAAAATAACAAGAGAGGTTCGATTTTCCAGTCTAAAATGCCCCATGAGTTCAATGGTTTTCACAATTGCTCATGCTCATGCTAAGTCTCGCCAAGGCAATATTGTAATTTGGCACGGCAACCCTTCATAGCTTCCATTCACACCTAGAAGTCTATATTGAGCTTGGAAATTTAAATCATTGCCAGTTTAAAGCACGTTTCTTTTTTATCTTCCTTGCAATGTAAGGGTAATGGAGCCGAAACACTGTGGGATTATGATAGAAAGTCTACGCTAAATAGTCAAGTTTTAGCAAATTTAAAAAACCAAATTTATTTTGAATAGAAATATTTGACAAGTCTGGTTCCCAGACCGATACAGATTTTATCTTTTTTACATACATATAACTTGTAATATATGCTCTATTAAGATTAAGGTATCATTAGAGATTTTTCTATACATGTTTTGACATCAGTAATGACATAATATTAATAATTAAAAAAAATCTGCACTTACAGGGAATTTTTTCCAAATTGATACAAATTGACCTTGACCTTCTCATGTGATGAGGTTAAGAGTAACATCGAGAAGAAAGATGAATGAGTTTCTTAAATTGATTTGCGCCAAATACTCAGCCACAATGATGTCTCCTGATCGCCACTAAAATTGAAAAGGCCCAAAGTTTTTGTGGGTTTCAGATGGCTTTGACTGTCAAGATGGCTGTATTTTTGCAGCTTAGCCTCTCTGACTTAAAACTTATGTTTTTAATTTTATGTACAGCTGGGAACTTCAGCAAAATTTCGATTGATTAGAAGATGAGTAGTGAGCACTTGCAGTTCAACCCTATATATTTAGATTAGAAACTAAAAGAGGTGAGTCTTCAATCATCAAAATTAGATTGCCTCATTCCCATGTAGCTAGAGCCGAATGTTCCTAATTTATTTTAAAGAGAAAAAAACAACACACACAAATTTTTACAAAGAGTACGCAAAAATCATTACGCATATTCTAAAATTTTAAAAGTAAAACAAAATGTTTATTAACATATTTTTTAGAGTCACTCTCCAACTTATGGCTTCACAGCCTCATTGCACTTCGCTTTTCAATTTGTTATGATGTATGTCTGAACTGCCAACCATGATGGCTACTAAACCTTCTGGACACTGATCCCCCCAATTATGAAATCAAATTGTGCAGCAAGCAACAATTGGCTGAAAGTAGGTCAGAGCTGACTGCACTGTGAGATCAGCGGGAAGGGAAGGTTTAAGGAGACGGGCCAAACTCTTCTTCGCCAGGCCCGCGACCGCGGCCTCTCCCTCTCCCCCTCCCGCGACCCCGTCACCTTCTCCCATCGGGCATTCCAATGTTGCTAGTTGTCTTTTCGAGGTAAGCCAAGGGTCCTTGGAGGAGTCCTCCAGGTCCTTGGCCCGGAAATGGAGGGCCTCTTGGCTGCTGCATGAACATACCCTGCTGGGGAGGCCCGATGGGACCACCAACACCTGGTCCAGACATCTGCAATTAAAAAGAATCAATTTTAACAATGGTAACATCAGACTAAAAAACACCAATGCAATGGGATGGCGTTTTGCAAAAATAACTTATCAACAAGAGATATTTTAGTAGACGGATGACTAACACACTCAAGAGAAACAATAATAAGCATACATTAGTGATGGAAAAAAAAATCGTAGACAATCACAATACCTATAAATGATTTAAAAGGAATGCGAATGCCCCCTTTCTCTACCTGGCGGTCACAACAAAAATGAAGCAATCCTGGAACATAGGTCAATTTTCAAAAGCACTAACGCTTCTCTTTTTCTTTTGGTTCATCAACTGAAAATAAGGAGCCAAGCTCAAATTCTGCTGAGAGATAACACTTTGGTATGAAAAAATTTAGTATCCTACCCGGAAGCAGATTGGTAATTTGACCAAGAGGCAAAAACGCTAATCACAAGAAATAAAAAGTCCTCTGGAACTATTTGAATCTCTGTGTTAAAATTTTTAGTTGCCATTATTGGCGAGAGCATTCCATTTACATTTTTTTTCATTTGCTCAGGCTTAAAGTTGAATATTACAAAAGCTAAAGCTTTTAAGTATTTCTTTATTCCAAAATATTTTCTCACAAAATGATGGATGGAAAGTCTCATAATTTGACATTTCCCTTTTAAAAAAATCGCATGGATTTGCAATTTCCTCATAAAGCACAGCAATAGGCGACCAGACAAGGTCTGAACTAGAAGTAAATGCCATGTTTCCTCGTCAAAATCTTACGTAGAAAACAATCCACACAATGAGAAGTTTGGAAACAAACTCCTGAATGAGACATTAACAAGTATTTGTAACACAGATCAAATGGAGTTAGATCATACAAATGACGTCATCTGTATTTTTGCCATTTAACAAATGTTGATTGAAAGCACCTATCTTGTTTAGCAGTTGATTTCTAGACTTCCAGTTGTGCCATTCGTTTTCTCCGTGAAATTTGGAAGAAAAAAAAAGTTCCATAGTGCTTCAGTCCATACCTTGTTCAGTGGCCTACTTACAAATAGCGCATAGCTGCGGGCTACTCATTAAACTTTTCATTTTTAAACTGGCTTTTCTCAAAGCCCTGCATGGAGAACTTGCACTGACCTGAGCTTGCATCTGCTGCTGCATTTGCTGCTGCTGTTGCATTTGTTGTTGCTGCTGCATTTGCTGTTGTTGTTGAAGCTGTTGTTGCATCATTGCAGGAGATGGACCAGGCTGAGGAGGCGCACTGTTTGGTGCTCCTGGTGCACTGGGCCCAGGGCCTTGAGGATTGGCTACTTGGCCTGGATTTGGGGGTGTGCCTTGGCCTTGAGCACCTGTTTTCTCCCAGCCTTGCAGATCTGCCAGCAAATTTTGCCAAACTGCTATTTTATCGTACAGGCGCTTAATTAATTCATCTTTCCGGCTCAATTCATGTCGCATATCCAGTGTGTCCTGAAGAAATGGGTGGGTTAACATCATTTGGTACATCAAAAACTTCATCATGATTCGATGGACTCAGACAGCAACTTTTTACGTCTAAACTTTGATTCCTCATTTGGCTACGGCACTACAATGTTGCCAGAGCAAGCTAGGGCATGTTAGACGTTCATTGAAATTATCGTTTGAAATTGAAAAAAATGCTGAATTTGTCAGCTTTTGACTACAGTATAGGGAATTTTTTTAAAAAACAGGAAGAGACTTACTTAATATGAAAAAGAAAAAAAACGAAAATTTACAATATTTAAGAATTTATTCCTCTTCCTTTGCTTTTTGTTTGTCAAGACGCGTTTTGGGCCTTGATGGATTCTATCTTTGATTTCCGACTAAAAGAAAAGAGGAGTGAAGTGGGTTTTTAAATATTTTGAACTTTCGTTTTATTCATTTTAACGTTGGCGTTCATTGAAAATCAGCTTCCAAACACCAATATCTTTTGTCCCAGGACAGTCATATATTAAATGGTACACTGTGTGCTAATGAGATATTCATATTTTTTTGGCTTGGATAAGGAAATTTGGTCTTCAAAAAATAAAATGTTTTTTTATAGGATACTAAGAGCTGAGGTGGCAAGACCAACCACGCCAAGTTTTGATTGTGTGCGTGGAAGACAGAAAAAGAGCCTTAGGTCTATGTCTCATAAAGATAACTAAGTTTTCATTTTAAACATTATCAAACTTTACTTACTTATGTTACAAAGTACAGGCTGACTGAGCTGACAGTAAAGTACTTTAGGAAAGAGTATTTGGATTCGGAACAAAAAAAAAAAAAAAAAAAAAAACATCAGAAAAAGGAAGAGGCAAGTAGGATGAAGAACATACCTCTTTTACTACCAATTCAGGTTTTAAGGCTGACAAAAGAAATCGTTTCTGTAGGAAGAAAGCCTCCATCTGATGAGCAATTTCAATGAATCTTGGAATGGTTAAATCAACTTCTGCAAGGCTGTCATCTTTTTCAACAGCAAAAAAATCAGGACCAGAGTCATCTTTGGTTAGGGAGTTGATGCACAACTGAAAAAGTAATGTAGAATGTAATAATGTCATTAGCAATAGTAATGCAATTGGTCAACCGACAAGGATAGAAAAACAGAGCTGAAAATGACACAGCGCTTGTCATGGTTTGAGGGTAACCCGGCAAAGAGAATAAAACTCTGAACTTTAAAGAAAAGCAGGAACAATCAAAAGGTTTTCGATTATTTTGTACCTAAAATCCCCATATCATTATTGTGTTTATAATTTTACATCTCCCAGACAACTAGGACTGATTTTTCAATGAGAAATATTGCTCTTTGAGAAGTCGGATTTTTCACGTCATCCACCGTAGTAATGACACGCTAGGTTTCTTCCACCTTGCTTTCATCCAAGTTTCATGTTGAACAACCAGCTCAAATGTGCATCACACCAACTGACGAAGGCAAGGTAGAAGAAACCGAGGGTGTCACTACCGCGGTGGATGATGTACAAAAACTTGACTTTTCAAGGGGCAATATCTCGGGTAATATTGAACATAGAAAGTTGCTTTTAACATGGATCTTATTATTTTCAGCTGATCTACAAGCATCAAGCATTGAAACTCGATACTGTGACCAGCGCAACTGACCCATTTGGTATCCTAGAGGATGCAGCGTTTTACGTCTTGAAGATCCTTAACAACCTTACCTGATTAAAATCCAACCCACCCTAGGAGAATCCGTTGATATAATTATTTAGTAAGGATTGCCAACACTTTCTACATTCATTGGACGCTTTCAAAAGTATATTGAGCGATGTAAAAAACATACTACAGCAAATTACTCACCAAAAATGCCTCCTCAAACTCGTCCATCATGTTGCCATTTCCATCAGTCGGAGTTGCCATTGTAAAGCTTTAGGGCCTCCTTAAACACTTTCTTCAGGATGAATTACTCTCTTACTATGTTATTTCAAGCACCTTCACTGGACCACATTTTAAAATTCGGCGAGGACATACTTAGTTATAGATTCCGGTCTCTGACTAGCGGCATTTACAACGAAATCAGAGTCGAAATGAAGGGAAAAGAGATAACCTCACATTCTTTTAGATGTAAACAAAAAAAAAACCGGCGCTCCGCTTCGCTCCGCGCCGGTTTTTTGGGGGGGCTTCGCCCCCCCAAGCCCCCCCAGGACGCGCGCTTCGCGCGCGCTTTTTAGTTTGAGTGTCCATTCCAGTTGTTCTGTCTTCTTAAGCGACCCGCGCGTCCACCGCGGGAAGAGTGTATTTTCCGAAGGGGGGGGAGGGATCAATCTGTAAGGGAATGAATTAATTTCTTGAGGCATAAGAGCAGCACAGTACGTTGCCAGCGAACGCGCTGCGAAAGGTTGTGACGGTTAAATGGTGAGATTTTGTTCAAGAACAGATCATTTAACCTGACCCACTGTGCGACGAACAATTTGTCCAGAATCTTCCTTCCCCTGACCCACTGTGCGACGAAAAGTTTGTCCAAAAACTTCTCTCCCCTGACCCACTGTGCGACGATCAGCTTGTCCAAAAACTTTCTCCCCCGACCCACTGTGCGGCCCTGCTCCGGCCGGCTCCCCTCATGCCGCGCACCCCTCGCCTAAAACTTTCAAAGCTCGCCATTTTTAAACGGCTCGGCCGATTTAGCTCAAATTCAATACCAAACCAGTCCTAGGGGAGAACTACCACCCGTAAAAATTTCAGCTCAAAATATTCATTTTCGCTCGAGTTATCGAGTGGACAAGATTTGACCTCCCCCCACTTTTGAGCCCCACCCCTCAAAATCTTTTGCCTCAAATTTCAATTTTTTTTCGCAGAATAGTAGTCCTAATGAGTCTCTACAAAATGCAAAAAAATGGGTCAAAATATCTTTCAACGTAAGAAAGATATAACCACTCAAAAATCGAAAAATCTTCAAAAGGCGGAAATACATACATACATACATACATACATACATATATACATACATATATATATACACATGAATTTGAATAGCATATATTTTCGTGATCTACGACCCGTGATCGGTGTTCTTCACAATGTCGCAGGTCTGGGTCCGACATCATGGGAGAATGCAATAGTGTATTTCCTTCGGAAAATACACTAAAACTTATTGAGCGAGCGTCGAGCCAATCAGAGAGAAGGTAAAAAACTCTCCTTTTTCTAATTGGTTTAAAAAAACGCGGTTAAATCAAATCAAGTCTGCTGATTGGGTGATGATGGTGGTGTCGGAAGAGCATTGTTTGGGGTTTGAGGTTAATTGGATTTTGTTAATATTGATACTAATACTGTACTGTCATTGTGTCTTACAACTAGTATTTCTAGTTTTCGCAGTTTAATTTGCTATTATAGTTTGCTTTGAATCTATTAAGGAGTCAGATTCAACGCACGATGAAACCCACAGTTGTCGCTGATGAAATGTTCCCAGAAGGAGCAGGACCTTACATGGATATCGAGGAGGTAAGAAGAACGCTCATTAGTTTCCTCATCGTCTATTATTTCTGGAACAAAACGGCTAAACCAACATTATATCCTTTTAAGAACATTCTCCGAGGCTCTAATAGAACCTTGCGAATTAGTATTGATATCACAAGCCTAGTTAGAATGTATGTAGTGAAACAACTAGTAAGTTAATACAAACACCTTGATGAAATGAACGCCCAAAATCTGAAATGTACATCAGTCTATTTCCCCATTAATCAAGATCTTCTAATTTGTTTCAGGCGGAGGAATCCTCAGGCATTCTGCTTGATCTGGCCGCCAATGACAAGGCTGTGCACGGTGACTTTTTCAATGGTAATAATCTGATGCCCTCTCATCCGGCCATAGACGTAACTTAATTTTTAAGTACCCAATCAGTCCCGAGATTCGCAAGTTGTACAAGATGTGCTTAGTTAGAAGGAGTATTTCCTAACACAAGGTTTTATGTCAGAGTCATTAGAGATTCCAGTCTTTGCCCAATTTTTAGAGGTGTAGGGAATGCACAATACACAGACTGTATCATCAAAGTGTGGCTTTCTGAACTAGTTTTTTAAATTTTAGTAGATTCCATAGTGTGAAGTCCCCTAAATTTCAGCCAAACAGGCCATACAGAGGTCATTTGGCCCCATTTGGTAACACAATACTAAACCTTGCAGAGCCTCTCCGAGCTCCATTGAACCTTTTCGCTGCATTAGGAAGAAAGACTCCTTACTTAGTCCTCTTTTCAGCCAGGACAGCCCTCCAAAAATTTTGGAAGCAGTCTGTCCCTGGCGGGGTACTTAAAATTTGGTTTTGAATGATATAGTAAAAACATCAGATTTTATAAGGTTACTGAAAGTAAAAAAAAAAATATTTTACAATAAACAGTTTTCATTGAGGATGCAATATTTTGTTCCAGATTTCGAGGACTTATATGATGATGAAGATCTCGAGTGACAAGACCTCTGCTCTCCTTCTATCATACTGTTCCTTAAACTCAGCATACCATGCATCAAATTCCTCATCTAGAATTTAAGTTTGTTTTGATTTCTTAATTTTTAATTTCCCTGATAATGTTATTATGTAAATATATTTTTTACTTTTACCAAAAGAAGCACTTCATTTGTTTTCGAAAGATTATTTACCCCTCAATGAAACAGATATTATGACTTACAGAATGGATAAAAAAGGAAAACATTCAGAACAGAACGTCTGTAGTAAAATTTGAAATCTATCTTCTGAATTTGCAGGTAAAGAGCACATCGACGGTGTAAGTCGGCAATCACATAACTCGGTTTGCGACGTCGCAGACTTCCTGTCATACTTTATTTCTTAAACGGAAAACTAATCAAAGGAAATTTTCTAAAACTTCCGTGATTTTTCTTCTCTGTACAAAGAAAATTCTGCATAAACTTCAAGGAATGATGTCAATTTGTTCTCTTATAAAAAAATAATATAGAGGCGGAGATTTTCAGACACCGCAAACGAGTTAAGTGATTGCCGACTTACACTGTCAACACCTTGGTGTCTTACACTTAGCAAACAATAGGATAGGCTACCATCTGAACAGTGGCGTAGGAAGGGGGGGGCCAGGGAATGGTAAATTCCCTACCCAGAGGCGTAGGAAGGGGAGCCAGGGGGGCCTGGCCCCCCCAAAATTGGAAATAGTATCATCTGGCCCCCCCCAGAAATTCTGGATGGTGCAAAAACACCATCTTTAACGGTAAGTCTCTGTCGCCGTGGCCCGTGAGAGGATGCCTATCTTCCGAATTGAAGGAGAAAGCTATGTAAAATGTTTCCCAAAGTTTCCCGCAGAGCGCAACACAATTACCTCTAATTAACGAGGAAAAATCAGAGTGTAAAATAAAATTATGAATCAATGAAATTTATCACTCTTAATGCACATAGTTTTTACTTAAAATCTCGCGCTCGAACGGTTAGTTTTTTCTTCTCTGTTCATTATTCAGTTGAATTGCTCTAAAAGATCTGGATGCAATCGATTTTTTTCTAATTCATAATTCATATCTTTATTTTTTGGTACATGACAAATGCTCATTCGTTCATAGTTACGTCTTGCTCATTATATTATATTTTACTTTGCATGGGCTTTTCCTAATACAGAACAATAATTCTGGCATTCACTAAACATTTACTTCGCAATTTTCACACAAATGAGTGGTTAAAAGTGAGAAAATAAATGGAATAACCTGTTGAATGCAACAATTTCAAAGTATTTTAACCTTAAAATGCATAAAACTGGGTGAATTTTATGCAGAAATTGAAGGAAGATTAACGCCACAAGTGCCTCGAGATGCGCTCAAATAGAGTTAAAATTTCAAAAATTTTCCGGGGGAGGCCCCCCGGACCCCCCGCTGACCTGGGGGGTATTCCATACCCCCCAGACCCCCCGGTGGTGGGGGGCCAGGCCCCCCCAGCAAAATGGCCTAGCTACGCCTATGCATCTGAAGCCTTATTTGTATTAACAGCAGATGTCGTGTTTTTGAGTTTTGAGAGAATCGCGCTGAAAGTTTTCAAAGCTGTTCATTTCGATGTCTGTGCTGCAAATAGGGTCCGGTTAGAGAAATTATTATAAAACCAATCCTCTCCTAAAAAATGAGCTTTGGGAATTTGAATTAGAAGCAAATATCCATGAGATACAGTGATTTTAAAAAAAGAACATCTGCTATTTTAACAGAGAACATTTTTTAGGCATAAAACGAACTACCTAGCTAATGTGAGAGAGGTAGAGATGATATCGATCATATTATGATTACTGTTGGGTTTCTTTTTGATTTTTCAAAGATAACAAATATTCAGTAACTTCCATCAAAGAAGTAAGGAAGAAACTGTAAGTTAGGAATATAAATCTTTTAAAATAGAGAAAAATCAAAAAGGGTGCCATCCCTCAAAGACCTACATGCAACAGGTCCTAATAACTTTTTATTACCATTTGGGCTCATATACTCGATCCATAAGGAGATAAATAAGCTTCGTAGAATTATTTAGCTCAATATTTAATATTTCAACAAATTCTGACATTCGCTGCTTTTAGATATGACACCGTATTTTATTCACATCTTGATAAAAAATTATGCCAGAAGTCTGAAACTTGTAATTAGTGCCCACATTTTTTAAGGTTTGCGATTTCCAAAAAAGTGTTATCCCTAAAAATAACGGATGTCCAATATCCTCTGGTTTTTTTTTTACAGATATGGCTTCATATGAGTGAGCAGTAACACATTGCAGAATGTTTACAAAATGTTTTCAATCCCACTTCTTCATTGTTGACAGTCGCTATGAGACTGATTATTGGCTCAAATAATTCTATCCTCAATATTCATATAGACAGAGTTGATTCCAAATTATCTTGCCAACTTTACGAGAGGCAACAGATTCACCTTAGAAGCCACTTGCATACATTTGCATGGTTTCAAAGTGAACCTAGCGATTTCTTTTAAGTCTTTATGTACAAAAAAATCAGTGGAATGCTTTGTTTAAAATTCAAGGCGCTTTTACAACTTTCTGAACTTGAATTCTTCTTAAAACTGACTTATCTGTAAGGATTAAGCATTTTAAGTCCAAGTTCCAATACTAATTCGAACAGGTTGAAAGCCAACGCAGTTTCAGGGTGCATCATGAATGATCAACATGATGTAAAAAGCAGTCTCAGATCTCACATAATGATCATAGTCTAGTTTCCAATGACAGGGATACAAAGATGCACAGGTGATTCATGATGTTGGAAAGGTTTAACTGCATCAGCTGGAATTAAATGAAAAAGCTCGGTTTAAAAAATAGATACAGGCGTTCTTTATTTGAGACAATCTTGTCTAAAATGTACACGACAGACTTCTGAATGCAAAATTCAGAAATTCAAAAGCAAGGACTTATTTCAACTCAACTTAGGGCTGTAAAACTAGAATAGAGATGAGCTGAGGAACTGCCCTTGTTTGTGGTTAGAGCAATACGCCAGACAAGTAAGGCAGGGATAAAAATGAGGGCTGCCCAAATGCAATTTTTCTTGCTGCAAGACATGACCCTTTTAGGGTATGAAAAGCAAAAAACAACAAGCTACGCAGCTACATCTTTTGGAAGTAGATAGCTCAGAAGAATGACAAACTATCGTCCCTTTCATAGGGGGTAGCAATTTTGGTTTGTTGACCCATAGGCATCACTTTGATAAAACTACCTCTGATAAGTGACTCCGGGGCCAGGAATCTTACATTGTTCTACTAAGGCAGTATTGTAGGGCTGCAGAAAATCTGACTTGACGTAAGGTTCCTAAGTACTTGTCCAATTTGAAAGAGATTGGCCAAAGCTTATGTTCTGATTTGCAAGAATAATAGTCTTAGTTATTATACACGCAGTCATTAAAAAAGGAAAAAATAAAAACAAATTCATTTTGATTGGAAGGAAAAATTATGAGAGGTCGTTGCAAGTAATAAAGTTCTTTATCAAGAGCTGCCGATCACCTTCAACGAGGTGACCTGACAAAACACCCTGAGCAAGCAACTATTTTCTTCATAAAGTGCTGGATACACTCTAAGCTCTTGTTAGTTTTTCGATCTGTCAGTCTTGAGGTGCGTCTAAAATACCTGTATTTGTATTTCAGCCAGGGGCACACTTTAAGGAAAGCTCTTCAAAGCTTGGATTCAAATGAGCAAATTTACAATGAAACTGAAATTTCCATTTTTTGTGCAACAATAAAAAATGGGTGACTCAAGAAAGAAGAAAAACATTCTCAAAAAGCCTACATATTGACTTGAGAGACAGGGATGGCAGTTATCATTAGATCAGCTGCAAAAACGTTTGAATCTTTTGAAAAACTTCCATTACACAAACTTCACAAGACATTTTTCTCAGATTTGAATACCACTGACTACTGAGAAACTTTACAATCTTACATTCCATAAGTCAAGAGTCTATTAAAATTACTTGATTTGTCATTGAATTTGTCTTAAGCAGTTATTTACTTAATCAATTTTGGCGGATATTCACAATTAACATTTGATGACTACATATGTATTCCTTAAGAAAAATTATTTTAACTTCTAAGATCCACCAGGGTGAAAAGAGCTCTTAGATGAGAAATATTTGTATTATCAAAACGCAACCTAGGACTGAGTAACTGTCTCCTAATTAGGATTCTCAGCTCAGCTCTGAAGCTCATAAAACTGGTGAAAGAAAACTTATTATTTACACAAAAAAGAGAAACTAACTCCCAGATAAAGGAAATTTTAATTCCTTCCTTAGAAATAAACTAACAAATCTGCAGGGGTAACCAATTTAACTCAAATAACTTAGTTTAACCCGCAGATCCAATGCACGGAGGTGTGGGGATATGATGAGACCGTTTTGCTGAACAGTTGTCGTAAAAATTGCCAGTTCACAGTACTTTAGGTACTTTGTACAACCGAGAGAAAACAAGAGTGGATTTTGATCATGCTTCTCCTTTAGGATGATGCAAATAATTGTCAATATCTTTATTAAAATCCTAATCTCTCCTGTAATTACAAAAATTTTAGTTAGATAACAACTTCCTTGGATCAGTTTTTGTGAAAACAAAAAGAATTCTGATCGTTAATTCAAATTTCTCCGTTTTTCAGAAATTTCCCTGAGTTGGTCCTGAATAACAAATCTTTCTGATATTACAAGTTTTTAGGAGGATATCCTCTTGTTTACCACCCTTAGGAAATCTATCAGTTTGAACCTAAGCACAATTAAGGTTTAGGATTTTGTTCCTTTGTATATATTTGCTTTACTACATAAGTGTACATAAGGTGTTTGAAATCATGCATCAGAAAATTCAAATCACTAATCATTAGCAGCTTTGTTAAACCAGTCCCTTAAACAAAAGTTAGAGAAAAAAATCATTTGAAGAAATAACTTTCTCTAGTGATACGTAAAAATCCAAATAAAATTTCACATCTTCGAATAATTAGAAACCTAAACCTACCTTAATGCAGTCCATAGTTTAAGGGACTGATTTTTACTGTTTCCCTGGGAACATATGGGAATTTTCTTTCCTTCTTTTCAGATTTAAGTGAAAAATGCACAAATTTAATAACAACTTCGATTATTAGACACAAAATCCATTCTTGCATTGAGGCTAAGTTACACACTGATGCGCGTTTATTACTTGGCATCTTAGAAAACACCAATAACAGCCAAAATACTTTTACCAATAATGTCTCTGAGAACTGGCGATTTTCAACGGCAACAAGATGGTAGCTCACAACCGGGAACACTTAGTTAACGTCAAGGTCACTCGAAAGATCTTCAAAATGCACGTCTGACTCATCGTCAGAAAATTCCTGAAGTGAGGGTGAAATGGGCATTGAGGTATCGCCCTCATCATTACTCCGCATTGAGTTAAGCAGAGCTTGTTCCTCTGCACTTGAGCTTGCGTTGCAGATCTCAGCCAGAACAGGGTCTGTATCACCGGTCGCCATTTCTGAAAATGACAAAAAAGGGCCTTTAAGATAATCAAAACTTTCCATTTCTTCTTAAAATAACTTTATGATGTAGGACTGCAAAAACTCAATTTTAAAGATTTTGAAAAATTCAAAAAAAAAGGCGACCCAAACGTCAAAAAGGGATTGAGAGCAGCAAGGAAGATTTAATGCTAAACTTGAATTTACAGGCAAACAGAAGATTTAGATAGTGAGCAACTATAGTTTTTTTCGTTTTCGCTATTCCTAGTTATTATATTTCAAGATGTTTTAAAAGAGTTACTTTTTGGAGGTTCTTGGCCCCAAAAAATGCCGAATGACACCCCCCCCTCCTGTGCATGAGGTATATCATTTTTTTTCACCTAGAGTCCCGATTGCCTGACTCATCACACGTGAAGAAACTTGAGATTAACATGAGGTATAAAAATTAACGTATGGACTTACGAAGAACGTATTTCTCGAGGGATTTAGGGACCATGGATTTTGCTTTCTGAAGGTCATCAATGGAACATTCACCTTTGTCCAAGCCTGGGGAAAAAACAAAAAAAGTAAAGATGGTTAGTTTTAATACAAAAGGTGAAAAAGAAATAAAAAAGAAGCTAGGAATTCATATAAACAATTTGAAATCTAACAGTGCAATTATTAACTTACCCAGTGGTGATTCACAGTTTTTTTTTAACGGTAAATATATGTGATGCGCTCACCGTCTACCTGTTACTACAAAATTATTCCTGTCCGGTCAGAGAAACTTGCAACAAAACAGCAAAAATCGAATGCTTCAAACCTTGGTTTTTGCCGATTGCTGTGACGCTAGTGCTACCAAACGATTACATACATAACAAGTTCGCTACATGCAGGTTCTTGGAGGATCTGTAGATAGCTAATCTATTGCACAGCAGCACAATGAAAACACTCAAATCAAAATGCCAGTTACTGACTATTTTGGCTTGGCACGACCAACGGAAAAATTGTCACCATAATCAACAGTGAACTTGTTAAAAAGCATAAAAGGGGGTATTTAATGTTCATGAAGTTCCAAAATTATTCTTTCAACTGTATTTCTTCTTTCTGTACAGGTCATAGGTAGGGCCATCAGAATTAATGGTCATGCAAACCAAAAGGAAAATAAGGAAAAAAATAAAAGCTATCTTACCCATAACTAGTCCCATTCGTTTTAATACTTCAATGTCATCATGGATTTCAAATTTGTCATCAAAGACAAACAGGTACTCGGTTCTGGAGAGGAGAAATTAAAAATAAGTTAGAAGAAAAATTAAGTGAAACTCACTCAGACACAAAAGCAAATCTTACCATTTTCTTAAACACTGCTTAAAGAAGCTGAGAATGAGGCAGAAGGGAATTGCCTCATATTGAGCAATGAACACATTTGTCAATCCATACGTAACTAGTGAGCCTAATTAATTGTATACAAAAATAAAAAAGGAGAAATAACTTGATGTTTTATTGATTGAAACACTTTCAGGGAATTAGAAGCTGTTGGAATTACACCTGCGTTTGAAATATAGTACCTACTCGACTAAAAAACTTTAGGTAGATGCTTAGAAACCCTTACCAGCGGCAAATTTTCAAAATATTTTTTTTTGTAAGAAAAGAAGAAGGAACACTAGAAAACTCACTTATCGTTCGAAATACTGCAATCAATGACTGTTTTCTTGCTTGTGTTGATTATGATGAAGGGAAGCTGAATTGCTGAGTTTGGCGCAGGAACACCATATAACCGCTCGGCCTCACTGTTCCGCTCCACCAGTTTCTTAAAGGATATTTGCTGGAAAAGAAGAATAATAAAACATTTTATCATTAAAAAGTCATCATTGCAAAATTATTCAAAAAGTTAACATTACGAAGCTGCTGTAATGTTACGCATTCTTATGCACTGTTAACGAAAAAATTTTCGAGTGAGGCCCTGTGCTGATTAATTTCTAAAGAATGGACATTTTCCAAGAGTGGCAGCAATTAATTTCTAAACCGGATTACGTGAAATCTGTTAAAACAAAGAGACAATTTATTCCTGCTTTAATCTTGCTGATATTATTGTTTCCTCTGGTGCCTAATTTATGATCATTTCAAGATCTTTTTTTTTATTTTTAAAATTCTGGTAACTATGTTTAAATTTCTCTTGACTTGGCTCAATGAGGCTTTGCACACGCAGTATGCAGTTGTCAGTTCCTTAGAATAGATAACTCTTGCATTTAAGCACATCTATTGAAAGTTTTTGGAATTTCCCTTCAGAATTGCTGTTATTGAACTTGTTTGTTGGTGCAATTTTGGCGAATGTTTATTAAATGAATAGAATTTGTTAGAAGAATGAGGGCATAACTTCAAGCCTACCTGTAAAATGAGATCTTTGAGCTGCTGAATCTTATGCTTGATGCGGTCGCATCGCTCCTGTTTCTCTTGCACAAGGTTGATGCATTCTTGGATAGAATTGGTTGGAAGTCCCAGCCACCTTATCTCTTTCTTTTCTTTAGAGATGATATTCATTGCCATTAAGACATTAAGTGCATCATATACTCTACGCCGGATGTTCTTTTGGTCATACTGCTGCAACAAAAAGATTCTTGTGACATCAGAGATGAATAAATAAAGAAGCTTGCCAGTTTATATAATCAAACAGAAAATATTGGCAAATACTAGTTTCAACCAAACTACCTTAAACTGTTCTTGAGCTTATGTTCCAAGTTTTCTCACAATGTGCGCTGATTACATGCAAAGAAAAATGTCAAAAATCAAACTTTAAATTTTGCGCTATTACCACTGAAACACAGACTTTTCATTTCACGGAGTTGCTTGGTTTTCCGGATTTTTCAGCGATTCCTGACAAATCTGGTAAATTGGTGAAACTAACATACACTGAGAAATTGTTACACTTTTCAGGGATAAAAGCCCACCAACTGTTGGGAAATAAGATATTGAGATGATCAGACAAGGCTACACAAAAGAAGTTAATGAAAAATCAGGATGCTGGTTCAAGTTAGCATTAAAAATTGAGTGTTTCAGGCAAAATTGCCATACTTACTTAAAGAGTGAATTATTAAGAGAGAGAAAATAAGTCATGACTTCAAAAGTTTTGAAAAGCAGACAGTTTTTGAAATGGATCGCTAAGAACTTTCTGCATACCTACTAGCCTGTCAATTAATATGCTAAATCATTTTATCCTTCTTTACAGTACGTCTGCTACTGTGACCTGGTTCTCTTCTAAAAACTTGCTTTTTCTTAGTGAGGCTGAGAATGGGTCAGTTGCGCCGGCCACCTTATCGTTTTTTGATGCTCGATTCTTGTAGATCAACTAAAAATAACAAGATCTGTCCAAACAGCAACTTTCTATGTTCAATGTTAACTGAGATAGAATGCTTTGCAAAATTCGGTTTATGACGCGATAGTGACAACCTTGATTTCTTCCACCCTGCTTTCATCCGAGTTTCATGTTGAGTAATCATGTGTCTCCCTGAAAAACGATAGCGAGATGGAAGAAAGGAAGGTTGTCACTAGGGGAGGTGGATGATGTCATAAATCGAATTTTTCAAAGCATAATATCTCAGTTAATAGTGAATGCAAAAAGTTGCTGTTTGGACAGATCCTATTATTTTAAGTTAATTTACAAGGATCACGCATCAAAACATGATTCTAAGACCAGGGCAATTGACTCATTGCTAAGTACTTTTTTTTCAGTTCAGTTCTCCCTCATTTTCTGTTTATGATGAACATGTCTCCACATATTTTATTTTCCAACTGTTTGAAAGCATAACAAATAAGATGAATTTATCTGTACTCAGTAGAATCAGCTCTGTGGAAATGACTGCTTTACACTTCTGATGAAAAAGTTTGAGAGAAAGACAAAGCTGGATAGCATCAAAATACTGATCTATGGGATTACCTGTTCTGCACTTGCATTCATCAAAGCTGAAGTTGCAAACTCATTCACCAATTCATCCGCTACTTCGTTATACGAAGTTGTGCCTTTCTTCCTGACTTTCTCACATACTTTCATGGAGAAATGCCTTAGTCCCTTGCCACCTTTATCAGACCGTCTCCTTTTCCTGATGTGACAAAGAAATTTTTGTTAGTTTTGGATAAATTAATCACTTGCCTATCTTTCTAAGTTACGAATAGAGGGTTCATAATATAGAGCCAGTTGAAAATCTAAGGACCTCTACTTGATGAGGCAAATATTTTTTGCGATGGGCCTTTAGACAAAGTATGAACTGGAGCCTTCTCACCAGATCAAAAGAATCAAATGAAATAAAAAATTGTATATTGCATAAATTGTTTTGAGTATTTATAAGAGGAATCACCTCTCTGAAATTCAACTCAAAGCAAAAACTTTTTATGTTAATTTAATTAATATCAAATAGTTCCAAGCACCTAACGGCTTCTGTTCATTTTCTGGTTCATTTGCTTCAGGCATCAAAACCTCTAATTTAATGTGCTCAACGAGTGGACCTTTCAATTTTCTATTATTTAAGGTGGTATCAATCATTTTTCTGATTGTCTCGAAACTAACTACTAGTAACTACATGCCCAGAAATCCTGAAAGTAATAACTTTATAGACCAAGAAAATGGTTGCAACTTACGGTTCAGGATAGTAACGATTCTCAACTTCATTGCGTTTCCTAGATCCTGAGTGGTCTAAAATTGGAGAGATAAAGTTGTTCTTACTTGGGGAAACAACTGTCATACTAGGTTCCTGTGCAATCATTTGAGGCGATCCTTGCAGAATCTGAAAAAAGGATAAAAACAAACCTTGAGGAACCTCATAGGCAAAAGAAAATGAATCAATTGCGTCAGTCACAAACTTCTGTTCTGATGATTTTATCTCAGAAGAAAACAGCAAAGCCAAAGAAATTAGCTATGCTGACAACTTATGTCTCTTACACTCTCAAGTATAAGAAAGAGTATGGAGTGTAAAGTTGGGGCACTAATGTTACATTAACTTTATCAACCTTATAACTTGTCAATGGCAGGTTTTGTTCAGTGGAAAACAATTTAAACAGGGTTAAAATTCGACTTACAGTTGCTTGAACCTTGTTTGCATCTGATGGTTTCAAAACAGTTTTCTTCATGTACGGCTTTAGGACAGGTACAGTGACGAGTTTAGATCCTGAAATCAAAAGATAAATTTTTCTTGAAACCAACAAAACAGACTGAATTTTTGAAAATAGAAAACTTGAAAGTATGCTAATCATTTGGCAATGATACACTTCTATCAGACAGATATGTTCTTGATGTTTGCCTAAGACTACCTTTAATAATCATCCATAAAATCCTGTCACTGATGAGAGTTTCCACAGGAAATGGTATGAAATCTATACATGATCTTCTCTACAATTCTTTGAAGACAGGGCTTTATGAAAATGTTTCAAAATGTAACTGCATTATTGCTAAGTAAACCTTGTGAATGGTTGAAAATGAAGTGAGTGATTTTGCTTGAATCTAAGCATGTGCTTAGAGCCTCCAGTTCTTACCCTGTCTAGAGGCTCATTTTGAATAAAAAATTATGAGGGCAAGGGGATAAGTTCAAAGTTGAGACACATTAAAAATACAAAGCTGGGTCTGGACTGGAATTTCTACGTCATTCAAATGCAAAATTGCAAATTATTAATAGACTACATAGGGGAAGAAAACCTGTGACAAATTACAGCAGACCTCAGTTCCTAATCATCAGTTCAAATCATTGATTAGATGAAACTACTTGACTATAGGTATACGGTCTTGAACCACAGTACGGGATCTGCAAGCTTGTGGATAATCATGGCCACAGCGCAGCAGTTTCACGCTCGATACCTGATAAGACTTTTGAATTCTAATGTAAAAAAATGATTGGTAGGGCATGACGAAACGTTAATTTAATGGCCCCTTTCAGCAAAGTAGTTCAAGATTCGTAATAAATTTTAATGAAACCACTTGATGAGAACGGAGTGCAATAAGAGGGGCATACAGGCATAGGTTAGGGTGTAAAAGGAGGGTGCTATCAGCACACAAGGAAGGCCAGAAAGAGATCCAGAGAGTAAAATGAGAATTTTCGAGTTAAAAGGAATGACTTTGTGATGAAAAACAACTGTAATAAGACGTAATATCATAAAACTAAGGAACAGACACTACGTTAAAACGTGCATGAGTTGGAGTCGGTAACGTACCACTGGCGCCTGTAAAAACGAATTGAACTGTGCCGGCTTGCTGCGTCATTTTGTTGAGATTTATAAAAACTTCTTCTGTGGAGCTATTTTAGCAAGAATTTTGGTAAAAAAGATTAGCTTCTCATGGTACTTCTGCTGGGAGTTTCGGCGAGTCAAAATGGCGTAAAAGTGTTTACACTACGGTCCAGACGGTGGATAAACACGAACCGAAAGAACCGGAATATATATCATGGATTCGAAAAAAAACAAGTGTTCACTACAATGTCTACGATAAAAGACAGCTCCAGAAGCGATTATTCGAACTTAACTGAAACTTGAAGCTCAATGTAGACTAAAAAGGCTCGAAGAAAACAGATTCGTAACGAATTATCGTGATAGCGTCGCTCGGAGATGATCAGCGGAACTGATAATAATGCAACTGAAACGGAATTTCGGAACGGAACAAAAGTTTTGGTGGGAAAAGTTTCCAACCGGAAGCGGAAACCCACTCGAATTTGGGCGGGAGGGGTAAGTAAAAAACGTTATGAGAAATGGCACGGAGAGCGACGCAACGCGTTTTAATCTTTGATTTTAGGTCATTTATTGGCTTTTACTTTAAAAGGAGGTATCTAGAAATGCGCTAAATTTAAGCTCTAAATAATTCATTTATGATCGGCAATGAGCTGGGCTCTTGTCCACTTGATTAACAGCTTAACTTTTACCACTTAGGAAAAATTTCTTTCTGACAAGGCCATTGCGATAGCGATCCAGCCTGGGGTGCCCAATGATAGAAAAATATGAAAGATTCGACATTTCAGTGAAATATTTCATGAACTTCTTTACGGCTTGGAGATATTTCGTATTTTTCAGGGGCTACATCATGCAATCCGCACTCAAACTCTGATAATGCCCCAGAAAGCACGGTGGTAGATGAAAGGCAGGCTTCAATTTATTATGGTGATATGCTCTTTTGACGTTCATCTCTCTCTCTCTCTCACTCATTAGTTGGTCACGAAATTCTTGGGCTCATCTAGGGATACTTCTAATTTTGAGGTTGAGGTTTTTTGGGGTGTATAGATTTCATGGTTGAAATACTGATGCAAAACAGGTATCGAGGTCTTGCCTGGAGTGATATAATCAGCAAAAGTGTCATGGGAAATTTAGTATTTTGTATGAACAATTATGATCATGTCTTTGGTTGCACTCTCTGTTTTGTCAACTTTTTGAATTTTTTGCTGAATTTCTCAAAAGTACAATGTTATAAAAATGAATTTGTAAATAATAAAATAATCCACAATTTTGCACATTCATGTGCAAACATTCCGCTATAGATCCACTGTTCTTCATAAAGCATAAGCAGTCACTTCATAAATTATGAAAATGGCTCTCAAATTTTTCACAAGCTACATTTTTATGAGAAAACATTTCTGACCACACTCTCTGTATTAATAGCATATCAATAGTAAAAAATAACTACATCCAATTTGAGATTTTTATTAACTCAAAAATTAACAAAAAAAGAATACATAAAGAAATGAAAAAGGTACAAACAAATAATACATTTGTGTAAACTGTGACAATAAGTAGGTATAAAAGGAATATCACAATGATGAATGCCTTTCCAGTTTTTAACACTTTGGTGATGAGAGCGCTTGTTGCCAAAAATTATTGTGGAATATGCGCTGTTAGGCGCAGGCACCTGACAGACATCTCCAAATACTTGAAGTTCGAACTTCAAGTATTAGCAGGATCCTGCTCATTTTTTAACTGGATTCAGAAATCATGAGATAGGTTAAACTATAACTGGAAAACCTGTATTGGATACATTTCAAGGAGCTGTGCTTATTTCAGACATTGACAAAAAGATATATAATTCTACAATCGAATATTTGCTTAACTACAATATTTATATCAACTACCAGCGGCTGACGCCATTCCAGAATTAAAAACGTTGTCAGGCGCTGCCACCTGACACTATCACCAATGTGTTAAAAATCAACAAACAAATTCTGCAGTGCATGACTTTCTTTAAATTTGTTAGGTGTACGATCCTTAATGCCCATTGTATTTTTTGCTGCTATATTTGAAAGTGCTTCTGGTTTTTTATAATATACTGCCTGTTCTAAAGAAATCGAATTTTGCTCAGAAAACTTCACTCATCGAGGGAAATTGTTGAGGGTAGGGGAGGACTCAAGGGTAAATTTACAGAGTATTCATCTACTTAAAGACTATCACTTTTAAATATATATAATTTTTTTTTTTTAAAAAAAAAAAGTAAGGCCTGAAAGAAGCACATAAAATTAAGTTTCCCGATGGTAAACTTTGGAACTTGTGTGCAAGTAACAATTAAGGGCAAAGCGGTTAAAAAAAAATGGGGAAAAAAAGACTTCACATTGAGCAGTTTTATATTACATGAGGATTTATGATCTTCATTCAATTCTGTCCTACTTTTATCTCTAATTTTTGTGCTAGCAGTATATTATCAACAAGGTAATTAGTAAAAGTCATCCTCTGCAGATATGTATCTGTTGTTAACGGACATTCAATGCTAATGGTAACTTTTACGCAATTTTAAGTACATTGGTAGGCATTTTTTTTTAAAAAATAAACATGCTACATATGCTTATCTGCTACATAAAATATTAAAAATAATAGAAGTATCCATAAAAGACTAGCTAAAATGTGTGTTAGAGGAAAAGCAATTATGATGCTTTGTAATGGTAGTTGGTATATTTTGAAACAAGGAGTTTTGGTACAATTCAAAAGGCAAAATTGACTAGTTGTTCTGACCAAACTTCTATAATTCACAACAATTCCAAAGCTTGATAATTTGCCTGATATTGCAACCTAAAAGATATTGGAAAGCTGCTGGAACTTTCTCAGAGATATGCTTGCTTTTTAGAATCCTACTTTCAGCAAGAGCGCTATAAAAAACTTTGGGTAAAATAAAATGCAGTAAAACTTCAGGTAAAAAAGCAACCCTACTATAGTGCATCTTTCTGGAGGGATTGACATCTTCTGAGTACAACAAAGATGTTTAAGGTGGATTGGAGGGAAATACTTTAATTAAAATATTATCAACCCTTGGGCTACCCCTAACAAGGCCTACTTCTAGGGTTTCTTTAAACCTCATGGGCTCTTTTGTTAGCAGAATTATACATGCGACGTCATAGGAATATGGACCCTTACAACGACAATATTGCCGTCACAAATATACATATATAAGATAGTAAAAATGACGACTTTTTTATTACCTTCGGTAAAGGTATCTCAGGTATATGTGCCCTTCCTTTTAGGTAGGTGCTAATACTTTTACAATCAATTCACAATTTAAAATTTTCTAGAGGACCTGAAAAAAAGGCATGGCATTGAAGAGACTTTGAAATAGACATCCGATGGAGAAACCGAACTTAAAATTGTGCTCTTTTGGTAGAAGGTGACTCTCTTAGTCAACCAGTTAGACTTTCCAGGCTATTGATAAAAAAAAATAATACAAAAAAAAAAAACAAGTCAATTATTGTTTTTCAGTTCTTAAACAGAAATATTTTCAGACTGCATGAAAGTGTTCCTAATGTAGACCTTTTCTTGTGGCCCATTCCAGGAACAGGTCAGCTTGTGCTTAATCTAAAAAATTGTACATCATGCAGATTCCTACACAAGAATATTCTGCTTCCATTGAATGCATGTTAAAAATACCAAAAGCTGAAAAAACAGAAGTAAGAAGGGTATCAACAAACTGTCTCAACATTTTTTGCCCGATCTTTTTCCTACATCATTTCCAGTAGTAGAGAAATAGCACCCTTTGAGTTAAAGAATAAACTTCATCAAAGGAATGAACAAGAATCAATTTGTGCACCGCCTTTAAGCCATCGCCTTTTGAACCCTTGATAAGCACATTTCTGCATCTTTAATTCCTTCTTCGTTATTCAACCGATTTGCATTTTTCCACCCATCTCTGCAATGTTTCTCTGCTTCAGCCTTTAAACCTTGCTCAAGGTACACCTTTCCCAAATTAATATACACCGATGACAAGTCTTCCATTTGCGGGAGGTGCTTGCCCATTTCTATAGCTCTAGTTAGATATTTCAAAGCTTTATCATAATTTCCGCGCAGGTAGTTGACAGTACCAATATCATTGAGGAGGATAACATTTTGTTCATGAATATCTCCATTCACCTGTAAAAAAAGGAATGAAAAGGTTAGTTGATACCTCCTATTAAGTATTTGTAAAAAATGGCAGGATGAAATCACAGTTTGTTAAATCTACAACGTGTTGAAAACGTAATGCTCCTAAAAGAAAATTTTAAATATCCGTTAGACAAAGCAAGGTAACACATTTTATTGCAGATGCTGAGTGTTTTAAAGCCACTACATAAATTCTGAAAAATACTGTTGTCAATTATATGTGAAGCAGTTTTTTTGTGTTTCAATTGGAAAGCATATTTTTCCACGCATGTTAATTAATACACAATGGGTAACAGACAGTAAAATACAATAAATATAAACTAGTCTCACCAAAAGTGACCATTCATGGGAAAAGAGATCTAAGACCTTAGAGGCGAAAGTCTCGATGGAGCGATTTTTGGGTTGGGTCAAGAGATCGGATTTTGAGATCCCCCTCCCTCCAAAAAAAAAAAAAAAAAAAATTGTGATTCTGTTGAGGATCAGGTGGTAGCAGCTGGGTTCATTTTTTTTGCTAATAGACACAATTAAATTTCATCATAATCTAGCAATTTTATATCCTTAACATGACAGATTAGAATTTCAAATAGCTTTTTCTCGAAAGCATATTTATTGACTCCAAACTTTGGATCATCGAAACTTGGTTTGGTCTGGATTTTTGGGTGTCTTTAGTGCCAAAATGTGCATTGTGTGCTATGCTATGGTCTGATATGGATTTTCAGTTTTTGTGGACTAATGGAGGAGATCGAGCATTTTCCTCACCTCAACACAGAGCTTGTACGCTTTCTTGTAACATTTCACTGATTCTTCGTATTTGCGCTCCTGAAGTAAAAATTTAGCAAACCAATCTAGACTCATTCCATAGAGTGCTATAGTATTTTCGTTGTCAATTTTTTCTTGATCTGAGAAATGAGTTTTCTTCAGTTTGAGATCGTGAATGGCTGCTACTTTTTCCTCTAGGTGATCCAAACAAAATTTGTAGCCCAACTCTGCTTTACTAAAGAGAGAAAAAATACGGAAAAAAATTAGGCACTCACAAAATTTTAACAGTAACTTAATTTAAGTATATTCCAGTCAGTTCATATTCCTTTATATTTAGCCCTGTTCAGTTATTTTTTTAATTTAAATTCTTCTGCAAATAGGAAAATTAATACCTCTTTGACATTATAGTTATTTTCAGAAAAAGGAAAAATAATAGTTTCAATTCAAAAAAATGGCTGCAAACCTTAACAACACAAGATTTGACGGTTGTTTTTTCTCTTTGATGGTTCCTACTCAGAAAAGTTGAGAGGACTCTAGACAATTGCTAAAACAAAATCAATTTTGATTCTGTTTTCTTCTGATTTGATTTCTGTTCGACTCATTTTAACTTAAGTAAGTGGATCGAGAGGTGGATCATTAATGCTAAAGCCTTATTTTGAAACTACTTGAGCCTTAAATTAAGCTGACTTATTTTTGCACTACTTACTTCCGATCTCCTTTTTCTTCTAATATTTTGGCAAGTTTCAAGCTAATGTGCAAATTCCTCAGGTCATTTTCAGGCACTTGATTGCTTATAAGTCTGTTCATGATCAAGACAAACAGCTTCTCGGCTTTCTCAAACTGGCCTCTAGTCATTGCTAAATTCGCCATAAGATCATACGCATAAGTAATTCCATCGCTGTTACCCTGTTCTTGAGCTTGTCTTAAGGCAACATGTAACATTTGCTCTGCTGCGGGGAACTCTTCTCGCTGTAAAGGCAATAAATTAAAATTAACACAAAACAAAAAAATTTTATGTTACAAGGCAAATTTTTACATTAAAAACATAACTCTCTAAAGAGGATATTTTTGTATATTCAATATTCAACCGTGCTTTAGGGCCATAAGCAGCTGAAGTTGAATTTCATTTTAAAAATTTGGAGAAAAGAACAATTTGATCAAATTCTCTTTGATTCTGTTAGAGATGAGATTGATGGAGTCCAGGCAAAATAAGTTCATGCAATTGTATAATGTGACAGAGGATTTAATGTCTTCAACGTAAAAGTAATATTGGAAGAAGATATATGTCCATCAAGATGGGGGATATTTCTGTCGCATTCTAGAAGTGTGCATGTTAATTTAGCATGGACCCTGAAATGAAAGAATAGGGCTACGGGTAATTTTTCCTCAAGTACTTGAAGATACAGATTATAGGTGTGAGTGTTTCCATGGATTAGAAATTATGAAATTTTGTAGCAGATGGTAAATTTATGATCTAGGGTGCAAAAACGGTACTTCTAAGCTATAAGGGTATGAACTTGGTGCAAGTTAATATTTAATCTTTTAGTACCTAAACTCATGAAAAATAAGAGAAAAACCATTAGAGGACACTTCCAAAAGCATACATTTTTGAGTGTCCGTAAAAATTTTGGATCATGAATTACATAATAATAAGTCTTAGCCAGTTAGTTGCGATGCAATGTTGACTAAGATCGAGGTAAGTGTAATACTGAGACAGCAGAATCTGGTACGAAAAAGTAAGCAGGCAGAGGGTGAAAAGTAATTGTGAACTGATGTATACCACATTAGTGAAAAAATAACAATATCCGTCTTGCCTGAATCAAAAGGATGGATCGTTTGAGGGTCATTATTAATTCCGATTCAGGATCCAATTCCTTACTCTTGAATATATCCAAAAATCCGAGAGAAATACACAGCATTAATTTCCCAGCATGAGTATTGTTTGGAATCTGCTTTTCTTGAGGAGATATTGATAGGAGAAGCTTGTTGCTGATATGGAATCGTCGACTTCCAACTGATAGCCCGAGGGTTTCAACACTTGAGACTTTCAGACACTTCAAACATCTGTAGGATTTTATACACTTCGCGAGACAACGAATGGCTTCCATTTTGACTGACTAGATTTATTAAATGTTAAGGTAAGGAATATTTAAATGGTATGAACAATGAGAAGACAGTTTGCGCATCTGTGAGTGATAAGAGCTGAGAAGCAAAAATTGATAATATTGTGAAATTAGGTTATCCCAATACCCATACCTTCCAGCGCAGAAGGAGGTTAGGAATCGGTGGTAAAGAACAAAATACATGGCATCTTATGGGGACGGCTGAAACGAATGAATTATCGTAATGAAAATTACGTGCAAAAGTTTCACCACAACTTCAAATTCAAACGCGTGCATGAAAATGAAGGACTTAAAATCATTAAAATTACGTAAAAGAAAAACAAAACTTCACTTAACTGGAAGCTGGCCCATGTGAGAAAGTCTGACTTTAATTATGATTTGGATGCTTGATTTACTTAAATTTCCTACGATACTCTCATTTAAGACAATTAACTACTGCAATAAACACTTACCTCTGCACAGAACGAGTATTTCCAAAAAAATTACTTTCATCTTAACATTGGAAGAATAGACGCTATTAGTGCAACGTCACAGAAAAGCGATATATATCGATTTTTTCGCACTGGTAGCATTGAAAGAGGTTATGCCAATGTTATTGTTTGGATCCAATTCGATATAATGGAGAATCCCTATGATGAGGGTGCCACACACGGGAGGGATGAGGCGCCCAAAAGTGAGGCTCTGCTGCGCGCGCACGTCGCATGTTTGGATTGTAATTTCGCGGCAGATTCGAATCCAAGGGGCGAGTTCCATAATACATTCTTCTCAAATGCACAGTATTAAAGTAAAAAAAGTCCAGAGTTTTAATCACGATTACTTTAATTAAATTTAACCTCTCGTAAATCCATACGTAAAAAGGGTTTCCTTCTCCGTAAATTTTAACAGTTTTATAGTGAGTT